ATCGGCGCAAGTCGCAAAATTATATACAATAAAGCCAACGGCGAGTATCGTGCAAGCGAAGAAGGATGCCAACAGCACCGCCGTCGTCACGGACACGGTGTACCGTCGGCCCATGCGGGAGCAAGTGGCTGCTGCTGCGGGTCCGCTGCTGCCAGCGGGAGTGCCCAGGGAATTGCCATGTCGGCTCTCCATGCTCAGATTCTCGTGCAGTGGCATTTCCTTAACGACCATGTCGACGCCTTAGCCTGTGCACAGGAAGAAGTTATCGATTAGTAAGTGTGGAGTGCACCACTTCCGTTTACCACTTCCGCTGCAATTTACAAAGCCTAATTGATAGCTCGTTGTGGTCGTAATGCATTCAGTAATTCGATATGCATCTGCAGGTTGCAATCTGAATCCCAGCCATGGCCACTTCAGTGGTTTCCCACAACCCCCTGGACTTGCGGCTGAGTCTTGCAACGTTGATCAAATCGTGCATATATGCACGTTTATTGTGGTCAAGACAAAGACAAAGGGTTGCACATGATATTAGTTCAAAGTATATGTGCATAATTATATAATTTACCCCTTAAAAGAATTCTAGCTGAGTAAGTATCTCAAACTTCCCCCCTTCTCGATTTTCACGAGTCTGTCAACATTATTCTTGTTTTTATATTTTGTTCGATCGATTTTAAACTAATTTTCAAAGATCTTTGAGAGAATTTAATTTATACGTACCACGGACAAGGCCGGGGTTTACCCGCTAGTATATAGAATAATATTTTATTCTATATACTAATATTATTATATTATTAACAACATTTATCGTGTAACACTCTAATACATGAATAAACAATCTACAAGTATATCCAAATAAATATAGATAAATAATTCATTCTTGTTACTTCTAAAACAAGCTGTTACAACAGCTCATTTAATGCTTTTTTATTCACACTTTTCTTTCCCATTTTAAATGCTCCACTTTAGGCTTTGGCATAAAGTAAACATCAGATGCTCCAGTATCCATCTATCTACCTGCATAATTCACATCCACTCTCAAAATTTTCATTTTCATTTTCATTCAGGACAACGTACGCTTATTTCAAGTTTAGAAGTTCTTTTAATGTGTATTTCACACTTAATCCAAGCCTTTTCCTACTCTCGTAACATTGACGGAAAATGTTCGGATCGAGGAAATTCGAAATATAATTAAGAACATTGCGTGACGGAATATTCCTATAATTATATGAAAAAACCGTTATAAATACAATTCCGCTAATATTTGTATTTAGAACGGCTTTTTGTTCTCTGTGTTATAGTTACAAATAAATGCATTCTTATAAACACATGTGAGTTGTAAAAGTATATACATACATATATGTAAATTTTTGACGTAACGACAAGACCTGTTTTTATTTAGTCGACGAACTATCTAGTTAGTACGTCAAGGCACTAAAACATGTCTGCTGTAGATATATTGTCTCAGATGAGTATTTTATCTTATGGAATTCCCATTTTTATGTTAGCAAGACGATTTTCATGAATTACATGTTAATTCCCAATGATAAATTCTATGGATTCCGAGTAATTAACAGCAGGTTTAACCAATTCCAACCTGTTGCGAGGCATAATATATAAAGTAGTGTGAATTTTATAATACTCTTTTAATGGAAAGGTCAGTGTCCAGTCTATGGCCCCATAATCTGTGGCTATGGTTATCAAGAAGTCATGGTCAATCCACATCGAAATATATGTATTTATTTATGTACATATAATATGTTCGGTATGTTATGTACATATAATAATTGCTAGTGTTTATGCGTTTTTATAAAAAGATTAGTCAGAATGATTGTCAAGTTGTGCTTTAAATGAGACAATAGTGACAACAATCAGTAATATATTATTCAATACGTAAGTAAAGTACGCAAGAAAATGTTGTTATCCCTCAGTCTCAATAGACAAGAGCGTACTAATGAATTCATGATTAAATTCTATAAATCCAATATTTGTATTATTTATATGAGCCCAATTCATATTGACTTAGACTGTAAACTAGATAACATATTATTAAAGTTTTATCTGAGAAAAACCTGATATTCTGTTACTAAAACAGTTGCGTTTATCTACATTTACATGTATGTACATATGTAATTGTTGTTGTTATTATTTATATAAGTAAAGGATATCTATAAGCTTAACTAACACTAGCAACTATGACCTTCGCCTAAGAATAATTCTAATTTTAAATTATCAATGCATGAGGTTGCTAAAAAAAGATATTCAAAAATAAAATTAAATCAATTGATATGGTTTTTCCAGTCAGAAAACTCTTGAGGCTTTGTAATTTTTCTGATATTAATTAAGTGCTGGCAAAAGTAAATCGTCATTATTTTTAATAATTCAATATTTATATCTGGGAAAATGTCATGTAAAAATACAGTAAAATACAACAAGGTACAGAATAAAAACGTGTTCCACTCATTTGCATATATGTACGTACGTATCGGAATATATGTACATGAGTAAGTGTGCCCGAATGCCGGCTAATTGAGTTTTGACATTAATTTGATCTGTTGGCTGCTGCAAATTGCTACAATTAAACGCTGGCCACTCTGGCAGCATTGCCGACACTTTGACCTTCATTAAAAAGAGAAACAACTGAGATGATACGACGCCCGCGTATGTAGCTCATATGTCTACGCTTTTCCGATGGGGGTCAGAGGTCCCACTGCGAGGGTTCAATTTATAGCAATATTTTATTGACCAAATGCGTAAACCCGATGATGATTATGATGATGACGCTGTCTGGCTGGTCGAGTAATTATTAACACACAAGGACATATGTATAATGCGAAGCGCCTTTAGCTGCGTATGGCCACACACATCCGTCACATTACAGTGAATCCTTCCTTGAGCGGATATTATACATATATAGAAAAGTTGCGTTGCCTCTAGAAGCGTTTAGATAAATATACCGTCAGCGGTGTTTATGTCCACCGAAGGGAAAAGTGAGGAAAAAGAATTTTCCAAAAATAACCTAATGTCCGTTCGTTAGCAGAATTTTTACTGTATCAGCATGATGGAAACATCAAAACACATTTAATCGGTGGCTTCCCCGCGGCGCTGCTTTTAATCTGTTGCTATCTGTGGCACTCTCACGCGTTTAAGAGGCACACACGAGACTATAAAAAGTATATTTATTGCACGTTGGATGTGATGATTATGATCATAATGATGTCTAATGGGGGGCGGGGGCGCTGTTTGTGTGGCGTCCATCTGTCTCAGGTCTCTCTTCACCCATACATATTTGCGCGCTACAAATGAAGAAGTGATCACGGACTGGACAGGCCAATTTGCACTTGTGCACTAATTAAATTTCGGCAGCAGTAAATTCAGAAATCACAAAATTAAACAAATTTTTTTTTCTAGAAAATGTTTATAAAGTTTTTATGAGTTCGATCTATGAATGGTTATAGAAATAAAGAAACTAGTACCTAATAAAGGAAATGTTGGTATTTTATTTATTTATCCTGCGTGAGCTGCCATAAATGATGCCTACAAATCCACACATACGTACATACACATAATAAATATGTATATATTCACATATATGTACATATGTAGTTGTAGATATCATGTTATAAAGCCGGCACCGAGTAGCCCATTTGTGTTTATGTTTAACAGATGCAAAATGCTGTCTGATGCTGGAGATGTGCGCGAAACACATCAACAGCTAAAATGGAAATTGTATACAAAATAAACAAATTAGAAATGTGCAGAAATAAAAATGATATTAAATGAAGTGTTGATAAGTTCACGGTTTATACGTTGTATGTACACAAATAAATACACATATATATACATATATTTATTTAATTATGTATACATATATATTATGTATACATCTACTTGTCTTTTCGTAGTGGCCCACTGTTTCTGTTGCAGAATACATATATATGGATCTTGTCTGGATTTGGGGCCCAAAGAACACAAAATCCATTATAAATTTACATTTAAAAAAAAATAATTGCAGCGTTAACCACGCTGGATTTGAGTTTTACCTCTTCTTCTGCCTGCGGTGGCACAGCTCTCCTTACACTCCCACAGATTCTACAAGTTTACAGTTATGTGCAGTTTGTCTTATGCTTTGGCGGCGCAACTGCAATCGAGTATGACAATAAATACTCCCACACACTTGCACACACACTGTCAAGCAGTAGCCAGTGGTGGTCACCAACACAATTGCAAACTTAAAATTTCCTAGATTTTTAGCGGTCAAGGCTACAATTTCACAGGCGCACGTTGATAATTGAATTAAAGTAAACAAATCTTTTTTCCAGGAAGATGAATTGGATTTCTGCGCTGACGTTGTTGGCTTATATACATAAATGCAATTTGTCCAAGTATAACATTAGCCAGCGAGCACTAGCAACACGAAAGTCAACACAACCGTTACGCGTAACGACCGACCGAGAACTGAAAGCGCAACAGCAGCGACAACATAATTGTAGCCAGCGTACGTGTAGATCGAAATCGAAACAAGAGAGGAAGAGAGTAACAGCTCTGACCCATGTGTGGGTGAGAAACAGACAGTGAAATAGCAAGCAGTCGCGTAATTATGCAAATTATTATTATATAGAACTTCCTAATGTGCTGAAAACCCGATTTACACATAAAACATAAATATATACAAGCTTAAATACGTATCTCCTTTAATATAATGTATTCACTCAAATAAATTTAAATATGAAGAGAAATGAAAACAATAAATTTAAATAAATTTTATTATTAATAACAAATATTGGAACAAATATTTTTGGAGTGTAATTTTAGAAATCATCTATAAATTTATGAAATGAATTGATTCAAAACACATTTAATATATAATAAAAGAAAAACTACACGCACTTACAATTTTGAAGCGGGTAACGGTTTAATTGCAGCAGGCTATCTCATTAAAGTATCGATATATAATATTGCATATGTATCGCATTAGGACTCGGCTGCTTTTGTCACTTTGCCATCCCTATGCCGTTTTATTATTATTGTTTGTATACTTGCTGCTAAAAGATGCATTTAAATGTTGTCTACGTCACTGTTGGCACTACAAAATTCGATGCACTAATTGATGCCATGTCCTCAAACCAGGTGCTGTGCGCATTGCAAGATCTCAAATGCCAAAAGCTTGTGCTGCAACATGGAAACTCCACACCGGTGGCCGAGTCCGAAATTCGGCGTATCAATGAGAATTATGGCATTCAAGTGGAGCAATACAAATTTCGCCCTAATGTGGAGGATATTAGGGCTGCTGATCTGATCATTGGACATGCTGGCGCCGGTACATGCATGGATATATTGAATAATGGCAAGGCAGGACTAATCGTAGTCAATGACGAACTGATGGACAACCATCAGCTGGAATTAGCGCGTCAATTGGCATCTGAGAACTACTTGTACTACTGCAGAGTGCACGAGGTTGGCAGTAAAATAGGCAATTTGGACTTTGGAGCTCTAAGGCCCTACGAACCAGCCACAAAGAATATGCAAATGTTTATAGACGCATTAAAAGAACTGATGAGCCAATAGTATTTAAACGGTTTTTGTTTTGGCGCTGACGCCTGCAGCGGGCGCTTTAGATATATATATATTTATATTAATGAGTAAACACGATAAACGACTATGAAGAACGTTAGACAATGTAATAGGGCTATACGTTGCATAAATTCACGATTATTAATTATATAAATAGAACGATTAATAAGTAGATTTCTATTAAATTCCATTAGATTGGCATATTATATGTACTTATTTAACTGCATAAGCGATGAGACTCTCTACATGCTTTGGTTGCTGTTCATATCTCGTCGACCGTCTATTCGGTCTCACCGGCGACTGCGCTACCATTTTCAATGATGCTCTCAAACGAAAAGGGCGCAAAGGCATAGCCCTGACCCATATAGAATTTGCTCTGGAACTCCACCCTGCAAAAGGCAACAGCATTAATTTTAATTTTCAACTCTTTGGATATCAGACATACCAGTGCAGACGCAGCGTATGCAGAAATGCGGAAAGACCCTCCATTAAAACTAAAATGCCCACGGTCAAAACAGCCCAGAAGGCAAACACAACGGTCAAAAAGATGCCGCCAAGCCAGCCCTCCTTGTTTAAGCCCAGAGACAAAACCATTGTCCACAAGACCTCGGCAAGTTCTGAAAAATAAAGTTAAATGTATTTGCATATCGAACATGAGCGATTGATTTGACTTACGGGCATGTGCCAAGGAGAGAGCCCACAAACGCAAATACGATGCAGTGTGCGATACGGAACCCAGCACATATTCAATCGTGTGTATGCCCTGGTGTATGAATATCTCTGACATCTCCTCCTCGTCATGGTGTCCGCCGCCTCCACCATTCGACATGCCGCCGACTTCAGCATCAGATGAGCCGCCAGTTATGGGCTGTACCTGTTTGAATGTTAGAGTTGATGTATTAGTTACAGACTCGGGCACTTTTTCTTAGGATTTGTGGTACAACAAACGACAAGACTAACCTCTTCCTGTAGCATTTGGGTTGGTGTTTAGTTTATTCGTTTGTTGCGTGTTTTTTTGGATGTGGTTGATTGGTTAGTTAGGGGGCAAGGGCAGGGCATAAATAAACAGAAGTGCAAACACAAGAATTTTTTGTTAATGTAGGCACATGTACCCTGGTTTGAAATTTAACGAAGATGTGATGTGGATTGAATGGTGAAAGGATTGGCAAGAATGCATGAAACGCCGGGTATGACAGCAGCTATGCAGTATCATGTACTTACGTTGGCCAGCTTACGCGCCTGCATAATCTTGATGGGCTTGCCTAGCAGCATGACCGGAATACAGGCGAGAGCGATCAATACAAAAACAGTCTGGAAAAATGGTTGTCCCCAAAACATATAGACTTCGCAGTTTTTTCCCGGCGGCTTAGAAGTCTTAAACAGAACCATATCGATGAATGTAATTAGAATTGATGGCGCACATGCCTCCGTCATGGGGACTACAATAAGAAAGATATTAAATATTGGCAACAAGCAGTTAACACCTAATCTTACATGTGTTGGTAGCCCCGTAACGATTCCATTTGATAAACATAAGCAGTACCATGTAGAAGAAGAGCACCAGCAAGAACACCAGCTGTGGAATGAACTCGTAGATCAGCGACAGGCGATTACGGAAATATGTATGATTGTGCCAGCTCATGATGACGCCAAAGATCATGTGCAATACCCCAAATATAATGGATATCTTCATTTTGTAGGCATTTTGAAAGACGATCTTATTGGATGTGGCCACCTGCCAAATGGGATCCAAGCCAAACGGATATGGTGTCCCCTCGTAATCGCTGGTAGCTGGACTCAACTGTAAAAAGTTGTTATTCCAAACTGTCGACTTATTATACGACAGATGCCAATGCGAGCCGAATATGTTAAGCGACTTGGAGAAAATGTCATTGTAGATGAGGCCCGTATACATGGAAAAGGCGCCCATCAGGAAAATGATGTAGCGACCGGCAAAGAAAATGTTCCAAATTTCATTGTCCGTTTTCTGGGCAGCCAAGCCCTTCTCCTTGCGTATCATCCAGAGGCCAAATAGAGCCATTATGGCTCCGTGGCCCAAATCGCCAAACATGACCGCGAACAGAAATGGAAAGGTAATGATGGTATAGGGTGCCGGATTCATTTCCCGATAGCTGGCTACACCGTATGCATCGATTAGCGCCTGAAAGGCCTTGGTAAACTTGTTGGTGCGATTATATGTGGGCGGATTCTCGAATGTCTGCATCCGATTCAGAATTGGCGGCACCGATGAACCCGAACGCTCAGTGCCACGTCGCAGCGCCAGCTGAATGGTCTCAATGTCGAGCAGCGGCACCCAGCACTCAGCAATCAGACACTTCTGAGTCACGTCCAGATTGAAAAGATTCAGCGTATGATAAATGGCCTTAATTTTGCGCACCTTGACGAACCAGTTCTTCAGATTTTTGGCTGCTGCAACCAGGACACGATGACGATGATCCTGCGTCTGGCCGAGCACCGTATTCAGATCCTCAATGCGTGTCATGACACCCATGGCCATTTCACGACGATCGGCTGGCGCCTCAGGGCAAGGATAGAGCGTCGCGCGGAAACCCTCGCAGATCTTCTTTACGCGCGTTTTTAGCTGATCGCCTTGAAAGAAAATGATGAACACCGACTTGTACACCTGATCGCCCTGAAGAATGCATTGAAAAAGTTGAATAGCAGTTGAAATGTTACCTTCTCTACTTTCTACTTACATTGGTGGGATCTTCTAGCGGCGACTCAATCATGGCCTGGCGCAGAAATACATTGCCGCGGCAGGCGCGCCACAGCATGCGCTCAAAGGCCGGCAGCTTCTCCCGCAAAATGACGCCGGCCACAAAGCTATGAGAGATCAAAGATTAATGGACGTGCATTTGTTGAGGGTTTCTATCTATCAATCCGGTTAGTTACGGTAAAAAGGAAAACTAAACTCTCAAGCACAAATACCAATGAACGTAGCATGGAATGGAACGTGGCGATAACATTTACAAGGAGCACATGTTTTTTTTTGGGGAATATCTTTTTTATGTTTTTTTAAGGGGGCGTATGCGGCGAGCGAAGCCAATGACCACTGTGACATGTCTCTATATACAGTTTATGAGCATGAGTATTCCTAGTCTAAATTTTGAATTGTGGGATACCAACCAGGGCAGATAATCCTCACGTTCAATCGATTTTTCCATAAAACTAAACAATTGATAAAGAATTTATCTCGATTTGATCATATAGACGGATGTTTTTTTTTTTTGTTTTGTTTTGGGAAGAGAGGAACAGAAGAGAGAACGGTGTTGGTTTTAGTTTTTTTTTTTTTGCGTAAGGATAGGATTCTTTTTTTTTTTTTAACAGAAAATTATTGCTCCGAAAGGGTTTAAGAGGGAGACTCCAAAATATAAGCCCGACATCGATAAAGTTTTGGTGTTGGATCATTTGATGCTTTGGTGTCACATTTGATGCGGATTCGTTGTGGCATAAGCGCAGCGTCTTTAATTGGTTAGTTGGCGGCGTAAAGCAATAATTTTTTGTTTCATATAATTAATGTAACGTAATTAATTGCATGGCAGTGGCCAAATGTACGTAGCTATTGTATGCACGTGGCTGGATACATACCCAAGCTGTACGGGACCCATGGATGCACCGGCGGTGCGCACCTCATCGGTGATGAGGGCGCGCGTCATCGACTCGGTGGTGTGGTTCAGGCCGCCCTCCTGCTAGAAATTGTTTTAAAAATTTGTTGTTTGTTTTCTTTTGGCGACAATTCTGTGATAACACCAGCATCTTTGTGAATCAAAGTACATACATATATGCTTAGTTTATGCGATTAGTAGCTTGGCTGGTTAAATAAAGCTTCCCGCCTCCAAATCTTTGTGGTTTGTGGATGGGTATGGGTACGGGTAGGAAAGGATGGGGGGCAATAACCATCACCAGAACAATCATTGACCTTAAGCTAAAACACATACACGTGCATATATACACATTTACATATTACAATAAAAGGTTTCGCTGAACAGAACCTAACCTACACACACACACACACACATACACGCACACGTACAGAAAATACTCCATTATATTTAAATATTTAATGTATAGATAGGATGCATAGCTGTACAAAGATAACGACACGCAAAATAGCCATGGAGAATGAGAGCGAGCGAGCGAGTCGGGTTTGGTTTGCTTTGGTTTTGCTCTAAATTTGACAAATAAATAATTTTTTGTTTTGTTGATTTTTTTTATCATTTGGTAAATGCGCAGGCTGAGTTTAGTTTTCCATTGGTATCTGGTTTGGTTGGCAGTTCTTGTTTGCTGAGTGATCGACTAATTCATTGAGGTTTCAATATTTACCCAAGCTTCAAATTTTGGCCAGGCTGATTGGCGCGCACGCCCTCCTCGCCCAACAGCTGCGCTTGCTCATCCTCGTTCTGGTTGTCGGCCATCTGCAGATAGCGTCGATATTGTTTTGATGAATGTGTGGAAGATTTGTAAACCATTGGCACCGACTGGCAACACAATCGGGCGGAAAAACGTGGTGGTGGTGTTGTTGTTGTTGTTGTTGTTGTGGTGGTGGTGGTGGTGTTTATTGGGGGTGTTGGTTTTGATTTGGTTTGTGCATTTGCAGGGTTCGGGGTTTTGGTTCGTTTGTATTGGGTATATTGAATTGATTTGATTGATATGGAAAATAAAACGTAAAAACAAATAATATAAAATAAACAAAAATATAAAACAATTAACGCTAATCAAATGTATGTACAATAGCTGCACACATGTACACATACGTATAAGATAAAGAACGTAAGTCAGGCATGCGCAGAAAAAGAATATATAAATATATATATAAATAGAATAACTAAGCTTAAACTAAAGCTAACTTGGGCACAGAAAAATATACCAACTAAAGAGTGTACAGACATTTGTATAAATATGCATATAATATATAGGCTTGGACATGTTGGCGGTGGTAAGTGCTGCATGTATTATGTTGTTCTGTTGTATTGCGATTACAATTAAATAAATAATACTTTGGGAAAAGTTTGTGAAATTATATACCAAAGCTGCACCATTTGTGTTGTCAGGCTGGGTTATTGGTTAGCAAGTTATTGCCATATGTTAATTAGAAAATTTAGTGCCAACTGCTTTCGGAAAGCCTTTGCCACGTAGTCGCATATATATAATCTTAAATATGTGTTAGCCGGCGACCCCTATAAGAGATGTTAGCCAATAACCGCATGCATACCTCATCGAAGAAGACCTGCGTCTTGCGCAGTATATGCTTCAGCTCGGTCAGCTCCAGAAAGTTGCGTTTCAATGCTTCCGCATTTTGGTTGACCTCACGCAGCTCGTTCTCAAGTTTCTCAAAGGTGGCCTGAAATGGAAACGACAGCCATATAAGAAGAAAGGTGTTGAAAATCGCAACAGACTTGCCTCCAAGTCAATCATCTCGCGTGGCTGTGGTGCTTCGGGACTCTCGCCGGTGTCCAGCATGGGTATGCCATCCTTCTTGATCTCCTTCTCCAAGTAGCGCAATTTGCGCTCCATCTCATCGCAACGGCGCACCTCATTCACAAATTTACGTTGAAATGCATTCACGTCCGGGTTGAGCTGTGTGCATACATAATTAAGTTGATTATTCTTTGTTTGTTGTTTTTTTTTTATGCCAAATTGCACTCACATCACGAAACTGGACCAGTCCCAGCTCGCCGAGCTCCGAGACGCAGGCATAGGCCGCTTCGCTCTGTAGGAAGAGCTGACAGAGCGCCATCTCCTCGCTACGGAATAATGAACCCATTTTGACAGCTCAGCAGTCTGTAGCTAATTACAAGTGGCTGCAAAAAACCAAAATAAAAAAAAACCAATTTAAACACAACAATAACAATAAAAAAATAAGAACTTCTTAGGGCTATTATTATAAATAGCTATGAATCATTGAACATTTATCGATTTTAGGTGAATATTGTAATTACAATTCTTTGACCACAATTTCCTTGTTTTTTTTATTTGCTTAAATTATTTTTTCTCTTTTTCTTTATCAACGTCACTTTTGTGGCGAAATGTGAGAATGTTCCAACTAAATACTTGATACTAATGGAAATATCCCTATACAGATTTATTGATTTTTCAATTGTGTGGCAGATTAAACGAAAGTGCTGCGTGGTATATGTTGGCGTTTTTGATGAACCTTTCCATTCCTAGTATCGACACTCAATGTTGTGTGATGAAAAAAAACCAAGTTGCTATTTTACTTCGCTTAGTCGTACAGTTAACTTTTACTACTGGCTTAAACTCTTACTTGCACAAGTCACAACTTCTAATTACCAATTTCTTTTAATATTTAGTCTCTCAGCAGCAGTGTGACCGAAGTTGGATATAGCTAAAAAACATTGGTCAAGATGCAACAAAATGCAAAAATACTAACGCGTATATATATAGTTTAAGCCACTTAAAAGCCTATATTTGCATTGAAAAATAAAAATATCAGATATTAATGGAAAACAAATCGTAATGTTTACTTAAAAGCTAAAAGTTAATTCTAGTAAGCCAGAACTAGTTCCTGCAACTAACGGTTATCGATAGCATGAACATGAATATTAAGCGCGCACATTTAAAACGCATTTTCAACAATAAGCAAAACGTATAGTTTTTGAAATGCTTGAAATACATACTGAATAATTAAAATATATTGGAAGACTATTAAAAATGTGCTGTTCAAATTAAAACCATTGACTTGTTTATTCTACATTTTTCAGCCCTAAATGTTTTTCATGGCAAAGTTAATTTCGCATAGGTAACGCAAAAAATGCATTAATGCAAGGCAATTAGTTTTAGTTTTAATTTGCATTTATTATGTACTTATTTAATGAATGGCCAACGTTGCAGTTTTCAAGTGTTTAATAACACAATCACGCCTTCCGAACATCCGCCCTTCCGCTCTTTAATGTACAAGGTGCTCTTAAGTGCAAAGAGCGGGGGGCGCCGGTGAGTCCTTGGATTTACATTGACGAAGTACCAAAAGCAGCAGCGACAGCATCCGATGTTGATGAGAAAAAACACGAGGGCGACATTTTTCGCTTGAGACACGATTCAGTGTGAATTTGTAACTCGAGAGCGACGGAACGATTGCGGCTAAAGGCTCGGTAAATGGTTCAGGCAAATATACAAGCAACATCAGCAGCAGAAGCAGCCGCAGCAGCAAAAACATGTGAATGGGCATAGCGAAGTGGAAAGTGGAGATGATTAAATCAGAAAATTGGATGTTTGCCGCTGTTTCTGTTACTGTTTCTTGCCTATTTAATATTTGCTTCGTGCGGGACCTTATGTGCGTGTGTGTGTAAGTGTGTGTGTGGGTCAGTGTGCCATTTTGCGATCCACCAAAATGAATCAGACAACAAAGACAACATTTTTGTAATTGAAAAATTTACTGCTGGTTACATATACATATATGCGCGAGTTGCCGTTGTTGTTTTCATGTTCTTCTTCTTCTTCTTGTTGTTGTTGTTGTTGCTGTTGTAGTCAGTGTGGTTCGGATGCTGGCAGGCAGCGAACCGCACCGCAACCCCCAAAAGTATGCCATTCCACAGAGCACAACATAGCCAAAAAAAAAAATATAAGGACAAAAATGAATAAAAGGCAATCCCTCTCGTTCGCACATCGTTATAAACATTGTTATAAACAAAAAACGAAAAATCCCACCGAATATACACTAGCTCCAGTATATAAGCTCCAGTAAATAATTGGCTGAAAGATTGAATACAAATTCCGCACCAAATGGCAAAGAGAAAATCTTTACTTTCGCTGCTTTGCTTTCAGGCCGCTCCCAAAAAGAAAAAAAAAGAAATTGCGAATTTATCAACAACAAGAATGGAGAACCAAATAACTGCCTAAAAAATGACAAAAAAATGATTTGAAGCTACAAAGCGCCTTAAAATAGCCAAAAAATAATTTGTTTTGATTCATATTTAAAAGTGTATTTTATATTTATATTTCTTAAACAGCTGTATATGTAATAATAAAGCTTGTTTTATATAGTTTACACTTTTTCCTTGATTTTTTTTTTTTTTGTGGTTTAGTTTTAATTAGTTGTACGAATTCTTGAAAGTTTCCACGAAATTTTCAAATTAAATAAGTGGAATGCGCAACGAGGTCGTTTATAAATCAAAATGTAGCCGATTTCTTAATAAGCGCTGATTGCCAGCTCACAAATAGGTGTACTTCAGTTATTTAGATGAGATGCTTTGTTAGATCTAGTTAAGGTGTGCCCAAAGTAATTCTAAATCGGTTCATTTAGCAAGCTCTTGATTCAATCAAGGCACACACACACACACATAATCACATACACACTAACGCGCGCGTGCAAGCTGAGTGTCAGACTTGATTGTAAAATTGGGTTTATTGTGCGGTCTCCAATTGAAGCAGCTACGTTCCTATAGGTGCCCCGAGTGCCCGAGTGTCGTGATGGTTTCTGCGCTTTGACGGAGACGCAATTGGTGCTTATCTAACGCAGAGTTTTAGTTGCGAATACTCGTGGCTGGCGCAAAGATGACAATGTTGCCACATAGCTGAGCTACAGCCAGAGTAAACACATGAATATATACTATGTATATACTGAACATACATACATATACACATTGTATATACACATATGCGTATAATCTTTAATGTGTGCTAAATTTCGTGTAGTGCAGTGCTAATCCATTTTTATAACGGCTTTTTCCTTACATAAGGATTTGCGCAAATATTTGCATAAGGTGAAAGGCAAAACAAAGTGCAACCGCAACAACAGCAACAATAGTGTTCAGCAACAACAAAAAAACAACATCAACAACAACAACTATATCAACGACATAATCCACACAAATTCATCAGCTACAACAGCAAAAGGATATAGCCAAAAAACAAAGCTGCACTCAAATGCGGTATTTACTGTAGGTGCGTATTACTACAACAATTACAGACTCTCTAAGCTTAACAATAACAGAAAAAATGAAAATAAGCAGAAGTCAAACAGCAGAGAAAGTGACAAAAAAAGCGAATACAAACATCAAAAAGGGCGTGTTGTGTCTTCAGCTGCTGCTCTCAGAAGTACCATGCACGTGTATGTGTGTGTGTGTGTGTACGTGTCTGTAAGCGTGGTTGCGATTTGTTGTTGTTTTTGCGCTGCTACATCATCAAGTTGCTGCCTTTGCCGTTGGCTTTGGCTCTGGCTGCGCCTCTTTACTTTGTGCGTAATAAAATTGATGATAAAATAAAAATGGATGATGGGCGATTTTCGGCAGCGGCTGTAATGAGAGCGGGAGAGAGAGAGACTGAAGCAAGCTGCTATGTTTACCGCTGCACCCGCCTTGTGCTCAACTCCTTATACAACAACAAAACGAAGCCCTGCTGTGCTATGGCTTAAGTCTTCTCTTTTATTATTTGGTGTCTGCATTGACGCGTTCTCTTTCTTTGCTGTTTTTTGCTCTTTGCTGATAGCGTAGCATTTGTGTTTTAGTCGTGCTGGAAACCTGTGTGTAGGGGGGTGTGGGGGACGGTGTACGTTATAATTTGGTAGGTGTTGCTGATAAGAATGCTGCACAGTTGAGAATGGCGTGCGCGCGTTTAACTTAAAAAGCAAAATTTTAATCACGATAATGCGGAAAACAAATAAAAACAACAACGCAGAGGTTTATCGAAGATTAAATACCCTTGCATACATATTAATTATAAACTAGATAGTTATATTATACTTATATACGATTATTTCGCCTTTGCTGAGCCAATATCATGGAATTTATTGAAGCTATCTTTTTGAGTCCAACATGCGCTATACATAGATATATGGCACATGTTGATAAGTTAATTCCTTGAAACTTTCTAATTTAAGATGAGTCTTCCTAGGGAAGCTAAATTTAATATTATTTGTTACCAATGTAGTCCATTTGGCAAGGGTGCAGACTAAGCAAGAGTACATATAAGAAAACCACTGTACATATATATGCTAGGGTATACAGTCTACACAAACTCACACACGCACACATGCACACGCAGTTTCTGCTCTAGGCATTATTGCCCTGTCATTAACATAGGGCACGTCGCCTCATGGCCAAGTGGAAGATGTCTTTGCCGTATGCCTGGTCGCATAATTTGGCTAAAGTATCGCATTTAGCTGGGTTAATTACCGAATATTGTGTTGATATCTTAAGCGTTTCGTGGGGCCAACATAATTAGCTCAACGCATCCTTGAGGCGCTTTTTTAAATGCCGCCGAATGCCAATCGAATGCAAAGCCGAGAAGGTGGCCCACGCCCACAAAACAAATGACTGTGATAAGGTTAAATATTTAATAGCTTTTCTAGCTTCCCAGTCAGTCACTCAGTCAGTCAGTCAGTCTGTCTATTTGTCTGTCTCTCTGTCTGTTTGCTTTCGTCTCTGTCAACGCTTTAGAAAAGTTTTTGTTGCTCGACTCGATTGTTGATGTTGTTGTTGTTGTTGTCGTGGCAATAATGGCAATGGCAATGACAATGCCACAACGCACAGTTTCGAAATAAATTAAAATTTCATTCAAGTGCCTTTCTGACAAAACTTTCTTAATTACAAATGTATTTCTGCCTCCTCTTCTTCTTGTTGTTGTTGTTGTTGTTGCTGCTGCCCTGAAATGTTGTTTCAAGCAGTTTAGCGCCCAACATTCGCTATGTTGCGCCCACAAGTGGGCTGTAAAATATTGAATTCTGTAATAAACAACAATTGCCTGCAAATGACGGACATGGTTCCATATGTAAGTCATGTGCAGGTCTCGCTGCCACAACAATAGCAAAGATAAAGTATTCACAATTCTAACTATGTTGATTGTTGCCCCCTTGCCCAACGGCTAAAAGCCCTCGGTTGCCGCTCCCTGCGCCCGCACAGTGGGCTAAGCAAAAAGAATACACAAATGGCACAGTGCGCACAGAAGGAGACATCAACAATAGCAGCAACAGTAACCACAGGGTGCCAAGCGAGAGCAACAAGCACTGCATACCTTCAAAACAGTAACAGCGCATTGGTCCATGTTGCCCGACTGGCACATACCCTGTACACAGATTCGAAGTGCTACACACAATAGCTATATGACAGGAAGAATCTAAAGATAAAAGCCTGCTTTTCTTCTGACCCCCATATACCAATAATTAGGATAATACCTCTTGCAATCAGAGCGTGAAGGGAAAAGGGTATGCGAAACTCAAGTACTGTCCTTCGCTGACACTGGCACAACTTTCAGGATACCCGTTTCAATTCATTTTGAATGAGTACAGGGTATAAAAACAAAACACGCACACACACACACACATGGTTAAAAACCTGGTCGCTTTTGGAGCGCACTTGGTGTGGACTTAGATGGAAATGACAGCAGACAACAACAACAACAACAACAACAACAACAACAGGCAGGCAGGCATGTCGAGTAATGACAGCAGTCGCATTTAACAATGGGGGCACTGGGTAAGCAGCGGCCACGCCCACTCATGCTGCCAGCGGCGAGTCTGTCATTCATTCATTCATGCGCTCCACTTGTGCAGCACTGGACGCAACCAGCTGCCCTGGCAAATGGAAGGGAAAGGTGAGGGGAGGGGGAAGGCTGCATGCAACTGTGGCAGCGTAGTTGTCATTGTTGTTCTGGCTGTTGTTGTTGTTGTTGTTGGGGCAACACACTTAAGTGGTCGCTTAGAGTGTGCCACGTTTTGTGTGTTGTTGCTTGTTTATGAATAAAAAATAGTTATTTGCAAAACGTTTAGCAGCAGCAGGAGAGCGCGTCGTTGACGCTGCAGGATGCATGCCTAAAGGCGATATAAGACGCTCGCTTATGTGCATACATGTACTTATACATCGTTTCGGGCTGAGATACTTTTATCTTTTTTTTGTTTAATTAAATGCCAAAAAATGACGCCGTACGCATGAAACGAGCATCTTTGTTTGATTCGGTATCCATGTCTTAACGGCCTCTGACCGCAAAAGCGTACCCGCGGGTGCCATAAAGGGGCCCACTGTGATGAGCTAGGATTATGTCATTAAACTAAAAAACAACTAACTAATACGTATTTAAAATAACGAACATATTTATTTGAATATTAAAACCAGAAGCCGCAAAATATATTGCCTACATTTGTGAGCATTTCAATTCAATACGAAGAAACGACAAATGCGGCAGGGCGTAAAAAGCCAAGCGAATTGGTAAAAGGTAAAAGTTAAAACAAAAAAAAAAGAACCAACAACAACAGTTTGTGGTTCTAGCTAAAGTATAAAAAGTCCGCTGTTAGCAGAAGCAGAGCAGCAGCAGCGGGAGCAGTGGCCGCAGCAGAGACAACTTCGCTGGCATCGTTAATCTCTTCATTTCGCCGCTCTTATTTATTGGTGTACGGCGAACGGCGCAGGCGCGCTCTCTTGCTCGCTCTCGTGTTGATGCTGTGGCATTTGCTCTTACGCCTCGTTTGTTCTTGCTCCATGTGTGTGTGCTTGTGTGAATGTGTGTGCATGTGTGTATGTGTGCAAATGCTCGTTGACGCTTCTTCCTTCTTTTTTTTTTTTTGGCAATGTCAATGTAACTTTTATCCAACTGCCGCTTCAGTGGTTTCTCTTACTGCAGCAGCGGAGCCTCCGCCTGCGTCTCAGTCGTTTTAGGCGCTGATTTAAATGCTGCTGATAAGGCGGCATTATGATTCGAACAGTTTCGGCTACAGCCGTCACATAACATGCTCAGCCATGTCTCCGCCTGTGTGCGTGTGTGAGAGTAGTTGTAGCTTTGCCTTCAGGCGCATAAGTTTACAATTGACTTTTAACGATATGATACACACGTGTGCGTATGTGTGTGTGAATTTATGTTTTATCATTTATTGTTAGTGGAACGTGCAGACGTCAGCCCAGCGCCAGCCACGCCCCGTGTCGCCTATGCTGCGTGCCGCCATTTTGTTGCCATGCTGCCTGTGATTGCCGTTGTTGCTGCTGTTGTAGTTTTTGTAGCTGTTGTGATAATATGCTGCGCCTTTGTTTTCGCAGCAATAAAAATTGGCTGTAATTTACTCGTGTGTCAATGTGTTCTGTGTGTGTGGGCCTTGTTGTTATTGTTGAGATTGATACGCGCTGCGCTTTGTTGTTGCTGTTCTGCCTTTTCGGCTGGCTACGTCTCTCTTTGTCTATTGCCAATTAATTCCATTGATATGCGTGTTTCATTCTTTTCTGCTTTTGGCTCCACACAAGCCGTTGTATACATTTGTATTGCATACTTTGCGGCTGGCCGCAATTTGCATAGCCTTTTGGCAATTATGGTGGCTTTGTTACGTGCGTGGCATAATTGACCAGCCAGCCAGGGAGCCCTCGGGGTTAATGCATATTATACGAATCGAGGCTTAATGTTGACTCTTGAATTATATATAAATATACATACATAAATATTTATTTAGCTGTCAGTTACAAATGCATTGCAGCGCGTTTGCAAACACATAAAATTTGCAAAAATTACATTAGCTTCAGCGAAGGATTGCAAAACAGCAGCAGCAGTGGCAGTGGCAGCAGTGGCACTGGCAGTGGCAGCAACAGTGGCATCATCAAGGATCATTGGCAGACATTGCCTTTTGTGCGGCGCCAATTCGCATTTGCATGCAACTCGAGTTGACTGGCAGCAGTTGCTCTACTTCGTTTATCTCACAAAGCTCAGTTCCCATTTCTCATCCTTTCCATTTTTCTCCATCTCGTTGCAGGCAGCAATTTCAGCGTTGGAACAAAGGACTTTTTTCTGTTATAGTTTTTTGTTTTTGTTTTATTTTTTTTTTTGGTACAACTGAAGCAATTAACTGAAAATGTAGCGCTGGCAAGGACATGGGCAAAGTGGAACAGCAAATGCCATGCGATGCAACGAGAATAAATGTAAGTATGAGAAATGCTTGTTGGTGTGGGCGTGTGTGCGCGTGTATCTTGGCTAATTGCCTTGGTTATGCGAAGCGGCAAGGATCAATAGAGACATAGAAGCAGAGAAAGCAGTGAAAGCAGACAAGGCAAGGCGCCACTGTTGCCACTGTTGTAGCTGAAACTGTATGAAAGTGCAATTCAGTTTCATTTGCTTTCAATTTGCAGCAGTCACGCGTTAATTCTGCAGCCCAGAGCTCTTTCTCTTCCACTGCCCCCATATCAGTTCGCCCATTATAATATATATATCTTGTTTGTGTGTTCGCTGGCATTGCTTCAGCTATCGCTGCTCTGCCTAGTCCTGCAGGCATTTGGCTTTCTCATTGCTCATCCTTATATGCGAAGCAGCCTTTGTGTGCTGCACTAATCAACTGATCTGAATGCAGCACACGCTTGGTAAATGGACCGATGGGATGTGGGCGTGGGCGTGTGTGTGGAGTAGCTAGAGCACATGCCACTAGGCATATGCATTGAACAATTGTTTAGATTGAAATCACAATAAAGAAAACTGTTTTATTTTCTCATTTGCGGAGAATAAACTCACAGGCTAGATACACAAAGTATATTTGTAGGAACTGATATATATTCAAAACTACAGTTTCTGATATAAGTAGTTTTCATAAGTTAATGCCTTAATATTGAAAAAATAAATCTCAAAAGACAGATTTAATATCGTACCGAATAAAGCTTTTTGTTTAAGCAAAGATTTGTATACTATAGGAAGATAGGGATATTAATAGAAATTGTCTGAATGAACCTCTTTTTTGGAAAACTAAGGTAGCAGGAATCGGGTTTACTAAGCTGCTGAAAATCTTTATATTGGATAAGTGTGATAGCCAGGGACATAACCATTGACTATTCTGCCCAATTTTCAGCGGTCCACTATCCGTCTATATGTAAAGCTTTATTGATTTTGCAAAAAGATAATACCTATGTCTACCATGAGACTTGATTGAACCTGACAAGCGCCTAAAATGTTGATTTCAAAGTTTTGCTAGTTCGTAGGCGAATATGGTAGAAAATACAGTCTGTGCTTATCGTCTGCTCTTTGTATTTGTTAAGGAATCAAATAATTTAAACTAATTGAAAACTTTTTTAATGTTATTTTATGATGTCATAAGCCACTCAGAAACAGAAGAAAAGTGAAAAAGGTCATTCATTTCTTTCTTTCTTCCTAATTTAAAGAATTTTACATTTAGTAAGATATCACAATACAATATTATTATTTTATTATTATTTTTATTTTAACAAAGATTAGAACGGAAAAGCTCTTTAGCGCATAAAATATATTTTTAAATTCACAGATGTTCAACTTGCTATTCAAGCGAATGGGAAACGATTTCTGTGTCACTTTACACTTTTTATCGTTAAATTGAAATTTGATTTGCCTTTTAATATAACGTCGACCATGTCCTGTGATATCTTTTACTTTGCGCAAAGTCCTGTCCCAATCACGTTTACAGCTTTTGCTTGATATCCTTTAGCTGCTTGGCTAATGCTGTTGCTAGGTGCACAGCAACAACAATCTGGGCCAGGACAATGGCAAAGTGGAAAAGCTGGCGACAACAACAATGTTTAATAGACAAGCTCCCAAGGCCCTGCAGGACACACGGCAGCAGCAGCAGCAGGAGGATAATAGCACAGCGGCACAAAAGCCAAACACAAGTGCACCACATTCTTTTGGGCGTTGTCGCCTTTGGTGGCTTCACAAACGGGCCACAACGGGCGGTGGCTAGGCGGCTCCTTTTTGAGTTTGCGGCGGCCGTTTGCTGCAATTGAAATGCCAGGCAATGAGGCATTTAATCGGAACGAGCTAAGCAGCTATATGGGGCGTGGCCGGGGGCGTGGTAGTGGACACAACATGCGCGGCGGTAGCGGTCGGAAGTCGACACAAAAGGCGATGCAAGGCGTTGGCTTGTCTTAAACAAGGTGCCAATGTGTGTGTGTGTGTGTGTGTGTGGCCTTATTTGCATGTGACATACACAGCCCACACGTGCCATGGTTACCTGAGCTAGTTGCTCGCCCCGGTTCGCGTACATACGTTGGCCAAAAGTCTGCAGCTTTCAGTTTTCTGCTTTCTGTTGCAAGTTCTCCTGTATCCGCCGGTGTAGCCCATGCATCATGTGACACGGCACGTAAATTCGTAATAAATTTGGAATTATGTGCACATTTCGTGCCCTTGCACTCCTTCTGCTGTTGCCGAGGCCGAAGGCCAAGCAATTTGCAACTTGCACTTTGATAATTTATGTTGCATGCGCCCAGTCGTAACAATACATCATATATGTGTGTGTGTGTGTGTGTGCGTGTCTGTGTGCCTGTGTGGGTGTGTGTGGGCTTGTGTGCCTTGCCATTTGCCATTGTCAGTGGGAGTTTTTCAATTTGACCCAGCGCCAGCGCAGACAAAGAGCATGCCATGAAAATGGATTATGCTGCTTGACAAGGATATCGCATTGCTGGTTATGCATTGACAGCCGGCTACGGCTATACCAAGTGCATCAGATGTTGATGCCACACACATGCGTGTCTATAACAAGCAATAATCCAATATTGTTGCGTACAACCGACTAATTGCTATCATTAAAGCAGCATTCATCGCATTGCTGTCAGCTTCCATTTTGCAACTGCAGCTGACAGCTGCAATTGATTTAAACGCATGTTTGACACTCAGTTCGGCAGGCGTTCCATTTACAATTTGCCCATTTCATTTGAGCTGCCATTGAAAACAACAAGTTGACATTTTGTATTTCATATATTTGCAGCCGTTTTCAGATGAAATAAACTTTGGATGTTACCCTTCATTTGCTTCACGTTTTTTCCTTTGTTTTCGTGTACATTTAAGTAGCTTTATTTAATGGATAATAGAATGTTGAAGGTACGAGAAGTTAAGAAAAGGTTTTACGAAATTCCACCCGCAAGAGTGGAAAAATCATGGAAATCAATTGTATGCAACTTTTTTGCTTACCATTCGATTGGTCTCGAACTCTTTTTTAATTAGCTTTTAGACTTATTTCACACTTTTCGAAAAATCCACGCCTTCTGAATGGAAAAGATTCGCTCGACTGGCTTCAATCTTGTTTTGAAAGCTCTACTCAAATCCATTTGAAAAGTGTCTCACATTTTTCGGAAAATCCACACCTCTTGGGTGGAAAATAAGAGCCAATTGTTTTCGTTTGACCGGCTTCAAACTTATTTTGAAAAATCGACATAAAAAATGAGTGAATACGTGTATTTGGGATTTTGGCAAATTTCACCCGCAACTGTGGAAAATTCGCGGAAAATTGGATTCAAAGATCTTTGTGAAAGGTGTTTCACAATTTTTGGAATACCAAAGGCTACATTTTCGGCTTCAAAGCTTTTAAATGCTATACTAGAATTAACATATGCTTCAATGACTTTTGTAGTCCGTCTAAAGATTCAGTAAAGTCAAATGAAACCTTTTTGTTTTGCCTTCGATCGACCTCAAAATCATTTAATTTAAATATCCATGCAAAATATAGTTTGAGACGTTGTGCTTAAATCAGTACGAGTAAATTTTAATTACAAATTTAATTTTGAATACGTGTATTACTTGATCAAGTTGAATGCAGAGACTATAAGAGCTGAGAAGCAAAGATTTTTATTCAAACAAATTGATTTTATCTAACATTTTGTGTATCCACCTTCGCTTTCCACAAAATGAGAATATATATACAAATATCCTGTTTTCTGAATGAGAAAATAATTCAATATAAATAACAAACAATATTTGAGCAATTTGTTTTTGTAGTGAACTGGAAAATGCATCTTGAAGCATTTGCATTTGTATTTATTTGCAGATAATTGTTTATCTAACCCATAAATGAATAAAACTATGAGTATCTGCTCCTTCAGATAAATTTACCATTTACCTTATGATATAAAATATAAAATAATTAAAAGTATTACATCAAATTTGTAATCTTTAACCTTTAATCTTGATCTTAATATAAATGTTATCCGTGTAAAGAATTTGTTCAGTTACTTTAGAGTATTCATTCTATGCCCAAATTATTAAATTTGTATGCTGTAAGAGTATGACATAGTCATGCTGATCTTTTAATTGCATTTTGGTTTACTATCTATCTAGTTATTCTCTGTGCGTAATTGGCTGCAAGAGCACTTGTTCAGTTTCAATTGAAATGTGAATTTATTGAAAACGCAAGCTCAGTTTACTGCATTTTAATCCACTTGACTTGCCCTTCAACCTGAGCTCTTATCGTATTTGTAAAATCTCTGTGCAGCTGCATTGAAGATTCGTCCCTGACTCTTGATTTATATATAATGTGGCAAAATGTTGGCAAATGCAAAGTGAACACCCGCCCGCCTGCCGGACGGTCCGCTCGCCTGGTTTTACATCAGCGGATAAATTGATTTAATTTGATGCTGAAATTGCATTAATTTTGCTGACTTGGCTCTGATTCCATTAGCGTCGTTTAATGGAAAGCAATTTAAATGCTGGTCAGTGCGAAGCACACATGCCATATACCTATTCGAACTATTTGCTCGCAGCTTTATCATAATTATTGCTGGAAACAAGTGTGGCATGCGGCATGCGGCATGCGGCATGCGGGCTTCATTGATTTGGCATTGCATAGGTGGTCGGCGCAGGGGAGAGCGGGGCCGGGCGAGATTTTGGCAGCCAGTGGATGGTATTGGATTTGGTAGCTGTCCGTTGAGAGAACAACAAAAAGCAGCCAAAACGGCAACAATTTTAAACAATTTCGTTTGTGGCACACGGCAAAAACGCTGTCAGTGGTAAAGCGGGGCGGGACGGTGCAAGTGGCGGGACGGGGGAGGTGCACAGAATGCGGGTCAGAATGACACTCTAATCGGATTTTGTTGCAGCTGTGGCCAGAGCTGCCAGAGCAGCGGGAGCAAAACAAAAGCTTTGCCAGGGAAATTGATATCGAGAGCAATTTGGCGCCGGGGCAGTTGTTGGTTGATGGAGCAGGAGGCAGAAGGCAGAGGGATGGATCGTATGGTTGAAGGTATTTTCAATTTGAGCTCCCTGTCAAACGCTGCGTATGCGCAATTGCGCATAATCTTTGATGCTATAATTTGATCGCACAGCATTTGTTAGTCATTTGGCAAGGACTCTGTCCTGCAGCCTGACGTTGATGAATACAGACACGGCGATAAATTCAATTATATGAAGCCAGGAGCCTGGGCCATAACTCAGCGCCCAAGCTGACAGAGATGGAAAAGGGATGGCGTTAGATGAAGCGGGAATTCGATGAAACTCTTTACTTGCCACCTTGGATATACTTGACTATGGGCTTTAAAGCGTTGCCTGGGAATTGTTAGAGAGCCACAGACACGCACAAATGAAATGGCACATGGAGCACATGGATACACAGTGAAAAAAGCATTGCGGGCCAAGAGAAAGGCAAACAACATGAAATAAATGTAATAAATTTTAAACATAGAGATGATAAATTGCTCTGGGATTTCGGCTCAAAGTGCTGCCAATGCCGAGCAGCTGCCAAGCTGCCAAGCTACCAAGCTACCAAGCTGGCAGCCTTGCCTTCGCAGCCATCCTGTTCGCATCCAGCTCAACATTTTTTACAATTTGTTTGCGGCTTCACTTGTCCCTCGCTTGTGCCTGCGCCACATGTGTCTGTGTCTGTGTCCTGGCGTGGTTTATTTTTTATCTATTTGGCCGCATGCTTTGCTGTCGTTATTTAATTCTCTTTCGCTTTGAAATTGATTTGACGCTTGGCTTTTATTTACTTTGCCCTACGCCAGACACGCCCCTTACGCAACTAAAATTTTGCTGTAAATTGCCAGGCAAATATTGGGCTCAAGTTTTCGTTAGGAATTGCGTAAGTCCTGTTGGTTCTGTCTTAGTTATAGATGCAACTTTCAGCTGCTTTTGCAGCTGTCGCCAAACGTTATCCATTAAGTTTTAATCCTTGCTTCTATCTTTGCAGAAACTTCAAATATTCCGTGATTAGGACGTGGTGTACCCAAGCGCTCTAAATGCAGACGATATGGTGAGTGTGCCTATACAAATAGATCGAAATTCAACTCTTCCGCATCAAATCAATTGCACTCAGTTTGCGCACAAGTTAAAACTTTTGCCCCTCTCGAAAGGCGTTGCCTACTTTAAGGGGCAGCGCTCGCCTGGGACGACAAGAAGTGTGTGAGTGCTGCATAAAGCTGACGCTTGTTGATATGCAGCTCAATCCAAGCACTACTGTTGCCCCAGGACCAGTCAACTACACCAGCTGCACACGTTCACACAACCAACACAACACACAATGCACGCGGCGCTCATGCATTACGCATGAGCCGCATATGCCCCAAACTATTAGCAATAGCTCTGCATATTTCTGCAGAGAAATATTTAGAATTTTCAGAAATGTGCATGCATAACAAGCACGCTTCAAGAGAACCACAAACACAGTCACACACACACGCGCGCACATAAACACACTCACACACATACAAATAGATAATTAGACACACAGATTTGTACTTTTTTATATATATACGTAAATGGGTTTCAGTGTGTAAGCTGACAAAATGCTGCACTAAGTTTTCTAATTATAAACTACAAATTATTTTGAAGCATAATAAGTGGCTTTGCATACACACCCACACACCCACACACACCCGTCACACGAACACAAGGGAAGGCCACACGCAGCCACGTTATTTGCAACAAAAGCCAAATTTAAATTACCATTTGTCATAAAGGCCACGCAGCAGCAACTGCAACAGTAGCAACAACAACAGACACAACAACACACGCACACATACGCACACACACACATGCTCACACACACGCTGCACTGTAACGTCTCGCTAATTTCCACTAGCTGACGATGATGATGATGATGCTGATGATGATGAAGATCTGCCCTGACTTTGGTGTCGTCCATGCATATTGCATTCGGTTGCAACTCGACAGGCTGGCAGACAATCTGACAAGCAGTCATGCATGCCACGCCCATTCGCTAACGCCCCATCGTAATGCATTTACTGTTTTTTTGGCTGCAGCAAAAAGTCGCCTCAAAAAATGCGCAAAATGTTTGGCATCGAAAAAAAAAACGGAGTGTATATATAAATATTGTCACTGCTTGGAACGTATAAGAGTTTAAAGGCAGTGCCACGCCCACGAATGTTGCCCATATTGCGCATTCATACGCACCGTTGTACTCTGCAGCTAATGTCGTTGTCTATGCAGCATTAAGCACTTGGCGGGCAACTGGCTCTAGGCTTGCTATAGCCCCTGAAACAAGTTTAATCCTGTTGAGTCACACATAGCTCGTCAGTCAGTCAGTTAGTCAGTTAGTCAGTCAGCCAGTTAGTCAGTTAGTCAGTTAGCCAGTTGAGCTTCTTTTGCTGCCTGTCACTGTCTCCTCGTGTTGCTCACGCAAAATTTATGCAACAAACTCGCGGGTGTTGAAGTGCGCATAACAACATAGCTTGAGCTGTTGTTGTTGTTGTTGTTGTTGCTGCTGCTGCTGCTGATGTGGCTGCAGCTGCTGCTGCTGTTGTTTAGTGCAGTTTTTGCGCTGCAACAGCCGCCATTTGTTTCAGTCAGCCATTTGCCATTCTTGATATTCTTGCTGTGAGTATTTCGACTTGCTAACAACGTTCGTAAATACATTTCAAACAGAAATCTCGAGGAACATTTGCCACAGAATCACAGACGAAATGCATTTACCCAAATTTTAAATGCATTTCTGCTGATTCTTCAGCCAACCAAATCAAAAATCTTACAAATTTATTGACTTTGTTGTCGTCTGGCTCATTGTTAATAAATTCATGTATTTAATATTATTTGTTTTTGTGGTATTCGTTACTTGAGATATTAAATACATGCACTTGACAGAGCCTTTGTTTTGACTTTGAGTTTATGAGCATAAGAAGAGCAACAGCTAATCGCCAATTAAGCCAGGGTATTAAAAAAACATTTGCTACTTGCCCTAAGGTATTAAGTTTAATTTCTCTCACCTCTTAACTCGTTAAGCCAATGACCGTGAGCACCTCCATTATCGTGTAGAGGGTATTGCTAATCGTTTGACAGAGATGTCCGCCTATTTTCGCAATCTGTATAAGCACTTTGTTCCCTTTGTGCATTAGTAATTTAAATTATAATGTTGACTTCTTGACAGTTTTCATTATAGTTAAGGCTTTACAATTATGTAATATCATTCAAGATATATCTGTTTATAGCTAGACAGTAGATCATATCTCTGCATATGGTTAAAATTTGCGACTTTGCTAGTCATCAAGGATTCGATCTCAGTTAAATGTAACAAAATGTATATGTTTTCATTAAGTTTTTCCGCCACAGAAACTGTCAGAGTATTTGTGGATTCGGTGTGGTGTACATTTTCCATTTTTCACCACCATCTTTTTTTTTCTTTTGGTTCGCTATTTGCAATGCTTATTTTGTAGTCTCTGTTTTCTGCGCTTACTTTGAAGTGGTTTCTGCGCTTTAGTTCCCTCTAATTGGCTGTGGCTGGCTTTTAATTTTTCTTCGTTCTATTTTTCCATTATTTTTTTCCTTTTTGCGTTCCGAGTGGAAAATGCATTTGGGCCAGCAGCAGCAGCTGTTGCCGCCCGCTTCAACTTTAAGCGAGCGCATTAAAACCCCGAGTCCTGACTGACAAATTGCCCGACTGGACGGAGACATAATTATACTCGAAATGTCTCCATGTGAGTGCGGCTGTGTGCTTGTGTGTGTGTGTGGTGGTGGGGTGTGTATGTGTGTCTGTCCGAATGCACAGCATGAAAACTAATTGCAAAAATGGAAATGCAAATGGCATAGAAGCGGAGCAGCGCAACAGTCAGCACATCAAATAGAAACATAGCGACAGCAGCAACAAATACAAACAACAACAACAAACAAAAGGGTATGTGGGTGTGTGTGTATGTGTATGTGTGTGTTTGTGTGTGTGTGTCTGTGTGCGGGTGTGCCAGGCACACTCCCAATGCCAATGCACAGCGCAAACATTCAAAATGACAAAACAAATGTCGTTTCATTTGGTTTTTGTTTTAATACCCGTTCACAAGCTGAAAAGAGTATATTTGCTTTGTGCAATGTTTGTCCGTATGTCCGTCTGTCTACGTTAAATAAAATATGAAACTCGGTATAAATAAAGCGTTAGGGTTATATGACCCAACGGTTTAAGAGTCAGAGTTATCATCTTTGGAATGAAAACTAGTGATATATAAGGCAAGTATTACGCAGTCGGTTGCACCCGATTGCAACGCGCTTCCCTTTTTACATTGTTGCTCTACACTCGCTGCAATTAAAATCCACAACTGGGTGCTCATGTAGAAGTGTGTTTTTGCGTGTGTGTATGCATGTGTGTACGCTGCATACAAAATAAAGAATTATGTGGTAACTAAATTGCAGCATTCGCATTAAAGGCGCGTCGAATGCGACAGGACTTGGGACTCGTGCTGCCTGCTTTCATTTGCTGTTGCTTTGCTTATGAGGAAGGACTTATTTTTACTCCCTGTACTTATAAATAATGAGTTAATAGGGTATAATGAAGTATAGTTGTGGGTAGTAAGGCAGAAGGATAAGAAGCACATAAAGGCGTTAAAATACGATGCGATTATAGTGTATAGAGCCTGTGACTCCATCTTTGTGACTCGGTTGCTCTATTTTTTTTCTCTCACTTGCCCGCTTTTCTCTTTAACATGCTCTTTCTATGTCGTACGTGCCCTTCCCAAATCGGATGTTCTCTTACTCCCAGTTTTTTGTTTACCCGAACTCCTCCCTGTTCTATTATTCTTTGCACTTACATGACCTCATTTACCCTCGCATTAAATGCCGCCTTTCTATGCAATTCTCATGAAAAACATTTCTTGTTTGCGAATTTTCAGATCATAAGTTATACTTAGCCATAACACTAGGGTAACGCCTAGACGAGCACTTTCTACTATAATGCTCTTAATTATTGCAGGTGCGCTTGCCAAATATACCGCCACACGAAAATACACATACGTGCACCCCTATAGCTAGTTCTGTTTGGCATTAATGAGCGCCTGTAATATAAAAATGTAGAAATGCTACAAGAAACAACCGCACAGGAACTGAGCCGAAACTGGCCATTCCTTGACACCGACCCTTTCCGGGCAATCAACATGACCACATACACACACGTAGACACACACGGTCACACACAAACACACAGACATTCACCTAGTTACGCATATGCCCTGATGACATTAGTGCAGCATTGCAGACATTTTTTCACAGCAAAACGAAAAATGTACTGGACAAATGGGCAGCGGGGCAGCTGGGTAGCTGGGCTGCGGGGGCCAATTTTGGGGCTGGCCCCAATGGCAAAGGACACTCAATGCGTTAACGGCAACAGCCACTGACTGAGGTGGGAATGTGTGTGCGTACGTGTGTGTGTGTGTGTGTGTGTGGCCTGGAATTTTACGTTGATTACGAGCACTTTGTGAGTCCGTGTTACGTGTGGGCGTTATGCTCAGTTCTGTGGCTGCTGTTGCTGTTTTGGGGCTATGTCTGTTTACCATCAGCTGAACATGACAATGACAACTATGCGTTCATTGTTGCAATTTTTACTTTATTATCAGTGTCTGAAATAGCCACAAGGACAACTCTGCACAAACAAACACACACACACACACACACACATACGAATCGGTGTTAGATAACCCCCAGACAATAGTGAAAATGAGAAAATGAGTTTTACTCTATGTCTTTCTGTTATTGACGTCGCTCGGGTTGGCCACGCATTTTGTTGGCCACCAAATTTGATAAATGTGCGTGGCATAAGAATGTGGGCGTTACGTACCAGCTAAGCTAATCTAATGCACTTGAAGATAATTTATTATTATTCACAGCTAAAGCGTTATGATACCGATATTAGTTATGGGCCCTTAACATGTTCTAAAAGCTCTCTGCTAATCAGCACAGTTGAGTGGTATGCAAAAGCTGCCCATTTGATTGAATGGCCGTTGAGAAAGCTTTTGTCAGTTACAATGGCGAATGTGTGAAAAACTTGACTAGCAGCTTTCGGTGTAAAGCTTGTGACAGTTAACTTGTGTAAGTCCTTAAAAGCTCTGTTGCTGTATTATAAAAGATGCGACTGCCATAAACGGATATGTTACATGGTTTTTATGGGCGAGCCAGCAATAACACTTGACTGTTAATTAACAGCAGTACATAACAGAGCGCTGATATGTAATGTAGATTTTGTAGAAGCTTCCTAGTTGGTTTTCCTTAGTATTCTAGCTTTAAGTTTATTTATACTATCTTAAACTTCAAGCCTAATTGTATATTATACATAGATGTTCAAAAATGAGTTTAAACAAAGACTGAAAGTTATACAAAGATCTTTCATTAATTAAAACAGTTTGAAGAAGAAAATACAACTTTTGCGCAAATTCATCAAATTTTCACTCAGTGCGAAGAATGTCTTAAGTGAATTTTGACGTAGATTTGAAAAAAATGATTTTAAAGCAGCTCGTAAAACTATTTCTCACACATGATATCAGCCAATGTCGCCCACTTTGATTAAAAAACACTTTGATGGCCGCTTTTATCGATAAAATAAATAATATGTTTCTCATGCCCAATTGTGTCCTTTCTGATCAGAAAATACTATAGCTTCCCCTAATTTTAAAGCCAAAGTCATTCGATTTTGAATAAGTATTTCCAATGATTGCTTCTAAGATGCGACCCCAAACACAAGAAAATGTCATTAAATCGATTTACTATGTTGAGCTTTAAATCATGAAAACAAATAAAAAAAACAAACTGTTGGCTATTGCAAATAAACAAAATAGCGAAATGGACCCTCATTTAAGAGTAGAAATGGTTTGCAAAACGTCAAAGGATTGTGCCGCCGGCCAAACGCCAGTGGAAATTGATTAAAAAGCAGCGCAGATGGCAGAGATGGCCTAAATACACAGGACATCAACGAATTGTTGTTGCAGGACGCTTAATCCTCGCAACAGGCGCACAAAGGCAAAGGAATTCCCACTAAATAGCAAGCGAATCGATTATCTAAAGCCAAAGAGTTCCAAGCGGGTCCTAGGCGAAAGTAGGATTGGGTATTGGTCAATTTCAATTCACACACATATGCATATATACATATATGTGTATGTATATATACATATATATGCATATGTGTGCTTGTGTGTTTAACATTTGTTTGTGTTGGGATTGACCCGGAATAAAGGGACTCTTTTTGTTGTGACATCTTTTTAACATATTATGTTTCATGCTCTTTCCGTTTTCAGGGCACAACATGGCCTCAGCACAGATACGACATTTCTATAACACACCAACAACAACAACAAAAACAACAACAACAAACAGGTCCTCTTCTTTCACAACACGCCAACTCTTACAACAACAGCAGCAACATACTGTCAACAGCAGCAGAAAGCGGAAGCAATTTGAAAGCGAAACGTTTTTGTGCCACACAACAACACAAAGTAAATTGGAAGCAGCAAGAACAACAACATGGCAGCCACTCACGCCAGCAACACTCGGGGCAGCAACAGCAGCAGCAGCAGCGGCAGCAGCATCATCAGATGATGTACAAACGAGAGGAAGTGAAAAAGGTGCATCAAATTGGATATGGACAATACATGAGATCGCTGCGAGCACCGCCAGCCATAGCCGCAGCAACAGCAGCAGGAAGAACAGCATGTTACAGCATGCTGGCACGAAGACTGGGCAACAGCAGCAGCAGCAGCAGCTGCATAAGCAATATCCTGTCTCAGGTACACATGATGCTAATTGCAATGACGGCCACAACGATATTGGCGCTGGCATTGCGGGATGTCAACGCTTTGCTGTTGCTACTGGGACTGCCAATGCTTTTGCTGCGCACTCTAGCAACAGCGAAAACAACAACGGCAACAACAACAACAACACAACAGCTGCAACAGCAATACAATCACGCCTATCTTCCAAAACCAAACACGGCCAAGGTCAAGACTCTACAACAGCAACAACTGCAACAACAACAACAACAACTGCAACAAAACAACGAAAAGTCTATCAACACTGCACAAAAGATGCCGCTGCCATTGGCCAGGGCACTCGGACTGTCAGATTCTTTATGGATATGCAAAAATTTGCACGCACTGTATTTCCGCTCGTTATTGTCTTCAATCTGCTACCTTTGTTCTATGCAGGTGAGTGCCTTAAGTTTAGTCCTCAAGTTAACGTAGTTGTTTATCTAGAGGCTGTGCACTTAATTAGCCTCACAAAATGTACACAATTTCTCTTTGGTCAATATCAACAACTTAACATAGGCTTGCACTAATTGAGGCCAAGCTTGGTGTGGAGCATTGTCTTTGTTCTTGTGTTGTGGCTCTGATGGTTTGTAACCGAGTTAGGACCAAATGCCGCTCGAGCAAATAAATATATAAATGTTGGCAGACTTTTAAGCGCTGCCCAAATAACTTTGACATTATTTGCAAATTGACCCGCCCCACACACAGACACACACACAAACGAGAGCTGGCGGCAGCTCATTATTTATATCGACATGAGAAAACAAAAAAATGGTCACAAATTTAATGACCAACCAAACTGGACTTTGCCCCAGAATGCGACCTCGAGAGTCCTTTGCGTCGACTTTTTAACATCTTTTTTGTATTACGACTTTCGTCTTGCTGCCGCTTATTTAAAAAAAAACATGATAAAAAAAAAAACAAATGTGCTTCAGTCGGAAGTGCCCGACTATGAAATTCCCTGTAGCAAGCACCAAAATTCATTGTGATACATATTATCCCTCCCTTAACGTTTCATTCTTGTATAACTATCTGTAGTAAAGTCTGATCAATTCAATTTTATGGGTACGGTAAAGATAGCAAAAATTAAATTTAAATTAAAACTCGTAATGTGATCAAAAAGTATTATGATAAAAGGAATATTTGTTGAAATTATGGGAAGGATGAAAAGATAAGCTCATTCTACGCTTAAAATTTTTGACTTTCATACAGTCGAAGAGACAGACTTTTTTCAATGATTACAGGGTATAACAAATACATTATTATTATAAAGTTTGGGTCACACAGACAATGGGGCGCGACCTTTTTTCTTTTTTTTTTTTGGCAACTCAGTTGCCGACTTTTGTTGTTGTTTTCGTTGTTGTCGGTGTGCAGCAAACTTATTAATTAAACGCGAATATAATTATTTAAGACAATGTTGTGGAGCAGGCAGCTGCTTTACCAAATTCAATTTGCGATCCTCGTTTGATAGCCCAACATTAGCGGGCAGTGCTGTGGCTAGGGCCTGCTGCGTCTGGCATTTAACAAATGCCTAATGTCAAAAAAAAAAAAATAATACAAAGGCAACAAAAGACGCCGCCCAATGCAAAAGGAAATCTATGACAATTCGTTAAATGCCCCTTACTATTGTCACTAGCCAAATCCAAGCAGCGATTGAAGTCAATTCAAGCCCTGCCCCGGCCTGCTCGTTACTGTCTTATCAGTTGAGCCAGCTACTGCTGCTGCTGCTGCTGCTGCTCGCTCTCTTAAAGCTCACGTCTGCGCAGTGCGTGTGCCACCTTATCAGGTCCGGCGCTTATCAGTGACTATTGAAATTGTTTATTGGGTATTACAGCTATTGTTTGGCGCTCAGAATTTGCTGACTGTCGATGGGCAGCTTAACGAGTTTTCCATAATTTACCAGATAATGAAGGCTAAGCTTCATGATTTTCATCTGGCAACATTTAAGCAGTAGCCAATACAAAGTCGGTTGGCTTTTGTTGCCACCTGTCGGCATGTCAAGTGCCAACTTGTCGAGTGATTAAGACAATAATGAAAATGCGATTTGGCACTCGAAACAAATGAAATGGGCGATTCGCTGAGCCGTAGCTGCAGCAATCGTAATGAGAACGCAAAGTAAACAAGCTAGGACTTGAGCCTCGGAGAGCTCGGGCGAAAGCCAAACAGAAGCTGCATGCAGAACTGGGTGAGCGAGTGGGAGGGATAATAAGTGCTCAAAGCAAAGATGCTGCGCGATAAAACGAAATAAAAGAATCATAAATTCAATTTGATTTAAGATTTATTGCATGTGAGTTGCGTCCATTCGATTGTCGAACAGTCGAGCAGTCAACGTTATGGCAAAAGCTTTCGCTTGCCTAGTCCTTGCCAGTAGACGCACACACACGCACGCAAACACACACGCACACATTCATCGCTCTATCTCTGTCTCTCTCACCCTCTCGCGCTCGGCTCTCTGATTGCTTTTATATGCTGGTCGCAGCGCACGAAGCAACTCAGTCGATGACAGTCGGCCAGGCACGCAAGTCGCTTCAGTCAGCGCTTCAGCAGCAGCAGCAGCATTAACAGCAGCAGTTAAAGTCACCGTTCAAGTCGTGTCGTGTGACAAGCTTTATCAGCAGCTTACCCGTTACTTTTGGCTCGTGTTTCGCAAGCGTCGCTTCGAAACGGCGAATATTGTTTAAAGTCGCGCATCGCCATTTTTTAAACGCTTTTGTGCTTTTTATGTTGCATATTTAAATTTACATTTCTTGCGCATTTTCTTTTCTGTGCTCTATACGCGTTCTTTTTTTGGCAACTATTTCCCGCGCGTTAACGACGATAAGATTGAGAACAAGAGCTTCAAAAGTACAATAAATTAATACAGGACATTGTGTACACAAAGGTTTCGCGTCTACAAAGCGTAAATATATATAAAATGTAACTTGAAAATACCAAAAAAATAATGTTGTGGGTTTTTTTCTGTGCACATTTGAGATACAAGTGGGATAGATTTGGAATTAAGATGAAATCATAAAATGAGCGTTAAGTAAATAGCAGTGTTAGGCTAGGGCAAAATGTGTTTAAGCGGAACAATCTATAATATTAGTCATTCGATTTTATACTATCCGCCATTTATCTAATGTAATCGCATTAATGCTCTCTAATGCTTCTTACAGTTGTACCCATTTAAGCGCAGTAAAAATTTATTACATATTTAGCATAATATGCATGCGAAGCTAAATATAAAAGGCAAACATTATTAGCTGATTTGCTCAAACAGACAAACAAGCAGCGACAGTTTTTCCCTTTGCTGCCACGGATTTCCATTATCCTCCTCACAATGGCAACGCACACATGCGAGCGAGCGACTTTTATATGAGTGCAAATACAAGTTGTTCGGATTGGCTGAGCACAATTGTTAAGGGATTTATGGCTGGATGTTGTTTGGACAAAACTAGCTAAACGTGAAATGTAAAATTCTTTTGTGATTCTCTGCTAATTGTATTTGTCTGTGGGAGACTTTTGCCAACTGATGTATCGCCTGGTCGAGAACGGGATACTTTGGTTGGCTGCTCCTTCAGGTCCTGGCATTGCCAGCAATTTGCCAATCGTTGCCAAGATTGAAACGTGCCAACTGTGCAAATAGTCAATCAATAGCCAATTCTTTCATTGTTTTGCAGTTGTGGCTGTTTGTGTTTGCTTAGCTGGCCAGGTGATAAGCAAACAGCGTACTCAGGTGATAACCACAACCCTTTGTGTGCGAAGGAAAACTCCCAACAGCAGACACCTGTTTCGAGCCAAGTCCTGAGCCATTGCTTGCGCCACCGTCGCTTCCTTTGCTTTGCGGCTAATGGAGAGATAAAAGTTGCTACGTGTGGTAAATGTTAAAAAAGAGAAAAGGCTGACTGACGACTATAAATGTTGCCCGACCCTGAGCCCTGTCTGAGGGTTTTACGCATAAATTATTTATTCATTAGCTGTCGCTCGGCTTTTGTGTGCATCGTTAAAATTTCACCTGGCTTGATGTGCGGGGGCGCTTACCAGTTTCCAGGCTCAGCTACGGTTGACGAACTACACAGGATTCTCAAAATGAGCTGCATTCGTTTTACTTATGAAACTTTTGCTTGCCACGCCCATATGCATAAATCCTCATTCAAAGCCGCCCACATTTGCTCATATGACTGCGCGTTCTCAGTAACCTTTTGCCTCACCGAATGCAAAGAAAAATGCTAAGCGGCGGGCGTTTTCCTGGAAAGTGGGCGTAGCAATGTTTCCGTTTAGTTTTCTGATTATTTCCGGTGCGCTGCGCTTTTTCATTACTATTTGGGCGGCAAAGCAAAGAAATTATTATAATTTTTCGCATTGGCATTGGGCGAACGTTGCGTAAGCGCAACTTTCAAAGCCGCGAAACCGAATTTAATTAGCGCCTGCAGCACATGAGCTAATCCGTTGTTGTTATATATATATATATCTGGTATTTTGTTTTCGAGGGGCCAAGGACTGTGTGAATTTCCGGCCAGCTGCCCCGCAATCTAAGCCCAGTTGCAGCATTTGCCTCCGCTGTCATGTGATATGAAAATAAATAGAAATATATTGCAACTTTTTCACTATATCAACTTGACGGCTGCCAAGCAAAAAACTTTGCTGCCAACAGCCTGCCACTGGCAGAGGCATTGTCAGATTTAGGAGATGGGCGTCGACATGCCCGCTACTTAAAATTATATTTCGTTTGTAGACGGCGCTAATGAGTTCGCTGATTAAAGCGTAATAAGCCTCCTATAGCCAAGCCTCCTTGTTTCCCTCACACATTCCTTTAAAATTACAAAGTAGCTGCCTGCCAGCAGCTAAGACTCTTAATTGAATTCCTGACACTTTGTTAATCGTGAGTAATTGAAAACAGCGGCGTAATTTAAAACAGGTTAAGGACCAAATAGCAAATGTTAAGTATACGCCGCGTGTAACGCTGACTTTTGACTATGAAAAGCAAAAACCAATTGCTGTTGTTTTAATTAATTTTTATATTTAGTTAAAAGATTGTTTATTGAGATAGCTATCTTTGCTTGGAAATGCAAAAGCTATTTTTGATTTGACACGATTTTACAGTTATGTTAGGGAAATAATTGAAAAGTTGAAATACAAAAACTAATTTTTAAAAAAGTTACTTCTAGAAAGATGAAAAGTATCTTAACTTCGTAAGTGCCATATTGAAAATATATCTTAAGAATTAAAAATATTGTATATAGATCGATTCCCATTGAGCTATATGATATAGTGCCCAATTTTGATACGATTTTACTCATATGTGAGAACCCGAGTGAAACTCGTTAATGCAAAAGTTGATTAAGATAGCTCGGAACAGCAAAATGTATATTATTAAAGCGTTAGCATATATTTTCGCCTATATATTCATGCAGAATATATATTTCTGTATGGCATGCTTGTGCTTGTTAGAATTACAACACCTGACAAAGATGAGAAATCACAGAAGTCATGAATAGTTTATTTATTCATTATAATTTATGCATTAACTGACCTGAAGCCCTTCTCCGAATCGCATTTCCGTTTTGTATTTATCTGCTGTTTTTCTATGGAAAAGGTCAATTTTACAGCTCTTGTCGAATATGTCTCATATTCAGCAATAAATATTTATATTTTCATTTGAAGCCTGAGTTCAAATATTTTATGCATGCACATTATTGACGTGTAACCAGAACAATTTTCAATGAAGTCAAAACTAAATTGAAAACATTTTGACAATTGCTTACATATTTATAGCCGAGTGCGATTCCATTACTCAAGCAATCCAATCAATTAGACCTCGAGATGCTCAAGTCCTGTCCAATTTCAGGGCTAAATCGTAGCACTGCAATTGACCAAACCTGACAGCCGTACAGACCGAAACTTTCTCAGCATTGTAGCAGCCAAGTTGTTGGCTTATTATTGTATGGCTAGGAGTTGGTCAAGCAAACGGGGACGGGTGGGGGTTCCATGGATAATAAAACAGCAGCAATGCCAATTTCAATAAAACTCGTTAATGTGCGTAGTCGAAAAAGTTTCGGGCCAAATGAAATATTAATAGCCACGAATTATGCCCGCGGCAGTGGAGTCAACTGGATAAGTTATAATTGCACTGCGAAATTGTTACAAAACAAACTAAAAAATAAAATGAAACTGTTTTAATTTAATTTTCATAAAATGAATCATGAATTTGCCTGCAAACGAGAAACTATACAAAAGTCTCTCAAAAATTAATAATGCAAATGTAATACACATTGGATTTTGTAACTCATGCGAATTTCAACAAATTTGCAAATTAAATTTGACAGAAACATACAAACAAATAAAATATGGGAATTTGTATAGACGTATTGAATTCGTTTCGAATACTCTACTTAGATATAAATTAAATAAGCAAATATTGACTAATGATATATTTAGGCAGCTGCGTTAGTTAGTTTGATTATAATATGTCAAACTCTCACTATTTAGGCCAGTATTAAAATAATATAAAAACAATTTCATATCGCTTTTCTAGTTTCTTAACTGAGAGTTTGGCGATAGAGTAGCAGCTAGAAAAGTAGAAAATAACAAGATGCGCTTTTGTGCAATTCTTTCCAATCAAAATAATGCTTGGGGAGTATCGTAAAAGTGTCTCCAAGGCGATACTAATTCTTGTCGTACAGATTTATTGTTTTACTCAAAAAGAAAGGAAAGGAAAGAAGACAAGCTACCATGTTCTCTAGAGTTATGTACAGGGTATTTACCGGTCGAGTCGACTGCAGCATTGCCACTTATTTTGCCTGTATCAATGTTGGCTAAAATGGGCAGCTGTGCATAACCAGCGGCCATTTGAGCGGCAGTCAGTACTAGATTGATACCTAAATTGGCGTTGTCTTTTGACTACCCCACTGGCATATTCTGATATCTTTTGTAATATATAAAAAAAGACTTTTTGTCGCATTTGCGTAATCTTTAAAGCATCTGCATGAGGCAAAAGTGAAAAGCAAAGCATGCAACAGGACAGAACAATGCTGTTGGCAAGTGAAGGTTTGGGGCAAGGACTCTGTGTCGAGGTTAAGTTAGTTACAAGGCGTAGATATCGCAGGCATATAAATCCCTCTCTCTCTCTCCCTCTATCACTATCTCTATCTCTCTTTCACTCTCTCATGCAACACTGAGTGCCAGACGTGCATTTAAGAACTAAGACAAAAGATTTCTGCCGAGTTCAAGCTTAAGTGTAGTCAGTGGCGGAAATACTTATGGCAGGCACACACACACACAAACACATACACACACACACACACCTGACATCGTTTGCTAAAAAATCAGAAATATTCGCCGACTGCTGACTGCTGGCGGCTTTGCCGCAGTACTCACTAAACAAGTGCAATTATTTTAATGCACTTTTGACTTTTGACATTGCAAGACAACAGCTGCTGCTGCCTCAGTTGCAGCAGCAACAACAACAACAACAACAACGCGTGGCACAATCTTAAAGCACTTATGAAGCATTTATGCTGCCATTGTGTGTCTACACGCGCTGAGCCGCCCATTGGGGCGACACTTGGCGGCACTGCCTCAAGGTCAGCAGCGCAATCAACGCTGCTGAACTTGCCCCAAAAGCTATGCCCCTTTAATACGTACGCAATAAAGCCGCATTTACACTGGCGCAATGCAATTTTCTTTCTAATTTGATGGTAGTTTTTGCACGCTTTAAATCCTTCAAGTTTCTTTTTTATGCGCCTCTCGCGCCGTTGACACAAATTGAATTTGTGCTGGCACAAACAGTTTCCAACGTCACCCGCAGCTGATGATATCGATGGCTGCGCCTCTTGGGGTGGAATCACCAGACATGGACTGTGCCCTCAACTTCCAACTCCAGCTCCATTGGCGGCTTTTTGGTCTACGCATTCAGCCAGCATAAACAAATTTCTGCAAATGTGCGCATAAAACTTACGAAATTGCAAAATGTATTTTATTTGTTCGCTCGGGAACACGAGAATCGGGGTGTGTATTGTTTTATTTTAGATACCCTCGCAGAGGGTACAATAGTTTTCTCACTAAAACTGTAACGCATAGAGGAAGATGTCTCCGACATAATATGGTATATATCTTTTTCTGGATCGTCATTAACAGCCGAGTTAATAAAGCAATGCCCGTCTGTCTTTCTTGTACAACGAACATTATTTCTGTCAGCAAAAGCTTATCTACATCGGACTTATATAACATATAGCTCAATTTAGCAATCAATTAAAAACTAGTTTGTTCTTAAGATATCTTCAACAAACTTGGCATTTTACTTGCCATATCGAACAACTATATTATGTGGCTGGCATATGTACAATCGTTTTAAGCCTACCAGAATATTTATTCTTCGGCGTGCCGCACATAGCCTTTTTTTCATGTTTTTGTTATATTTTTGTTATTTTTGGGGTCGTCCTCTTGGGTGACGTGCTGTCAGGCCTTGTCCTGTTTTTTCGCGTTGCCTTCAAAAACAGCTGCTGCTGCTGCTGTGGCTGTTGCTGGGGAAGCGCTAATTTAATTAAGACCCACAGACAAAAACGACAGGCGATATGTGTCAGTGAAATGTGCTGTAAGAGTCTTTCTCTCTGTCTTAGATCTTATTTGGCTTTGGCTGGCCGTAAAAGTCCTTTCCGCTCGTTATTCTTCGGGTGCATGTGTCAGCACAATAAGCAAGTATGAATACTTTTTAGGTTTATTATCGTTTGTTATAACACAACAACAAGCGCCAAAGGGCCAATACGTTACGTATACGCACTGCTTGCACTGCATTTTCTTTAACCGTGTGTAGAGATTGTTGTGCGGATGTTTGTCTTTGCTTGTTTTACCTGCGTAAGCTGCAAATAAACTGAAAAATGGACTTATTGCAGGGTAATCGAAACAGGCAAACATTCTGTCCCTACTCGCTTTATGGCAATATTGGCTTTATGATGTAGTTGAATTTAAAGTTTAAAAGAGCAGAGCGCATCAATTATGCAGCTGCTACATTTATCACACAGCAGGAGCCATTTAGTTGGGGCGGGCCGGTCAGTAAGTGCTGCCGTTTTCATTAATATTAATTGACCAATTCAAAAGGAACAGACGAAAGGGACAGGGCCAGCAAAAACAAAAAGCTCACAAGTTCAAACTATGCCTGGCTTATTTATAACGTTTCACATCCGCGCGCCGCACGCACAAAAAAACAGCAGAGCATAAAAAACAAATTTTCGTGTCAGGGCAAAGGCTGTGTAAAAAACAAGCACATAAATAACGACAAGGCATTAAACCAACGCCTGGCCAGCAAAAAAAAGAAACAATGCCAAATCGCAGGACCTGCCCGGAACAGCAGGCCCGCATAACAAATTGTCTAACGCCGCCCCAATTAATTAATATATTCGCCCATCGACAAATAAGCGGGGACCCGGCCTCAGTTTTGTGTTGAGCTAGAAACTTGGCTGATTCTTTGCCCTTTGCCCTCGTTTGAAATTGAAATTAGAACTGTTCGCTGTGCAGTTCTAAATGTCTGTCAAGAGATTTGCCCAGCTGCCCGCCGTGCCAATAGTTCCGTGCAAACATTCAATTCGAACATTTTGTCTCTTTTTAATATATTTTGTATTTTCATTTTAGTTTTTCCCCGTTTTTTTCTTTCTTCTTCGTTGACTGTCAGCAGCTGTGACCATTTGCTGCTGTCGGGCTGCATTAGTTTTTATGCTTCATTCCTGTGAAAAACTTTTCCGAACTATGTTTTTCTTTTAGTTTGTCATTTGTTTTTTGGTTTTTTTTTACATTGCAGTTGTTGCTGTTGTTTATCTTGTTGTGCTGTAGCCTTTCCCCTTTGGCCAAATGTCAGCGTTATTTTCATTTGTGTCAAACATTTTATATTGCTAGCTGGCTTTTTCCCGGCCTCGCTCGGTCCAAGTTTTTTACTCTACATTTTAAACAATTTTCTAAACATTTACAACATCTGAAAATCGAAATCTAGCCGTGCTAGTTTTTCTTAACTAATACTAGTTATAGTCTTTAGTTATATATATCCAACAGGCGTGAAATGAAGATTATATAATTGATATAATAGCTCTTCCTTTTTTTCCTGGGGCCTAGATCGCCATTCAGTTAGTCAGTCAGGTTAAACCGTCTTAAATATAAAGAAATATATCTTTATTTACTGTTTAATTAAGTTTAATTTTTTATGTTTAGCCATTTATAATATTGAAAAGAATTGTTAAATCCTTTATTTGCCTTTACATATTAATTTTTGCGCTTACATTTTTTTAGTTTTCTTTGTAGCAAAAAGCTTTCCTTTTTTAAAAGTAAGTTTTTCCTAATGCACACTGAAAGAGTTTTTTACATGAGTGCATGCTCATCAGCTCATAATGCAATTAGTTCTGCACATTCTTATTACTTTTTCCCTTGCCTACCAGGAATACCCCTTTTTAATAATAAAAAAAAAGAAGGTATTTTTAATTGAGTTTGTCAAGTTATGTTTGGCGATAATTGAATTTTCCTGCCGTGTGCGCTTGTACCGCTCTGCAGGAAATTAAGCGAGTGGCCTCTGTGTCAATTATTGCAAGGAGTGCTTGCACAAATTAGATAACATTGAAGTATATGGCATTATTGTTGGCTCAGTAGCTATTAGACAGGTTAATAGGCACTTCATATTGCATCCTGCTGACAGCAAATGCAACACGGCACAAATGTTATCGCACGACACAAAGCAGCGTACACACACACACACACACACACGCTCACAGATAGACACTTGTACTGAGAACTACATTTATCAAATGTCAAAAGCAAACACACACACACACACACACACAATTAGATAGAGATACACACATTAACAGACACCTCACGCTCGCTATTATCGGTTGTGATTTTTGTCAAATTTCCACTTGTGCGCCTCCTGATGGAGGAGTGCCAGGACACACTTAAGCACACACACACACGCAGTGCACTTTGTTTCTGCACAATGCGAACAGAGAGGTTTGACCAGTTTTGGGCTGTCCACAAGCTGTCAGAGTGCGCAGTGTTAGGGGTTGGATGATTGGAGGCCGGACGCAGGCGGGGCATTTTACGCACAGTCGAGCGACTGATAGGCAGTCCTTGGAATTTATGGTACGCAATTTGTTTTGGGCCGCCCGCAGCAATGTGAGGGCATATATCAATGCCAGCAGAGGGCACGGAGTCGGGCAGTTATGACAAGTGATTGGGCAATGGGCAACGCTCTTTGGTTAGTCCCCACGGATGATCTCAACTGTGCACAGACAAAACGGGGCATCAAACAAAACAAGAAAAAAAGGGTAGCACAGAGAAATATACATAAATCTCTGTATCTCACACAGCAATTAACTGCGAGTAAAGGCAACACTTGAATCCAGCTCAACACAACAAGCTTTTGTTGAGGCAGACGTTTGCCATTTAGACGCCCGAATGAGTAACAGCGCGATGGTGGCCGTGGCCATTTGCTGCATCTTGGTGCTGCTGGCGGTATTCATTGTGATCATAATAGTGGTTGGGCAGCAGTTCGAGGAGCCCAAGTGAGACATGCTCCAGCTGGGACCTGGCAACTTCCCAGATGGATAACAGAGAGCTCCAAATTGTTAGTTGCGGTCAACACAATTGCCGGGGCAGATACCAGCGCCAACCACAACAACAATACCAAGAACAACAGGATGAAGATGAAGTTGAATCAGTTTACCGCCGTCGCCGATCGATGTCACTATTATCACACGAATCACACCTAGAATCCAATGTCACTCAACATAAGCAGAGTGGGCAAGATCTCGATACAGAAAGAGAAAGAGAGAGAGAGAGAGAGCGACAGCGTTATTTAATGAAAGAGAAGGCATCCCATCGTCAGTACCGATTGGCTGTGATGTGAAATTATTAGAAATATGTGGAATACAAATTTAAAACAAAATTTTGATCATTCCTCATGCCGAAACACATCTATAAGTAGCTGTTAACCTTGTGTGTCTGTTAAATGTTATTATGAACAAGCAAGAATATAAACCCTATATACCCATATACATTATATATATATATATATAGATATATATATACTAATGTGTAACCCAACCGTCGTAACATCGCGATTTTATACAAGTGTTGTTAGCAAATTTTTATTGATGTTTTATTGATGTTGCATACAACTTATATACACATAGACACACGCACACACACACACACGCACACACACAAGCAAAATAAGCAACTAAGCGAAATAAATTTACATCAACATTAACGTCTCAATTGACAACAAAGCCAAAGTCCAAGCACGCAACATAAGGCCAGGCTGTTTAAAACGGCAGCGCGGTTTAAAACGCGTGCGATTTCGACGCCCCACAGACGAAGACGCTGGAAAATACGCTAGCAGAAAAAGGAACGGATATTGCAAACAAAAAGAGCTCAAGAAGTCGGCTAAGGCCTGACGTTGCTCTCGGAAGCTCGGAATAAAAGAAGATTGACATATTTTTGTGAAACGAATATGGGTATCTAAGCATCGCACTTGTTAAAAGCTGCAAAAAGATACGGAATAAGGAATGCAGATCAGAAATCAAGCTGTTGGCCTAGTTCTAGTAAATGATATGCATTTTATATATCAAATAACTTTTGGATAAGTTTTATGTGTGTGTTAAAACTCAAATATATATATATAAATTTACATGTGTGTATGCATTATAATATAAATACAGAATACATATGGTTACATGTACGTAATTACTTAGCTTTCTATGTGTACTACAAAGTTATGAAACAAAGAGTTACAAACCAATGAGATTATGTCTATAACCGATTCAATACGATAATTCAAGTCAAATAACATTAAACAATGAAAAGTTGATTTAATAAATTCAAATTAAATACATTTATTGCGCGCTGTAAACAAAATATAATATGAAAATAAATTAATCGAGTAAACTCAACTCCAACTACTCGTTTTTATTACTCGCTCAAACATAAAATTAACAAAAAAAGGTAAGCACTGCTGACAGTCGTTTAACCACAATAAAGTGCAATTATTAAATTTATTCGACTAGCGGCTTAAATGGAGAACTCTCGATGCTGCAACTGCCAGCTAACCCCCCAGCTGCATATGCAACATCCAATAAATTGTGCAACGTGCGGCGGCTCCCTTTAAAAAACCACACGCTTTCCGCTTTGTGGTGCAATTGTCAGACATGTTGCCAATGGTTGTTCAGTAAAGTGCAAAAACGTGCAAGCGAAATGCAAAATAAAAAACAAATTCAATTTCAATGCTCAAGTTTTTGACGGCACGCAATTTAGTGAGTGTTGCAGTGTTCAGGTGTTTGCGGTAGCTGTGCACCATGCAGCGACTCCTTATGCATGCTGTGCCACACCTGACCACACACACACACACACACACACGCACACACACACGCACATGCAAATTGCGAGCTGGTGTTGCCCCAGCCACAGCTTTAGACGCTACAAATTTATAAATTGCCAATGCCGGAGCAAGCACCATAAAAATCTTCAGTCGGTGCCGGGACAGTAGCAGGGCAACGGCATAAAGACAATAAAATTTTATTAGTGCAGGTCCTGTCAATGATTCTCGCCTAGCCAGTTGATTAAAATGGAAACGTTGCTCTGGGTTCTGGCATGCGAGTGCAGCTGGAAAATGGGAATAAGCTGCTAAAAATGTTCGACACGAGCGGAAACAGCTGAGCTGTTCCAGTTTTTTGCAACCCAACCGTTAGGCTGATCCAGAAAAACAATTTGTTATACCCTGACCCCATTAAAAATGGGTTAACAGGATATGAGGCTTATGTGCAAATGTGTGTAACACGCAGAAGGATTCATCTATATATCTTTCCGAGTCGATCTAGCAATGTCCGTCTGCCCGTTTGTCCGTCTATTCGTTTGTGCATCAATTGCAGAGACTATCAGAGCTGGAGACACGCAATTTTCGACGTAGATATTACCCACATAGATCACGGCATTGATAACTTGCCCCGTTTCCATTAAGTCGATGAAAATGATATTCGAAATCCTGTTTTTAGGCATAGCTCTTATAAGAGCTAGAGATCCCCTTATAGTATACACATATTTGGAATATCTGACTGTTTGTTGGGACTGACTGCTTAAAAAGCTAGATGCAAATTAGAGGTCGCTTTTCGAGAATGATTCTCATAGCCATGAAGAAGATTTGTATGCGAATTATAATAATAATTAGACAAAGGCTTACTGTCAGACTTACTTACAAATGGTTTCGGCTAGGCTTTACGTGTACCCTTACCTATTATTAAGAGCCTGCGGCTCGACATCTCATCTATTCCATGTCTCCCATGCTTCTTAAATTAAGTATATTTATAAATATTTTTAAGGAAACAATTCCCTACAACCTATTTATTACATATAAGATTCTCTCGCTCTCTTCCTTGCTCTCTTTTAAAAAATCCCACTTGTTCGTCGCTCATGTGACACATAAATTAAAAGACTATGTCTTCTCTGTACAATGTGAAAAATTAAGCGTAAATTAAAATTGTTCACTTGAATGATTGATTTTCACAGCACTTGCAAATTGCTGTGCAGTAAGCTCTAGAATTAACGGTTTTGTTACACCCTTGCAGAGGGTATTATAATTTTATTGTAAAAGAGAGCAAAAGAGGTGTATTTAGTTCATATATATATCATATTTGATAGAGAGCGTCTGCTTTAAGCTGATTAAGCTAGTTGCTTACTTTTCAAACTATCTTGACTATTCTTGACATATCCTTCTCCTACACAGTATTGATTAGATTGAAATACTAACTATACAAAAAACTTCTCATATGAATAAAGTTTAATTGGTTGGGCAGCTTTTTGTCTTAAAAGGTATTTTGAAAAGTCTTCCATTATGCATTTTTATTAAATTCAGTTTGACGAGATCCAAGAACTATATCATGGAAACAATCGTATTGTCATTTGAAGAAGATAATTTACGGTATCAAATCAGATGACATTTTGCTGGCCTGTAAGGGTATTTGATCTTCTTCAGCCCGTAGTTAAACGCTTTTTCTTGTTTTTTCTGTAGACATGAACCTGAAGTCAATTGCGTTGGGTTCTGTGCCGTGTCGGGCGTGTTGACTGGGCCCGAGTCGCTTGTGTCCGTTATATTTCCGTCTGAAAGCATCAAGTAATCATAAAGTGATGGAAATTCAATTTACACAATATTAAATATGGCAAGTTGTGAACTCGCAACAAGGATGAGTTGGGATTTTTGCTGCTGCATGCAACCAGGCTGTGCCTGCCGGGGCGCCAATTTGGCACTTTTTGTGAGAATCGGATCCGTGTGTGTGTGTGCGTGTGTGTGTGTGAGTGTGGTTTATTATTATGCAGATTAGGCCAAGTCCCTTGGTTTACCTTTACTTCTGACTTGACATACTCACAGCGGGCGTGGCATGTGTATGCGCGTATGTGAGTGCGCATAAAAATCTACACACTCTTAACTTTGCCGTTTCCCCGTCCCGCCCATGCATATATGCAAATTGCGTTTCGTTTTGAGTTTTGTTACCTTTTCTGCAGAAAGTGTTTACGTGTGTGTGTGTGTGTGTGTGTGTGTGGAGGCAGCTGTGTGTAGGAATATTTACACACATATTTATGGGCAGTCGATGCCATGACTTAAACCTCACGTCAAATGTCACGTTTTATGACTGCGAATATCAACAATTTAACGCACTCAATACTGCCAATTGGCTCGCCGTGCCCAGGTCAGCATTATGCAAATGTTGTGATTTTTCATTTTGTTTGTGCTACGAAACAAAATTGCATTAATAACATGTAATTGCAGATCTCTGTGGTGGCAAGGAGCCTATCGGCGGAGTCGCGTAGGCCTGTGCCATGCTTCATCCAACAGATACAGATACATTCATAGTTAAAGCATGGCCTGGTAGCTCGACATGTTGGTTTACATGCAAAAAGCAATTACCTAAAGGAAATTGCAAAATTAGAGACCAAAATCGAAAACAAACTAAACACAAAGTTGTCTAACGAGCTAAATATGCAGCTCTCAGCTATATTTTGCCCACTTTCGGCTCTAAAATGTTGTGCACAATTTTGATTTGGCTCATTTGCATTTGCAAACTGAATAATGTTAATTTGATAGCGGCGATAGCGTCCAGAACTGCAGTCAGCGATGCGTAAACTGCAGATAAATGCTGTCCAAAGAAATTTGGGACAGTTGTGGGAGATGGCCAAAATTTGCGACATGTCTAATGGGCTGAAATTTAATGCACTTTTGTGTAATGTGGCAATGTCAGTTTGGCGTATTTGGCATTATGGACACATAACAAATGCTGGACATTAGACAAAGCCAAAGCCAAAGTCAACACCTACACACACACAAACACACACACACACACACACAGACAGAAGTGGCGGTGCGCTCTCGAGAATGCCGCTGAGTCAACTGTCAATTAATCAATTCGGCTGCCTGGCAAATGTTGCCGCTTTGGCCATCAATTTAATGGGAACACGTTAAAGCAGGAGCTTCTTCTAGTAGGGGCTGCCTGTAAGTGTTTGCATCAACTGCGGCACAGCTGCGAGTGGAGCTGCTACTGTGGGTGTAACAAATGTTTGGGTTTTCAAAAAAGCAACTGCGTTATGCCGCGAAAATAATACACAGATTTGCGATACTTACACACCCAACCTCATATACACACACTCAAATACACAGGGGAACATATTTTATTTTTGACATTTGTCTGTTGCCTACCTTGCGGCATGCCTCGTGCATTTTAATGCCTCGCCCGTGGCGTGTATTGTAGCACAAATTTATGGGCATTTATTGAGCATAAGTGTTGGCAATTCATGAAACAGCTGCGTGCCGTTCATTATAAAAGCCAATTTTAAATTGGGCTCTCGTCATACAGATAGCATTTTAATAAGCACGCAAGCCGCCCCCCCACTCCTCCCTTCTCTTCATATCTGGGCCAACTTGACGATGATGTCACGCGAAGCGCTAGCTAAAGATGAAGCTAAAGATTTGAGCCAAGTGGTATGTAAGTGTGTGTGGGCATGGATGTGGTTGTGTGTGTGTGTGTGTGTGTGTGTACATATTGCGGTATGTTGAAATGAAGATTTATAAACCTCTCAGCGCTGTTTTGGGGCCTGTACTCAGACGGTGCAGGTCTTATGTGTGGGTTCAGCAAACCCATAAATCTTGTGCAGAATCTTGTTTAGTTTATTGAATTATCAACGGGCGTATGTATGTGTGTGTGTGTGTGTGTGACTATCTATGTGCGTGTGTGCGACATTGTCTGGCATAAAACTAAAAGAAATATCAAACACGTGCGCCAGCACTTATGTAAATAAGCTCTGCCTCTCAACTTATGAGCGGGAGGCAGGGGCAATGGCACGCCTATATTTATAGTTTTATTTGTCTTCACGTTCTTAGCTTTGTCTTATCTACATCTCACGCTTTAACTGCCACCAACTGTTCCACTGTATGTGGCATGAATGTGACTTGGACTCTGTTGCCCCACTTGCCACGCAGTTGCGCTTAATTTTCGTGACTCATTTAAATAAATTTATTGTGTTGGCTGCACACACCTCAAATTTATGTTTTGCTTCCATTGAAATTGAATAATATGCTAATACAATCACAGCCAAAACAACTTTATGCCATTTTAAATGGATAAATATTTTCTGAAGCATACATTTTGGCTTCAAAGCAATCGCAGTAAAGTTTCTTGAATTTTGACTTCTCATTGTAATTTGTTGTTTACGAATACATAAAATGCGAATATAAATATGTATGCAATCTGTACAGTTTGAGAATACAAACAAAGAAATGGAAAACGGACGTTCCATAAAATGAGCCAAGTGAAGTGTTTATTTTATGGTTTCCCTAAAAAATAACTTGCAAAAATTACCAAATTTTGGGACCCGATATATTAATACACTTGCTTTCTCAATTACTACTCTTATAACTCTTGCAATCTTATCCAATTTAAATAGTTAATAATTGAATAAAATAAACTATAAACTTATAAGCTTTATTCCGACCGACTCTTCCAATACAAATACTATGTAGCCTTCAGGTAACGCAGATAAGTTAGAAGAAGGGCGAGTTTTGTCAAGATATTTTCATTATTTATATTATATTATTCGTCCGAACCTTATAAGATTTTACTTTCATTTAGGGAGCATATGAAGTTCGTAAATTCCAAGTTGGGAAAGATATCTTTAAGCATTAAAACCAGTTTGTACAAACACTTTACGTTTTTCATTCAATTACCTTATTTTGCTTATTAAAATTGAAAGACTTCTTTGCATCGCAGTCTCCTTTGTCTTACACAGTTCGAGACAAAAGATGTAATAACAAATTTAGTGGCTTTATTTTTGCAAGGCAATTATTAGAAAAATTACTTTTATTATAATCAGATTCGCTGAATTTGTATAAGCCAGAGTATATGTTGAGTTTCATTTGGATGTGGATTGTATAATCAACAAGCTTTTCCACGAGCACCCCAAGGTCAACTCTATGATATAACAATACGATGCCTACGAAAGTATAATGTATTTCGTTTTTTGTGTAGCAGCTTAAACTACGAGGCAAGTTTACATGGAAACAGACGAATTGGCAGGCGATGCGGTACGCATTTTATGATAAAATTATATAACCAGCGAGGGCTTATAGAAAATAAATAGTGTTGAAGTGTGTACTTTTCTCGGTACGCAGTCTTTTGATTTGGGATAAATGTTACCTGGGCAACAGTAAATTCCCAGTAACCATAGGAAACCTTACAGTGAAACTGGCTGCCCCATATACAATTGTACATTATTTATGCTCTGCTGGGCGCATTCTATTCCTTGTTATAATGTACTTACATAATATCTTATACTTGCTGAAGTCACCATAAAAATTACAACTTAAAGCGTTTATGCCACAAAGGATAGTGCACAAAAACGGACGAAAACAACAAAATTGTGTAAAAGAAAATTTCAATGTCTAAAATCTTAACATTGACAGGCAAGCCGCATTGACTGCATCGACAACAGGCGCAAGATTCCATTGAAAAAAGGGCACTAGATCAGGGTTACAAGGCAGCGCAGGCCACTTGAGCGACACCCCGAAGTGCTCTGCACTTGGCATCAATCAATAATTGCCCATCGAGAGCAGCGGGTGGAAGAGCAGTTGCTCTAACTGCAGCTAAGCCATAATTGATTAGCAGCATGCAACATGAGGTGCTTCAGCACACACGAAAGCACACGACCAGAATGCATAATGGCGCACATTGAGCTGATGCTGTTGCTGTTGCTGTTGCTGTACCCTTAGCCATATAGTAGCTACAGCTCGAATTATATATTGCTGCAATGTCTGGGCTATGTTCCTTTTTCATGCCAGGGCCACAGGCAATTGCCTGGCTTGTCTTCTCTAAGACGGCTTTTGTATGCGGGCGCTGTCGACAATGATGGATGCTGAGACTGGGTTCCAATTGTGTCTGCAATTAATGGCACACACACAATCGGCTGCAAATTGTATCTTTTAAATCGCTTTTCAATAAACTTATCGTCTGATCCGCTTTTACAGATTATCCCCCATTTCTGAGAAGGTCTTCATATCAAATTGTAACTTGACTTAACTTTTAATTACCATGTGCATTTTTGCACTTAACTTTGAGGTGGAAACTTTAATTAATATTTTTTTTTTTGCTCTCTCTTTTGCAGGTACGTTCCAACAAGCCAGCCAAAAGCGTAAGTAGTTTCTCAGAATTGCTCTTATTATTACCCACTTATCGATCAAGTTGCCTGGAACGTGTTCAAAGTTGGTCGCTTGAAGTGCGCTTCAAAAGCTTTTACCAAGTTATTCAGTTTTCGGGAGAGAAAAATATATAAAATATAAATATATACATATATCTGTGTGTATATGCATAGAAATCAAATATAAGATTCGACAAGTTCAATGAAAAATTGCATTGCAGAAAAAAAACACGTAAATACATTTCTACGCCAACAAAGTTGCTGCTGCCCAGCTTTGAGGGGCGTTCAGATACATTTGAATAGAAATAAAATTCGAATTCCAAATCGAAATGAAAATGTAAAAGGAAATACCTTAAGCGCACGCCAACCGAGCGGCGACTAGTCAAGGTCCGTGTCTTTCGGCTTGTTTGCCTGTTTCCTTTACCTTGTCCAAGTGTGCTCCGGTCTTAAGCACCGGACAAGCGTTGGCCTGGCGCTGTGCGAGCTGAAAGTTAATTAGCTTGTCAGTGTTTAAGACATATTAAAGCTGCTGCCAAAAGCCATCGCAATGAATTGTTAGGGCTAGGCAAATCGTTGGACAACACGTAATATTCATTAGTCACATGGCTACGGGGCGTATGAGTAATATTAAGTGCAGCCATCTAAGCAGCGCCGAATACATATTAATCTTCAGCTGATTTTGGTGCAATTTGCAGCTTAAGTGGCAATTAATAGAGGGCCGTAATTTAAGCACTTGAATGTAATCAACCCGCTAATTGGCAATAAATCAAACTCAGTTTACCTGCTCTTCTAGCCAACGCAAATATGCACTTAAGCCTTTGCTATATAATATGCATAATTATGTACGTCAGCGCTTGAGACTGAGATTACGAGTCTGTGCAACAACAACAACAGCAGCAGGTGCGGCAGATGAGGCAGCTGTGACAGCGCTATGTCTATGGCAACATGATTCTTATCCTGGCGCCGGCTCATCTTCATCTTATCGTCAAAATGCCATCTCACCTGCAGCTGACGTTTTCGGTCGTCTCTTAATCAACGCGTTTTATCACCAAGATTTTATTTTCGGGCTAAATAAACTATTAGGAAAACTCATTTTCATGAGAACACACTTTAATTGCTGTTGCCGCTGCTGCTCGTGAACGGCTGCGGATACGCGAACCAGCAACAATAACGAGCATAAGGCTCCGGTATCTCTGCGGTGTGGCATTTGGCAAACGGCGTTACTTGTAAATTTAACGCAAATTGTCTGTAACATGAGCTGTTCGACTGAGGTGTCGCGGGTGCGGTTCGGTTCGGCGCCGTGCGGTGCGAGGCTGACTACACTGCGGGTGACCCTGTAAGTGCCAACAGCAGAGGCGGCCATTAAATTTTCACGAATTTTGTGTCTGTGTGTGTGTGCGGTGTGTGTGCAGCAAACCCAAGCAGACATTTGCACAGGCAATCTGCAAGCAGGCAGCAAAGCGTAGTAGAGGATTATAAATGGCGACAAAAGTGTCGCAAACAATTTGACACCTTGAGATAAAGATACAGATTGTATAATATACAAATATTACTATTACACCATTGCTTAGCGCTGCAATATTTTTTAAAAAATCAATAGTCGATTTTTGCTGTTATCGATAGTAACGATAACAGCACTTGCAGACAATATTCCATGCTCTAATTGGCAATATTATTATCAATAACATTCTTAAGCTCGACTATTATGTCAAGCTTAAGAAATGTTATTTAAGACTTTTATAGTTGCGAAATGACTACACTTCATCTAGAACAGATAGAATCTAGCGAAAACAATTGATTTTTATAATCTCATGAAACCTAATTCTTTAATTTATGTATACCCAAATTTCGATAACTCTTACTGAATTAGCAATATATTTTCTTTAAATAGCGTTCTCAAAAGCAAATCTAAAAGCAGAAGCTTGATGAATGTAATATATACTTGCCAGTTTAAATAAACAATCCTTGATGTCTGCTGCCAGCAAGTTTCTTATGCTTTCACACTTGTCACCTGTATAGGTGTGTGTGCTTTTGCGTGAGGTTATTAGCGTAATGTTGTATGGCTCTTTGGGCCGTCTGTCTGCCGCCAGCTGAAGGAGTATTTGATGTCGTCATCATCGTCTTTGTCGAACTTCCCGGTCTCAACGCATTTAGTTGTTGGCATCCTTGGAGAGCAATTTGCAAAAGACCAGAGCTGCGGTTTCCATGTGCCCTGAGTCCCACCGCCCCGCCATGGTAGTCGGTTACACCTGTTCATTGTGTATATATTACTAGACAACTTGTTTACATGGCAGTTGCGCGGATTATTACGGCCATTTTGCGGTTTTTGATCGTTCTAGTTGCACAATATGTAATTAAAACCTGCATTTTAATATGCCAACACAGACACACTCACGCACACCACGACAATTTGAAGCGTTTAGCATTGAAACAAAGTGCTGTAAATTAACATAATGCCTAGGCAGACAAACGAACGAACAGAACGACAACAATAACAACAAATGTCGCCAAAAAAAATACAAAAATATTTATGCCAATGCAAATGGCGTCTGCATAAAATTTATTGACACTTTACGAGTGCTGTGCATTGTCATTTTCATGGCTAAGCGGCTGACGGTGTGTGCGGGTGGTGGGTACTGGGTGGGGGTAGTGGGTATGGGGGTTGGCATTTGGCGGGCTTGTTGGGAATGCTGAATGGTGAATGCGGCACTGTGCAGGTCTCTTCCGTTTGTCAGATTTCGTTGCGGTTGACATTGTTACGCCCATGGCCACGCCCTTAGAGCCACCCTGCTCCTAGACCAAGTACCCCATGCGTTTATCGCATAGTCCTACAAGCGTATGATGGCATCCTTGGGTCTGGTATCCTGGTTTCTGCTGCCGCTGCTGTTGCTGCTGTTTCTGCTGTTTTTCCTGTGATTCGTTCTCGTTTTAATGAGCAAACTTTTGGCATGTGCGCTGTTTATTTGCAGTTTAGCAATCAGCTCGCATCCTAGCAACAAATGCAGATAAAAGCGAGTGCGTCGCATAACAATTCATCTACAATCGTTGCGCAGCAAAAATTGTCGACATAATGAGTGTGGGATTTAGTAGCACACACATCATGCAAATATAAGCCAGTTACGGTCTGATTTACGTAACATTTAAATACATAATTGACTACGTATGTTGTTGTCGGCTGTAATTAATTCAATTAAATTTGCATGCGCTGTCATCAATTATATATTTTGCTCACATCTCGGGCAGCTCAAACAACTATCATGAGTTTTAAACTTGACTTGTGATTTAATTTAATTTCAATATTTATAGCATACTTTTTGAAGCTACACAGACTAGGGAACATCGAGTTATGTAAAGGATGTGGATTATAGTTTCTCGCCTGGCAGTACAGTCTGAGAAGTAGTCTTAACAAACAATATTTATTAATTAATTAAATAGGCCAATTTTAAAAAACTAATTATGAAACATTTATAGAGCAAGTTGGTATAATGTATCACGATGCTATTGAGAGAAAGTAGATTACTAGTGAAGCATACTTTACTAAACCCAAACGCACAGACATTTCCTGTGCTTCATAGTAAATCTAAATAATTACATATTATATTTATTTTATAATCAATTATTATAACATAGAAAGTTAATGCAATCCGCCTTAATGTAATTCCGTAGAGTCGTAACGAATGCGGCCCTTTGAAAAATAGTTTCACAAAATCCACAGCAATCCACTTTGAAACCCTCAACATTTGTGCAAACTTCTGTATAACATATTCCGTGTGCTTGTGCATATGTTGTATTTAAATTTAAATGTTTTGCAGACAGCATCATTTAAATTTGCGCTCGAACTACACAAGTTCAGCTGGGCTACCCACAATGGCAAATAGGAACAAAGCCCAAATACTTTAACAAAACCGAAAACCAAAAATATATTGCAAACGCGCTGCACATTTTAAATATGTACAGCATTGAAATTAACGAGAAGGCGTAACCGCAAGATCTGGTCTGCCCTTTTTGAACTCGATTGCTGCAAATGATCACGAAATCAGAATCATAATCAAAAGAGTAAATGAAAATCAAACAAGTAAAAGAGTTCCATTTGGGACTGCCCGACTACCCTGTACATTAAGCTGCCGTAACACCAATAGCAGTTCCTTCTACACACACTTAGAGCCTCCTTAGCCTTAGTCCCACACTATGATTAACGTACGGATCAAGGAATAGTCGGACAGACGGACGGACGGACGCATCATAGCCTACCAAGAATTTATTTACCTATTGGGAACGGAACAAGCACTCTTCTGCTTGTTGTATACTATTATACAAAATTAATGTGGTAGGGTTATACAATTTGCGCGTCAGGATTTGAATCACCGAGCAGAAGCATGGTTAACAGGTTTAGCAAAGCGGATTAAAATGCGCTCAAAGTTAGAAGAACGCTGGGGCAAGTTTTAACTGCAATCACCTTGAAAATGCACACGATGCGTATTGCGCGTGGGTTCTTCTATGTATGTGTGTTTGCTGAGCGTGCTTGGCAAAGCAAAACTCACTAAGGGGAAAGCTGTGCACAATTGCCGCGCTTAAAATTTCCAACACACACATACACACCCACACACACACAGACAGGCACGCACCGACAATAATTGATACGTTGTGCGTGCCTGTGTTTGCTCTCTGAGTGCAGCTTAGGTACAACAGTTTGCTCTGTAGTTGCTTAATTTCATTATGGAAAAAACATGTTGGCCCCACACACCTTATCTCAGCTGATGGACAGGCTAACTAAAGCAGAGCACCTGTCATAAGCACTGAAGCGTTTTTCCATGTTGTGCGTCAGGCTGATATATATACACATATGCTTACTCACACACCTGCGCACGCACGCATACACACATACGCACACATAGACATGCATATAGAAATCATTAACATCATGTATTTGTCTTTCGTCTATACCCAAAACCCCCGCTTCCCCCACTCCAACTTAATAAATACACCGAACTCAGTGGCCGCCACAGCGCATTTGAAGTCGCCCAGCATTGAGGGCGTGGGCGTGGGCGCTGGCGAGCCATGGATGCAGCCGGTTGTGGCATACTTGGAGGCGCCGGTGCGGCCCACAAAATCGCCAAGTAGGTGGCGCCACTAGCAAAACTCAATTTCTCTCGCTCGCTCTCTCTCTCTCTCTCTCTTGATGTGTGTGTGTGTGCTTCCCGCGCCCGTAGTTAACAGTTAAATTTAAGTGTCTATCTGTAGTTGAAAGTTGACTTAGTTGAAATTGAAACCGCTTTCTAGTTGTAAATACATCAACACACCACACACACGCAAACATACAAACACACACACACACACACACACACACACAGACACACTGACACACTAGCGCACAGCCATGGCTGATATACAAACAGTTCAACTCTTGTTTTACTGCTACGTTTTGTGTATGTGTTTGTTATGTTGTGTGTGTCTATTGTCTATTGTCTAACCATTGCAACGACTTGTAACTACTCGACTTATCAATGCCAAAAACCGCACACAAACTTTACCCGTTTGTGGGCAACTTTCTTCCCCCTCCTCTCTCTTTCTGTGTCATTTTCTCTTTCTCGTTCCCTGTAAGCAGAATGTGATCAGACGTTTGTCTCGCGCATCGGAGGGCCACAGAACGGCAGCTTCACGGCGCCGCTGCTGCATAACCATCGGAATCATTCGCGCCAATGCCTCTACACATTCTTAGCAGGACCTGGTCAGCGCGTCGAAGTAGTTTTTAAATCCTTTAATTTAAGAGGAAGTCCGCCAGAGTAAGTTTATTATTTATTTTAATACTCGTTCGCAAAGTGAGAGGAGTATATTGGATTATTGCTGTCCGTCCGCGAATTATCTCGGCGCAATTCAAGTTAAGAAAGCCTTACTTTTCTACAATTCTGAAGCAGGTTAATTTAATATATCTACTCTGTGAACTGTGAACGAGTACTACTCAGTCGGTGATAGCCGACTGTAACATTTTAACTTGTTTAATCTTACTTTTATTATTATAAACTTCACAGCGGTTCGGCCGTCGGTGAGTTACCAAGGTGAGTAATTAATTAAGTAATTGATGAAAACTTAATTTGAGTTTCGATAACGCCTTGCAGTTGTGTTCATGAGTACATGGATATCTACTCGGAGGTGCAATCGTCCGAACCAGCGGAGCTGATCAATTCCCCCTTCGGCGGCCGCTATTGTGGCGCAATACCGCCGCGTCGTCGCATTTCCATGTACCGCGCCGTTGCCATTTCATTTTTTAGCAACAAGAATGTGTCGACGGACCTGTTCGAGGGCACATTTCGCTTTATAAATGCATGTAAGTGCACCCCATGGCGTCTATTGTTATGAGCAGTTAAACCCTAATCGTATGCCCTTCACAGCGGAATATGAAATTGGTATACCCATTGCTGGATCGCCATGTTCCTACACGATAACGCCTAGCATGAGTATCAATAAAACTGGCGCACTCATATCGCCAACCTATCCAGGTGCCTATCCGAAGGATATGTCATGCACATATCAATTTCTTGGTGAATCGAATCAAAGAGTTAGATTAGAGTTTCGTGATTTTGATCTGTTTTTTGGTGGACCACAGTGAGTACCCCTAATGCTGTACAAATTCACACAAGACACACACGCACACACACACACACACACACACACACTCTCAAAAAAGTTTCCAGTCAAAATCAAAGCAAATTCTGGATATTATTGCGGTATTTGCCTTGACATGCAGCTTCCACTGACACCACACACACACACACACACACACACACACACACACACACACGCACAAAGAATCATATTTTCGTACTATCTGCAAGAATTGCCTATTTAAATTCTACGTAAATTCTATTCTATTTATATATGTACGCTCTATTCCAATTGCTATTACAATCTATTCGTCTACAACAAAATTATTGTTTACTATCATCATCAACAACAACAACAATAACAACAATAACTACAACAATATACAAAAAAAAAAAAAAAAAAACAGCTGCCCATTTGACTATGTGAAAGTGTACGATGGTCCAGATAATTCGTCAGCATTAATCGGTACATATTGCGGACAGCAAAGAAACTTAGTATTGTATTCGAGCGAGTCGAGCCTTTTTGTTCATTTTTATACCCTGCCGCGCACCGCAAATTCGCAAAATCGTGGCTTTAAAGGAATTTATGAATTTAGCGAAAGTTTTGTTAAATTAGATTTTATACGTAAGTATTATCCAGCGATAAACCATATAATCTACATTTAATTTACAGTTGCCATTTCCCCCATAACTGCGGCCATTTTGTTGGCATTGCAGCTCAGCAAAATGGCCGCCACGCACACATTTAACGGTTCCGTGTATGTGTTTGATGCACGTTTCCACTCAGTGGCTTTTTGTCAATTTTTGTTGCATTTTATTAACATTCGGTTTACTGGACACTCACTAATCTAATTTATCTACAACTTAAATCTCTCTCCCTCTCTCTGTATATCGTCTGTCTCTACTATGTATTCCAATTCTAAAAACTACGTATTCTGCTGCAAATGTTTGCTAATTAAATGCAACAATAAATACACAAAAAAAATTAATATAAATGTATGCCAACAATTTATTGCGTCCATCAGGTGAAAATGATGGCATTCACATACGTGGCTCAGAATGTGATCAAAAGATTTTATCGAAGAAGGAATCAACTGGTTTTGTGCTCTCACCCAACTATCCCTATCCATATATACCAAAAACTGTGTGTAGGTGAGTGTAAACTAAATAAATCTTTGGCAGATATATATAAACTAATATCGATACTTCATATCCATATGCTTCGCAGATATTTCATCTATGGCATGCAAGATGCACAGCATCTGGAGCGTGTGCGTCTCGAGTTTATCTCTTTCAACATACCCAAAGTGGAGCACAAGGACAAGAGCGAGTGCGCCCACGCAAATTGAACACATTATGACAAACTAACGGCAATTAATGTCCATGTCTTTTTCTTTTTAGATCCAACTGTACTGATGGCTATCTAAAGGTCTATCTGAAGGGCCAAGAGACGGCCGATGCGTACGACAAGTTCGATTACGAGCTGTGCGGCAATGAGACGCAGCGCGTCATTAGCGATGGGCCCCGTCTGGCTATGGTGTTCAGTTCGGGTGAGCTGCAGGGGCGCGGCTTTAAGGGCAAGTACATATTCGAGACGGAATACAAAATACCGGGCACGGCGGCACCGGACGGCACCTGCAGCTTTACGTATGTGAGCAGCTCAAAGAAACGCGGCGAGCTGAACAGCCCGCGATATCCCTCCAACTATCCGTCAGACACGAACTGTTCCTACTTGTTCTTGGCCGAGCACAACGAGCAAGTTACCATTGTATTCGACCACTTCAAGATCAAGGCCGACAACAATGGAAACGCCACTGCGGGCTCTTATGGGTAAGTTGAGAAAGCTCCAGCTGCAGGAATCAGCCGATGTCAATGTCTCGATCGCTTGCAGCTCCGGTGCCTGCTTTGAGGATTGGCTGGAAATGTATGTGGTGTATCGGGATAACAACGATCGCCTGCTGGGTCGCTATTGCGGTTTAACAGCACCCGGACCCGTTGAGAGTCCACGAGGCGCGGTTGGTTTACGTATCACATTGCACACGGATCAGGAGAGCGTGGCCAGCGGCTTTAAGGCGCGCTATTTCTTTGAGTCGGCCAAATCCGATGCGGGCGACTGTGGCGGCAACTTCAGCAACGAGGACTCGGGCATCATCACCTCCCCGAACTATCCGGCTGGCTACAAGGCGCCAGGTCGTGGCATGGCCTCCAATGCCTGCAACTGGGTGATGACCGCGCGCGCCGGCTACAAGCTGTCCATCAACTTTGAGCAGTTCGGGCTCGAGGGCGATCCGGCGAGTAAGCACAATAGCTATCACCATCCACAGCTATATACTCACCACTATATATTCCCAGATCGTGGTTGTCCCGCCGCTGTGCTGCGGCTCTGGGTAAATGTCGATTCGGATCAGCCGCCTCTGGAGCTGTGCGGCGAGAAGCCCCCCATTGAGCACTGGCATTATATATCCACTGGCCAAACAGCGCGCATCAGTTTCACCACCAGCGACAAGACCGTCGGTGCACAGGTGGGCATTGGGCATTGGGTGTTGGCATTGATATGCTGTGGGGCAGCGGAAGTGCAGGTTTTTGGGGTTTGCCATTTGGCAATGCCCAGCTGAGTAAAATGCAAAATTAACGAGCCTTTTATTTATTCAGGGCTTCCGCATTGTATGGACCGAGATACAGGACTCTGGCCCGGGACCACCATCGATTGGGCTGCTCTGCGAGTCCACCTACCACTTCCAGTGTGCGGCGGGCTACTGCATATCGGACAAGCTGCGCTGCGACGGCGTCAAGAACTGCGGTCCCGGCGATGATAGTGACGAATTGCATTGTGAGTCGTGAGTGAGTCGAACGGTTCAGTTCAATTTTTATTTTCCTTTTGATATACTTTGTGCTTTGTTTCTGTTTATAAATACTAAATATTTACATACTTATGTTTCGTTTTATCGTTGAGTTTGTGTTTTCAGTGCGTCCTCTGAGCGACCATGAAAATCGTATAAGTAATCCCTTAGTTTATATTCCATGATTTCCATTTGGTTTGTCGTTCGATAATACATAAAGTCTATTTGTTTATTACGCTTTTCATTTGTTTATAACAGCCTCGAAAACTTGAACCCGACGAAACACTTGCTAAAAACTATATCAATTAAATGTGCTAACTAACCAAAAATAACTTTAAACTAATACTAACCAAATTAAAAACGAAATTAACTCAGTACTCAAAACAATTTGAGGCCTACAAACTCTAAGCACCAAAATTTCAACAGCCTCTGTATGGTGTTTATTTTTGTTTTTCTTCATTTTCATGGCCAGAATTTTTGTACATACAATTTACAATTGTTAATTAAGGTTCACCCATTCAAGAACTCACCCTAAGCTATGCATAATTCTTGTTCTACCTACACAAACATGTTAAATGGCATACTTTATCGTACAATACCAAAACCACAGCGCTCTCAGTAATAACAACAGCCACGCCCACACTAAAACTATCTCTCTTTCTCACTTGTCTTCCTCTATTTCTCTTTATTCTCTGTCTTTCTTTAATATACTTTCTCGATGTGATTTTCCACTTAAACCAACTGAAAACTAACAAACTTTACTTAACATTTGAAACTCCTTTAAATAATCTGAAACAAATACCTGAAACAACCCGTGACAATTACACAGGTGACGCAAACTCCACGCATTTGCCCACATTTCTGCAGACATTCGTTTTAGCAATTATGGCTTTAGTCTTGAATACGTACAACTAAAACGTAACTAAAACTAAATCTAAAAAAAAACGAACTTAAATCAAAAACATTTTCAATTGGATGGAAAAGTGATGAAAGCTTTTAAAATAACATAATAAAAAAAAACAAAAAAAATTTGTAATAATTTTTGCAAGCATAAATTACACGCCAAGTAAATGCTAATGTATAAGATTAAAAAAAATGCATAATACTTTTGGTCACATATAGTATAACACGTGAGTCCTGCATAAACTTGTCTCAAATCGCTGCACACGCCCACAACGCCCACAGCCACAATCACGACATGCACAGAACCCACCCACCTAAAAGTGACCCACACACAGTCCACCAAAACTCTCAAATTGAAAACTTGCCACGTTTGAATAATGCATCGTTCTAGAAAGATATTGCATTAATTAGTATCAAATATAAATACCCTCTCCAAATTTGTACTCTTTGGTTGCATATTTCAGTTTTCAGTAGCATTTGGAAATCGTTTCAAAGCATGTTGATGAAGTATTTCTTTATAATTCTGGCTTTTTTATGTTCTGCTCTTAACTGTCTTTCCCCAATATCAAATGATAAACTGAGCTGCATTCTCAAAACAGTTATCTTAATAAAAACCATCTGCTAATAATATCCATTAAACGAAAAACTTTAATGCCAACACATCCACTGCACAGCAGTGCAGACAACATAATCTGCCAACTAGCTAGATAATCATTTATACATTATCTTAGCATCATTTACATTTATCATAATCAAAGAGTTTGGAAGCCTATGTGTATAGTATTTTGACAGCTATCTGTATTAACAAATGCTATATATATTTGTTTTGTACTTTGGTTTATTTACGTATCAATTCCCAAATTAGGTATCACGGAAGCGGCCGAGGAGGATCACGACGTCCTAATTATAATAACACTAGTCGTCGTCTCGTCCCTAATCTGTCTCCTATGCACACTCTGTCACTCCAGAAGAAAACGTAGAAATCATGCGCGTCAATTGGGTTTACATCGGAATGCACACTATGACTCACAGACGAGCGCAACGGGTAAGGGAAGCGGCGTCAAAGGATCGCAAAATGTTTTGTCTTGAGTTTTTGTTTCCATTATGATTTTAGGTTTCCTTTGATTTCGTTTTGTCCTTTATAGTTTTGAGGTAATCACAAGAAACGCTTCGAAATAGTTCGAACTATAATACTTTGCCCATCTAAATCTTTCGTAGCTGGTCTTAGCTCCAGTCGACGTCATTTGCAGAGTGGAGGGGCGAGCATTGCGGGCAGCCTGCACGGCATTAACAGCGGCACCTTGATCATTCCACCCGCGCCCCTGCCACCCACCAGCGTGCCACCACCCCCGCATATATGTATAGCCGGCATTGACATGTCACACGGCCTGATGTCCAACGACGAGGACGATGATGATGACGACGATTTGGAGCTGGACGAGGATCAGCTGGCGGCGGATATATTCATAAACGATGTGCATTTCGACGAGGATAATATCGATCATGTAAACCAAATGGCAAACGTTTAACTATGTTTATAAGCATTTTTATCGATAGTTTCAGCTATAGAGCGCTTTAGATTAGGACGTGCCCAGTCAGGGGGTACGTAAGGGGTAAGTTGGAGTTGAATGTCTATATACATACATACTGACTGCGACAGACAGCAGAAAGAACTTGAACAACAAGAACAAAAATTTAAAAGTTAACAATACCTAAAAGACGAAAAATTATGCAAAAGTGCGAATTGATTAAGACATAAATTTAGTAAGCTATAAAGAAGGCGCAAATAAACGTAAAAAGTACAGTAGGGCGTAAACATTGTAGTAGCGATTAACGATAAACGATAAACGATGAACAAAGAAGACAGACAACAAATAATAATTACATTTAAATATACATACATACTATATTATACACATAGCGACTATGGGGGACAGAGAAATGCGAAACGCACATTGATGATGGTTGAGGAATGGAAAACCCAAGCGGCGAATATGTAAAGCATTTTCTTAGCCACAAGAGACCGCAAAAAGTTGTTGATTTTTATATTTGATACGAGTAATATTTAGGTGAAGCATAAATTGAATTAATTATACAACAAAACAAAACAAAAAAAACAGAAAAAAACCCACATACACACAATGAATAAATAAATTTGAACGCAGGCAAAATAAAAACATTCAACTTATTAAAGGGCATAAAACAATAAAGTAAATACCTAAAGTATATATATATATATATCTATACAGGCGCGAATAACTTTTATTTACACATTTTTTTACAATAAGCAAAACACACACAAAATTATACATTTCTCGCCACAAGACCGATTAAGCTCAAGTTTAACATGTTTATAAATTGAAGTTTTTAACAAAAATAATAAAAAAAAAAAAAAAACATAAGACATACATACAAGAAGATTGCATAAATAAAAGAATTAGTGACTATCAAACCTGTATCTTCCAGCAAAAGTTAAACGTAAAATCCTTTAATTGAGAGATTTGTATAAATAAATGAACATATTAATACAAACAAATTAAAAAGCGTCATTTGTCGTGCGCTTTAAATTCCAAAGTCGATAAATTCAAAGATTTTTGTCTATTTAAGCACATTTTTATAGACATTTAAATGGAATGTTGCAGCGACATTAAGAAACGATTAAAACAAAACTATTTATAAAAATGTACACGCTAAAGAGAACGATAATAAACACTTATACAGTAAATTAAAATCCAAAAGCTAACTCTAATAACAAATCACTGAATTGAAAATGAAACTATTTCTGCCAATCGTTGAGTAAAAATATTAATAATAATTATTTTTTCTTTAGTTCAGAATTAGTTTATGCTATACTTTTCTTCGAAAGAAAACGAATATTAAGGTAAAACATTATAGTTTATATGATTTTAAAATGAGAGTTTTTAAAATGATAAAACATAAATGAAAATTTGAGGAAATAAAAGAATTATTGGTTTCATAGCGCTCGTACATTTTGCATAAAGAAAAAATTTAAAAAAAAAAGCTTAAATAAATGAGAAAAATTTAAACAGTTCAACGTAAAAATCGCTAAAGATAAAAATATGTAGGTGTTTAATAAAAACATTATAAATAAATCAAATACATTAAAGAAATAAAACGTTGTTAAATTGTTTGCAAAATGCATAAAGATCAACTATTTCATAAGAAATAGTAAATTATTTTTAAATAATTGCAAAATAAAAATAAATAAATATTTAGTTTAAGTGTATACATTTTGTTGTTGTATGACATTAAAATGAACCCCAATTAAATTAGTTAATTAAAAAATTGAATTTGTGTTCTAGCAATTAAAACAAAGAAATTAAAGAATTAAAAAAAACTATTTACTAAACATATAAAAATTTAATAAAAATGTTCGAGAAACACACGACAAAATCCCCGTGAAATGTTCTAAGCGTTTACTCAAAAGAAAAACACAACGTTAAATTAAACAAGCAAGTGTTAAATTTACATTTAAATCTATAATTAAGCAAGGCAAACCAATGAAAGATAAGTTATACTAAACAAATATGTAAAGCCTAAACCAAAATGAAACAAATCTTAACCCAAGCGTATGCATTGGCATAGATCGCAGCGCTTTAGCAAAAGATAGTTGATTAAAACGCAAACTTTTAAAATTGAACAAAAACACCTACAAAAACAATTCCATGTTAACATTAAATATAAATAAAGGTAATTAAATAAATGAATACTAAACCAAATCCAACTGTCATTATTATTTATTATTATTTTATTTTGATTTTAAATAAAATGGTTATCATGCAAAAAAAATTAAATTAAGTGCTCTCTTCAAAATCTGGAAAAGAAACCTTTTAAGATGACATGGTACAAAATCGTGTGAACATTTATTATAAAGCTATTTCATTTTTGCAAATAAATACAGCTTAAATGCCATATAACTTCAAAGTGGCCCACAACAAGAGAGTGGTTTGCAGAACAATTCATTATTAAAAATGTTTCAGTTTTTAATTTTGCGAATTCAAACGAAATTTTGACAACATTTTGTTTATGGCCTCCGCATCGCCGTCGACTGTAGCCTTATCCTGTTCCAAGATTTGCTCAAAACTCTTTTGCTTAGTACCGACCAAATAAAAGTCCTCATCGGCTATTGTAACCCGACCGTCGGCATCAGGTGCTTTGCCTTCATAAATGTCCAGAGCTTTGAAATCAAAAACTACAGTGAGACGGTCAGACAGACTACAGTGACAGGCCATAAGACCGCAATGGCAGTAACTCACCCATGCTCTTAATTAGTTTGCCATCGACATCCGTAAAATTAAACTGAAATGTGTTGACCACAGTGCGCTTTTCGGGATCCGACTCCTTGAGCTTGTTGCGTATTTTCTCAATAATTTCGTCGCTTTTCATGCTTATGGAATGTGGCTGAACGAAGCACAAGTGGAGCGTTTGAGTGCAGCTGCTTGACTAAATCAACCGCAGACGCCAATTGAAACGAAGACTGCGGATTACCGCAGGCGATCTCGTTGTGGCTTTGCATAATTCTTAATTAAAGTCAATTTGTTTGATAGAGACATGATTGACAATATTGATACAGGGCATGAGAAAATCCAAATCGTCTAGCCAAACACTCGGATAGAATTAAAGGGCAGTTCAATTAGATACATATATTTTGATAGGTAAACTCTATTGCTACTAAATAAAACTTAGTATATGACCAGTGGATGAACGCTTATGTAAATTAGGGCTTCCATAACTTTAGCAGGCCGTCTTCACTATAACTGGCCAGAAGATTCTGATGTGGATGATGTGTTAGGCCAATGACGTCTTTCTCGTGTACCTAAAAACAAAGCAAATGCTTGAGGCTGATTACAGATAAACACACAATAATACTTACATTTAGAGTACGCTCCAGCTTGCCTGAGGAGACCGAGAAACAATATAGCACTTGATCTTCGCCAGCGCAGTAAATGAATTCGCCTCGGGGAGAAAGGGTTGCTGAGATAAAGGCACCGCCCTCGCGTTTACCCGATGAGAACGATCGTACAATTTGCCCCTGCATGTTCATAATGACAACCGTGTTAGATCTATTGCAGACGATGAAATGTTCCGGATTCTTGGGCAATATAAGCACTGTGTTGACGGCCAGCTCGTTGCCTAATGGTTTATATGTAGCTACGCATTCAGTGGTCTTAAGTGACCAGACCTTGACGGTGCCGTCAGAGGATGCACTTAGGACACTGTGGCCATCCGGTGTAAATGTTGTCTCGTTGACAAATGAGGTGTGGCCCTTAAACTCCTTAAGCATTTTACCCGACTTGAGACCATGCAGCCGCACAGTGTAGTCAAAGGAGGCACTGAGCACTTGGCTGTTATCGCGGGAGAACTGCAGACAGGTGATGCCTTTGGTGTGTGCTTTTTCGAACTTACGCAGACATTGACCGGTGATGATGCGCCATACCTTTACCTGGCCATCCTGAGCGCCAGATGCAACCATCTCGGAATCACGCGAGAAGGTTAATGCCAGCACGGCTTGCTCCATCATCATGAACTGGTCCTGCGCCTGGTATTTCAAATCTTTACGTACTTTGCCTGTGGTAAAATTCCAAACTTCTAAAAAGCCATCTACACTGCCTGTTATCAGATACTGTCCATCTGGTGAAAACTGTGCGCACTCTACATGTGACTTTTCACCGAACTTGATTTGTCGGAACAGCTGCGTGGGATACATTTCCTCCTCTTGATCTTTCATGGCTGCTTTACCGCGGAACAAATCGATGGTGGTGCCGGGCGGAAGAAGACCTTGATGTTGTTGCCATTTGAGCGCCTGGCCAAGCAACGCCAACAGCCTTGACGAGGGCACCACGTGCACCTCGCCACTCAACTCCTGGGCAATAGCCGTGCGCCGCTTCTCCTTACTGCTGCCCTCCGCATAGGCCTCGCGGGGATCAAAATACGCACGCTGCAACATGTTCTCTGAGGGATAAACTGCATAAATAGGGTTTCTTTAGAGAAGTTATGATACCCACCTAGATGTATGTACCGCTCGGGCTCATGCTGTTTCAACATGCTCATCGGGTCCGTTTGGCGGAGTAGAGAACGGGCGGCACCCAATTCTCGCAGCTCTATTAATTCCAAGACAATTTGCTCATACAGATTGAGAAGCTTTTTGTCGGGCAGCTTTAACGATTGTGTTACTTTGAGTACTGTGTCCCAGTGTCCATTCGATATGTCCTGCACAAAGCCGTCGACGCTGTCTACTGTGTTGAGCGAGACGCCAGTTTCCTCCTGGAAGGCAGCAAAATATTATTTATGTTTAATTTAGGAGCTTCAATCTTACTTGTAAAGTTTGTAGCGTTTTAAGAAGATTTGATTCCTTCAGATATTGTTGAATTAGACGAATAACGCTGAAAGAGGTGTGTTCAATAATCGGATTATATAATACAGGATTGTTTATACTTACTCTGCTGATTCTATTTCGATTGACATGATTAATTGTTAAACGCTTTTAGGTGGTATTATTTGTTCTAGATTCTTAACACAAAAACGCGTCTTTTCTGCATCGAATCGCTTGGAGCAAGTTCATTTGAACCAGTTGTTCATATGATTCTGTTGCTCATTTTGTCTATCCGAATTTATTACAGTTTGTTTACCTGTTATTAACAGTTGGTGCTAAAATTTTCGAAAGAAAAGAAATACAGAAAAAATGTTTTATGTAAACAAAATGAAGTGAGCAAATACATGTAATTTCAGCTGAAATCTTCTATGAATAATACCGTCGAAAAGGCTTAAGTTGATATTTAAGAGATTCGTTTATAAAAGAATGTTAAAAGATTTTGAAATTGCTCTATAACATTTGACAAAAACTGTTATTAACAGTTAACTGATTCACTTATTTTAGTGTCGATATATTGCATTGGCATCCGATAACTCATCAGTAAGCCGCTAACATCTGTTTTTTTCTTCTTCCTTCTAATCGCATTGGATCTCTTTGCATAACAACCGAACGCTGAAATTGAATTCTAATTAAATCAATTAAAATGTCAAAAGCGGCGGGTAAATTAAAATCACTAAAAAAGACAGTGGAACGAGTGACGCATACGACGAAACTAAGAACAAATATACCTGCCGGCATGGCAGCAGCGGGCCCACCGTTGGGTCCCATGTTAGGCCAGGTGGGTAAAAAATTAAACTATGCGTAGCATGTGAATAATAAAAGTATTTTGACAGCGTGCCATCAATATAGCCGCTTTTTGCAAAGACTTCAATACGAAAACAGCGGAAATGAAGGAGGGCGTACCCCTGCCATGTCGGATCTCAATGAACAGTGATCGCAGCTACGACTTGGTCATACATCATCCACCTGCAACATTTTTTCTTAAGCAAGCCGCGGGTATCCAGCGGGGAACAATGACACCTGGTCATGAGGTGGCCGGAAAGATTACCCTAAAGCATTTGTATGAAATTGCGGCAATCAAGATACAAGATCCGCCTAATGCGCTGCTTACCATGCAGGTAAGTTGAACCCAAATAATAAAATCTTTTTTACAAATTTTTACTTTATCAGCAAATGTGTGAAATGCTCATTAGCATTGCACGGACATGCGGCATCAAAGTGGTGCGTGATCTGGATCCCACGGAATATGCCCAATTTCTGGAGGAGCGCAAAGTTATTGTCGAGGACCAGCGACGCGAGCTGCAGGAAAAACGCGAAGCTAAGATGTTGCGAACGGGCTAAATATACAATATGAAAAACATTTTTAAATTGTTAATATACATTTATAACTAAGAAATCTATTCTATGCTAATTCTCTTGCGATCCTTGGCGGCGTTCTTTTTGCGTCGTTTCTCAAGATGCTTGTTCAGCTTTCCGCTATCTTTCAAATGCTCGAATTGAGCAACCAAATCTCTGGCTCGCCTTTCCTCTGCAATGGAAATTTTAAATACCTGGGGTCAATTATAATGTGTCCTTAACTTACTCTTGGTCACATAGTGCGGCTGGCGACCCTCTTCGTGTGCTTTTTGTATCTCTTGGCGCTCCTTCTTTAATAAGTTTTGCTTGATATGCCACTTTTTGTCCTCCACGTTTTTATTAAAGAGCCTTTGCATGGTGTGTTTGATTTTCTGTTTTTCCTCGTCATCCTGCACATTGTCCAGCTGTTGTTTCAGCTGTCCCACTTCTTTGTCGCGTATTTTCGTGATGAATTTGTAGTTTTGCTTGAATGTATCAATGTTATAGGTGCCCGAACTTTCATCGAAACGTGGATCTCGAAGCACGTCCCCTTTTTTACGCTCCACACGCAGCTCCGCGCCCAAAAAGGGCACCTGTCGCTTTGCACCTATTTCCCTAGGTCGATTCTTGTTCAAGCGTTTGAGTTCTAATTTTGTTTTTGGCTGCTTGTCTTTGACTCTTTTGTTGCCTAGCACCGCCTCTTTGTAGACCTTTGCGCCCAGCTCTTCCTTGAGCTGCATTATCTCTTCAAAGGTCATGCTCTTTAGATCCTCGCGAATCGCACCCTGGGGATGGGCGACAAAAAAATTAAATGAGTTTGGCATATTACACCAATAAAATTACCTGTGTCTCGTCCTCGCTGCTCGCATCGTGGTCTGATGCTACCGAGGACTCGCTTGAAGACGCCATTATCAACTGCGAATACAGCTAAAATTACAATTTTAAATAAATTTCACGTGCTTTGTTGTTATTAGGCTCATAGAGACGAGTCGTGCGCTATATCGATAAGTTAGAACTAAACAAAACTGTCGATAGATTCATGTTTAACATATGGTAATGCTTATTTCTTGCCAGCTCGTTAGTTTAGTGATCTGGCAGCGCAGCGCATTTCAAATCATCCAATTGGATTAAATGGCGCCATACTACAACTTTTGAAAGTAATTAATGAGTAGATTTATGAAGGGTGTTAAGATCAAAGAAGTCAACATGAACTTTCAACAGTTGGTCGCATGCTGTTCTCTCATTAAATGCTTTACTTACTTCACGTGCACAAAAACATTGACCTAACTCTCGTCATATAAACGTAAACATCAGTAAAATCCTGGGGGGTAGTTTTAATGGAAACCATAAGTTGGCTATCTAGCTACACATGCCCACAGTTTTGATGGCCAAGGCTTGGGGCTCTTACTCTCGCGACTTGTTTACATTGCATTTGTCAGCCAGTCTAATGTGGGCTGGGTCAGTCGTCGACCCGCTGAAAGACAGCTTAGACTAAAGCATTTAACGGCCATGTGACTTTTAGCCATCATGTCAGGAGTATGTTGTACGTGGCACGCGTGCGTTTAAATTCATATCGAAAGTCATTCACAGGGCCGAATCTTAAGCAAGAGGGGGCCCAAAAGGGACCACAGCCAGCAATGCAAACACGTTTTATAGGAAGATTTCAATGGTTTTCCTGGTCAAATCAAATCAAAATCGCTATATGGCGAGACGAGGTAGGAAGCTTAGAAATATAATATATCTACGGGATCAGGAATTTTTAATTCAAAAATAAATAAATGATTAAATACATAACACCAATAATATGCATCGAACAAATAAATATTATGTATCGGCAATTTAACTGACATTCTGTTTAAGCACATTGCTTGGCTTCCAAGTCAAAGTATTCGGTTTCAGCGGGCGAACACGGAGACGACCAACGTCCATTCACCAATTACTCGCGTTTATGTATCGCCCCATTTGCTGCGTTGTCCTTAATTTCTTAAAAAGCGTTTAAACATCTAATGAAAGCATTTGGCTTGCGATTTTTACTGTTCGTCAATTTAGTTGCGTTTGGAGCTTCGCTGCGTGCGGTTCGTTTAGAAGTTGAGCGGCTCTCTTGGCCTTGTTAGTAGCTGCGACTAGCGGTTGCATAGTTACCAGTCGCTTGAGGAAGGACTTTGTCGATGATGTGATCATGGCCAAAATAATATCAACGATTAAGGCCATTCTAACGCGCATTATATTCAGCGCCCACAGCCTGCTGGCCATTTGGCAGGTGACCACGTTCAAGAAGGACATCATCTATTGGACGCTATGTGGGCCACTGCTGCTGCTGCTGCTGGAGGGCATCTTCACCATCATGATCAAGAAGACGCAGGAATGGCGCTGGTAAGTCCGCAGATCCTGTGAGCTATGCATATTGAGGCAATCGCGTATATGGCATTGATTGTGGCAATGTAAACAATAATCGGCTGGGGTTGACGTCATGTTCGGGGCTTTGATTTTCAATTAAAAGTGAAATCATGTGTTTAATGTGTGTGTGCCCGTGGCAAGCAACCACCCTCGCGAGCAGCTCATAGTGACCACGACGACCGCGACGACCACTCCTCCAGGCAACCACCCACGCGCCGTCGTAGTAAAAACTTTAATGGAATTTCACGATAGTGGGCGGTCATTGCCAAACGCACCAGGTTCTTAGTTAGTGTCTTTTGCTAGTTGTTTACCTTTTGGCGCGGGGGGCGCATCACTTTGACTGTTGCTGTTTCTGTTTGTTTTCTCTCTACATGCCCCTCTGCTGTCTCCTGCAGGTTCTGCCCCTCGGTTTTTCTGTATCTGAGCAGCATTGTGCCGGCCATTTGGCTACTCGAACTGGATAAGATTGAGCGGCGCCTGCAGCTGATGAATGCCTCGCTAGTCAATGCAAATGCCAGCAATGCCATCAATGACAGCAGCCTCGCCGGCACCACCACCACCACCACCAGCACCAGCCACACCACCAGCACAAACAGCAGCGCCATCGCGCCAGTGGCTGATCTGCTGGATGATGCTGGTATCACTTTGCCCGTCATAAGCCCCGACACTTGGACGACGCTCATTGAACAGTTTCTCATGCTAATCCTGATTGTCGGCCGCTGGCTGCTGCCCAAGGGAGACTTAACACGCGACCAGCTCAGCCAGCTGCTGTTGGTCTACATTGGCACGGCTGCAGATATCATTGAGTTTTTTGACTCCTACAAAGATGATTCCATAGCACGCATTGGATTTTTGGTCTTTCTCACATTGGGCATTTGGTCCTGGAGTCTCATGCAGTTTACCATTGTGCTGTCGGCCACAAGGGGCAGGCGACCGCGAGGCAGTGGCTCTCATCACAAGGAGGAGTAAGTGGAATATATTAACTATCATCTACTATCCAACAAATTATAATATTCCATCTGTTGCAGCCAGACGGACTGCTGCCAGAACTGCTGTTGTGGCATCGATGTCTGGGGTACAGTACAAATATATTGTTATATAATATAGATATAGATAGTAGATATACAAATGTATATGCATTAACTTTCCACAGGCATAGTGCTGAACGTTATTCTGCAGGATGCGCCGTTTCTCACATTTCGTCTATTGATTATATTTCAATACAAGATAATCAACTACATGAACGTGTTTTTTACATGTGAGTTATCAAAGACAAATTAATTGGAAAGGATTGGTTACAGCTGACATATTTCAGGCAAGAACTCCTTGGTCATTATACTACAATTGTACCGCCTGTATGTGGTCAATGCGGAGTTCTGGAAGAGTCGACGCGAGAGTCGCATGGCCAAGGCGCGTCAGTATCAGTCGCGTCGGCGGGTTCACGATGCGGACCAGAACAGCATCTATATGATATCCAATGAGCGTGGCGGGGAAGTCAAAAAGAAGATTAAGAAGTGAGTACTCAAATAAGGGAAATTCCTCAATAAACTATGTTCACTTTTATTTTCTTCAAACCAGAGCCAAGGATAGAGACTTCGTTGAACCAGAAGCCAGCTACAGCAAAAAGAAGCGCGACAAAAAGGGCAAGTGAGTAAAAATATCTTATGTCAGCTTAAATTACATGAAGTATACTGCATTTTACGCAGAAAAAAACGTAAACGCAAGGATACGGGCTACTCCACTGCCAGCTCACAGAATCTGTACTCCACCAAGGTTGGTAACAAGGACAAAAAGGGCAAGAAATCAAAGCGCATCTGCAGCAGCTCGCCCAGCGACTGCGATCCCATGAATATTAAAAAACAGAAACGAGCCAAAAATGCGGAAAAGGCTGATAAAAAGTAGGTGACAAGCAGCACTTGCCAAATACTTTCTCATTTCATAAATATATTTTTTTAGAAAATCCAGAAAAATTGAGGCAGTCATTGAGGAATCAAGCAGCTCCACCAGCAGCAGCTCGGACTCCAGCAACTCCACATTGCCCAGCTATGAGGTTATAGATGAGAAGAAGTCGCGACGCCGCAAACATGGCCACAGCAGCGACTCCAGCTCCAGCTCCAGCAGCTCGGACTCGTCCTCATCATCGTCGTGAGCTGGGCGGAGTACATTTGGACTAACGGCATTTTAGCGCGCACTCCGTTAAAAGCAACGTTGGGGAAACAAACTTTTTGGTGACAGCCAAAAGTACATTTGGCTGCGACACTGGTCGAATTAGACCCATGTGTCGCATTTTTTGGTAGATAACCCATTGTGAGGTTAATTAATTTGTCAGAAACATATATTTTCATATGTTTGCATATATATGCTAAAAAAATACTCAAATTTAAGCTAATAAAATGGCGCCTTGATTTTCAAACAAGTTGGCAGCATCGAATTGTCAGCTCTCTTAGCTTTTTATTGTGTTCGCTTTTTTCGGCTGCGCAAAAGCTGGAGCCCATTGAGTAATAAAGAGAGCTGGAGCGTAGCAGCGGCTTGCCGCAGACACAGCTGCTAGCTTCTATAGCGTAAAACTTTTGTTGACACTCACCCACACTACACAAACATGTGAGAGCTTGTGCTTGTGTGTGTGTGTAACAACGTGTATCTGAGCACCAGCAGAGATTCGTATGTGGCTTTTGTAATAACAAATAGTTGCTGTTGAGCGTTCGAGCGCTGTGGACGCGTTGTTGTCATCGGTTACGCTGCGGAAAAAGCTTTTGCTGCTCGCCAAGTTTAAGTCTAGTGTGAGTGTGCCCTATTGTCGTACCCACTGCGTAGTATATATATAAACATATGTACATACATATACGCTTGTTCTAGTGTATGTAAGTTTTATAAAGTGTGCTGGCAAAAAATCTTATTAATATCTTACGAGAGCGCTCTATCTCGTTTCCTCTCACACAAAACACAATAATAAAGAAAATGTACACATTAACAACATCAACGTCGCGTGCTTTTCGCTGCTTGTTGCTATCGGGCTACAACACCAAAGATAAATAAACAAACAAATATGATTACATTTATTGTACTCAATAGTTGAAAAATCAGAAGCTGATAAAATTTCAATGATAAACAAGCAGGTGTGATAACTAAATTGAACCCTGCACAAATCAAAACAACTTAATTTCGGAAGTAGTGTTATAAATGTGTATGTATATGAATTCATTAACAGCTGAAAATTGATTGGGTGAACGGCGCTTGAACCGCAATCGAACCAATTTATTGTGCGTGTATGTGTATGTGCATATGTATGTATGTGTGTATTTACAATGCACTGCAAGTCAATTGAGCAGGCTGCGTGCACGCCATCAGGCACAAAAGAACTGTTGGCTGTTCTACTCAGCTGCCCCGCACTGTGGCAGAAAATAGTCGCATAGACTTATCCACCTGCTCGGGAGGCAAACAAAGCCAACAACAACAAAATATATGTGCATGTATATTTACATACAGTCGGTCTCCGACCGATAATTATTTCATTCCTTTTGCTTCTGCTTGGCGCTTTGGTTACGCTCAACACGTTTGCTGAAGGTTATGGCGTATTCCTCCAGCCTACCTCAACTCCACCCACGCCCGCTGCTCTCGCGTGCCGGCCGTGCCCCAACCAGCCAAAAAGCATAAACAACCACCTGCCGCCGCCCTGCTAAAGAATTTTCCAGCACACTCTGTGAAGCTCTTTGCTCTCTTAACTGTTTGCCGGTTGAGTTGGCTGATGTTGTAATAAATTAATACAAATGGATTTGGGCTTTGTTTTGTTTATTTACTAGTGCCAGCTGTTAGATTTGTCAGCTAAACAATTCACTTACCGTATGCACACGCTAAATACTTGCTATATGTATATACAATGATATCATAACAGTTAACCAATTTAATCATGCCACCCATCACATGACTAAACCAGCTTCATTCAAATTCGGACACGGTTCTTTAGTGGTTCAAGGCTCTGCAAGCTTTGCTTCTGTTCCTCATAGCAGCGCAATCAAAAAATAAAAATAAAGAACACAAAATGTTAATGATAGTTTTATAATGTGGCCTGATGTTGTCTATATCGACTGATAAATATGTATGCTGAGAGATACACGCTTCTGTGTGCATTAACATATTTCATTGCTGGCAGGTTTTGCATAACTTGTTTGAGATTTCTTGCTAGTCAATTTCTATGTAAAAGAAACTCAAAAGCTAAATGGTTCTAAATTTTTAAATACTCATTATATTATAAATTTATTATTAAACATAAAATAACGGTAATAAATTAAATTATATGCTATACACATATATATTTTCGCAGTTTCTGTTTAATAATTTATGGTAATTATGTCTATAGTTTTATATATATTTATATTAACTAATAATCACTCATAAATTGACCAAGTAATGAAAGTTCTCACCAAAATGGTGTTCCCCCAGTTTTTCTCAACTTTTCACATGTACATATTCCTGTATTTTGTTTTGTGGGAGAAGGAGAGATGGGGAGATGGGGAGACGGGGAGAAAAGGGAGGAATAGAGAGAGACAAAGAGAGATGGAGGGATAGAAAGATAGAAAGATAGATAGATAGATAGATGATAGATAGATAGATGGATAGATAGAAAGATAATAAATAGATATGTAGAAAGACCCGGAATGCTTGAGAGCTAATTAAAGTCAGCATGTAAATCGAATTGAAAACAATGTATGTTATTTTTGATCAAATTAAAAAAAAAATATTGAATAGATTGCTCATTCAGAGAAAACAAGTCCAGCAAGCAAACATTCTCTTTATGAGAATCGCATAGTGGGGTGACATTTAGAAAAGTGTTTTATCATGTTTGATGCGCAGCTTGAGATTTTAACAAAGTGAAGTAAACTTGGTTTGTGTATGAGAAAGCATTCTCACATACATATACACATTAATTCATTGATGCATCAATAATTGATCAACATATTTAAAAGAAATAAGTTTCATTTGATTTCCAAAACAATTTGTTAAAATACTTTCTAGAATCAAATTATGTAAATCAAAAATTTTTACTTAAATTCATTAAAATTGCATTGTACGGAGATATTAAAATCACCGTTTTACCTTTCCTGTCCTGTCCTTGGAAAAATGTATATGGTTTTTAACTTTGCAATGGCGTTTTCTACATACATATGCGGTTTGAATTCCAAAAGCAGTATTAGCGTACACTTGCACAACATCAGGTAACTAAATACTGCAAAAAAATTCAACTTTCTGGCTGTTGCGGTGTGTGCTGCACCTTGATTAACAATCAGTAAATCAGCTAATCAGTTGGGTCGAACAATTGTATATGTAAAGATGATTTATGTATCAAAAGATGGCAACACACGTGTTCTCAATTTCTCATTTGGAATTTAAATGAATCATATCAAATTTCTACACTTAAGCCAATTTAGTTTTTTCGTTCTCTCAAATAAATGCCATTAATTCTCTGTTTTGATGACTCGTACTAAAATAACAAAAGCCTAATTTATTTTATTATATGTATAGATATTATATAATTACCATTGCTCTCGCGTCTCACATGTATTACTTTTAAGTAGCTTATTTAATACTTTTGATGTTTCCATTTCTTAATGCACTGCTTACCCTTAAATGGCCAATATATAGGAGACTGCCTTGAATTCGACCTTTGTTACAATATGGTAAATAAAAATAAACACAGCTGCTTAATGCTGTTTTCGTGTCTCAAGTTTAAATACACAGATGTTGGGTATTTATACCATTTAGTATTTTGATTTTTGAATTTAAAGAGCATCGTAAATTCAGCTTTAAGTCCGGACCTATCTTCTCGTAGCAAATCACTTGAAATGAATTAAATCGATTGAATTCGAATTGAAAATCTCTGTTAAGCCCATTGAGTTTTGCACATGAAATATATATTTGTATTTATGATGGCTGCAAAGCAAATTTGCTTTTAGTATTTATTGAACCATGGTTACAGTCGATTGATCGCTTCTTTATTGCAAACATTGTTGAGCTACACATGAAAACACAATTTGATTTGTTTAACGCCCTTATCAACTAGCTGCTGTCAGTCGGCCAGTAGTTATCTTGGCCAAACTCAAGTGTGTTATCATTAGTTGTTATTGCTGTTGTTCAGCTAATCTATGCTACAATCCATCATCATATCATTAGAAACAATAACATAATAACATATTAGTATAATAAGAATTTCAGCACACTGGATAGTCATGAGTTCAATCAAATTAGTCAACTGCCTAAAAACTGTGGCACAGTGCATTTAACAAATTCAAGCATTATTATTTCATATATTCCACACATGTTAGTCAAATTGTCTGTGTCAATTGAAGCGTATGAATAAACTATACTGATATGCATATTAAGTACATTTCTCTGGCGCTTAGATTCAGAATCGATTTGGTTCCAGTTTATTGCACACTTGACGCCTGCTGTCGCGTGGGCGTCAATGTCCGGGGCTGACTGAAGGCAGGTGAGCTTGTCGGCCATTCTAGCATGCAATCGCATATATACACACAATACAATATAGTACAATTGGGGGCTCACGTGGCTGCCACATGCGCCAATTCAATTACAATGTTATACGGCTTGATGTTTGCCTTTCGTGTCGCCTTGCCACTCAATTTCCAGTTAATAAATGCTCGGACGCTCAGCTTTTTGTTGGCCAACGAGTCAGCTTTTGCAAAAATTTCATTGAAAACAATCTGTTAACATAAAAAATGAAAACCAACGCAAAAAATTCGACGGAGGCAGCGCCTTCATACATTTATTTGTTTAATTGTCTGCGAGTGCAGTTGCCTGGTGTCCATATTACGCCGTATTTTGTGATAAAAGACAGCAATAATAAAATGCGACTGCAACTGCGACAAACTTTTGATAAAGCGGACGTTGCGTAGCCCAGCTGCTCAGCTGTACAAAGTACACATTGCGTATGAGTAATAATGTAATATATACGCCCCGTCAAATAACCAGAACAAAGTTGAAGTAGAGCATCACCCCTATCGATCTTTCATCCCGAAAGCTTACATCTGCTGCAATTCATAATATTTATTTATTCATATATTCATTTTTATAATGTATATATATATATATAAATATATATTCTGATATTCAATCCTTAGTCAGCGACATCTGCAAATTATAAAAACATATTTCTTAATTAGTTCAGTGCTTGTTGTTGAATTTTGATGATATATTTGGACACGCTTAGATATACTCAGCTAATGATCCGTAGTATTTATTATATGGGCTCAAAGTACACTCAACTGGCACACAATGGGAAATTCTCAACGACTGGCTTTGGATATTTATTCAGACCACGAGCTCAATTGTAGGTCGAAGCATTGCTTATCAGTCTGCATAAGCTTGTGATTGCCAGCAAGTAGGGAAATCGAATTCATTACAAATAGGGTTTATCAGCCTGCTTATCGGGCCAAGTCATAAAGTAAAGCCATGCACTTGAGCTGGCCGATAATTGTCTACATTTTATTTCAAGTCCCCTAGGATTATCTATTGTCAACGTTCACAGACCCCAAATTAGATAACACAAATTGGTGTACATCTAGCCCAGTTGGCTATAACAAAGATTACTCCTTTCTTTATTTCTGTGCACAATGATAAAGGCAAAGTTCATTTAAACCAATCAATGACAAGCTTGGTAATTAATTAAAGTTCAACCCGCCAAACAGAAAAGTTGATGCCTCAAGCCACCTGTGCCAATCGACAAAATTAGAAAAAGTAGAAGTAGAAACCAAAAGAGCTTAAGAAGCACGACTATTAAATACCCTGTGCACACATAAGTAAAAACTTGTGTTCTCTATACTTTGCGGTTGGTTGCATGACGAAACATGCTTGCGGTGGGGCAAACACACCTGACAAACGCCTCATTAACGAAGGCATATGAACAGATACCACATAACTTATTGCAATAGTAGTGCTTACATAAAAATATAATATTGGATGCATGTATATCTGCCATTATCAAGACTAAAAGTACTTAGAATTGAACATGGATCGATTCTCGTTTAATCAAGCTTTTTGTATCTGCTGTGGATAAACCGCACTTGATTAATTCTCTTCTTGAGAAATCGCCGTTTTGTCCCTTTATTATTTTATCATCATCATTAATTTATTTAATGGTTAATGAAGTTTATTTATAACATTGCTAAAACGAAATTAATAATATTCATAATAAATTAAATTAAAAAAATAAAAACAAAACTTATCTAGATACGGGCAACGTGGCTACAGGGTATCAAGACTTAATCAGCAAATGGCTACAGAAAGACATTTCCCAATTAGGCAGCACAAACATTTCGCCAGAAGCGATTCACAGCAATCGCGGACAGCGATAAGAACAAATGAAAGCTTTTATGGCTTATCGCCGCCTTTAATTGTTTATTTATAAGGCACATGGGAAACTATGCCAGGTATATGATTAAAATTTGACTGCACTTGACTCTGCTGCACCGCAGCAAGTACTCGAAGCGCACCATATAAAGTACTCAGTACTCGATACTTGACTGAATGACACTCTGAGCAGTTCTTGGTCGAGTGTGTTTGTGGACGCAGACACTCGAACGTGGTGCGCATTAGCCTCAGTTGGGCCTCGTCCGGCTGCAGGTGCCGGGCGCAGTTCTACTTTGATTTGCATTGTGCGCGGTTCACCCGAGTCCCCAAGAGGAACAAGTCGTGTAAGTCGAGCTGTTCAGTCGGTGTAACTTAAATACGGCTTCACTTCTAAGCATTCATTGTCATTGTTAATCAGCTGAGTTATTGCGGTGCTGCTCAACTGCTCAATGTTGCCCCTTGTAATTATATTCTGAATGGAAATGCAAATTTCTTATTGTGGCTTGCTAAAATGTACAGTTATTGCCGCCCGTCGTGGAATATTTATAATGCTATAAATAGCTATAAAAAAAAAACAGTTGCACTGCATAGGCAAGGTCCATTGTGCTAGGCCTTGCGGCCGATGCATGCCACACGCTTGCAAGCAACAAGCTTTGCCCTTTTTTCCATCATGACATGCAACGACCCTCAACTTGAACCTTTTCACTTCGCTGCTGTGGCATGCGGCATAACAACCAATGCAACACGCTGCAGTTGACGTCTGTTGCTGGTTATCTAATGGGATTGCAGCAAAGAAAATACCATATAGTATATAATGGGCCACAGTTGGTGTTAGTGATATTCCTGCATATTTACCGTTAGCCACAATATCACGTTGCATTATTTACATCAGAGTTGTGCGTGTGTCGTGCTTTATTACGTGACACGAGACGGCAAAAGAAGAGATCCATAAATTTTAATAAATTAAATTTTTATTATTTATTTACAAATTGATTAATCATTGTAATTCTTCTGAGAATATTAGCATAACATTTATTAAGTTAGGTTCCAAAGGAAACAACTCATGATTTATATTATAATTGTTTAATGTAATTCTATTCCCCATTTCGTATACATTGGTGAGTCAAATGAAATACTTTCAGATTCTTGTATTATGTACATTTAGTGATTCGTGCTCGTGTTATGCCATCACTGCAAGTATCTAACGTCGAGCAACCTGATCATAGTATGTCATAGTTTTTTCTGGAAAAAGAAAAGTCTGTTTACAAACATTTAGTGCAAATTCCATAACACAGCAACGAAATATAACGTGAAAAGTTAGTAAGCAGGTGGAAGCTCGCTTTACCAGTTTTTCTTAGTCTGCATATTTGTGGCTGTCCATCAAGTCGTATACGTGATTTGATGCGACGTCACACTGGGCTAGTTCGTATATATTTTGAGACTGGCAAATAGAAATTGTTTTTTCGTTTTTAATGGTAAGCAAAAACAGAAGACAAACTAGTGCAAATTATTCTATCTATTTAAATGAGTGCACTGGCAATGACATTGACATTTGTGGCATTCCCATCCCCATTAATGCTCGGCCAACTGTGTGCATATGATTAACAGTCAAATTCAATTTATTTGGTTGCAGTTTAGTGCGCAGCTCTCGACCGGCAACATGTTGAATCTGTGCTAATTGGCAGCCAGCCAGAGGTACAGACCGAGGTAGAGGCAAGCTAACAGGAAGAGCAGAAAGAAAAAGCAAGATCAATATGTTCACTCAGACCGAAACCTATGACAAATGTAGTGCAGTAGCCAGCGCTCAATTAAATGTAAATGAAAGTAACAACGCAGACCTTCAAGACAACAGCAACAGCAACAGCTCATTACTGCACTCAATCGATGAGCATTACGTTTGTGACATAGCCATGATGAGCATTGCCGAGGAAGTTGGCCAGATGACGGCCCAAGCTCTGCTGTCAAGCACAGATCAGCCGCTCGTGAGCACAATCAGCAATGGCAACGAGCTGGAAATTGATCGCCGGGAGGAGGAGCAGGCGATAAGCCAGCTGGTGCGCTCGTCCAGCGGCGGCGCGCTAATGGAACCGTAAGCACCCGTTAATATCCAGTGTAGGCTCACCTGGCAACTATTTATCCTTTAAGGGGCAGCCACAACAGCGGCAGCATGCGTGTTGTCCTGGGGATACTGGTGCGTCTAGTGCTGCCTCTGGCGAATGGTGTCGCCCGCGGCATCAAGGGCATTCGGGATGTACGCGTGCTACGGGTGCTGCAGAATCTGGCCTCCAGTCGCCAGGCGCTGACCAATCTGGTGGCCTTCGCCGCGAACACCATATCGCTGAATTTATCCTCCGTTCAGGGTAAGTCCCTGCTGTGCACTGTCTAGTCCCATTTGTGTCATCATGCTCGTACTGAAATTCACAGCTTTTTATATCAAATGCTTATCGCTCTATCCACAATCTCTTCCATTGACAGTTTCCAATCGTCTGGGGCCTTTGCTCAATTTGCTCAAGTTGCGCAAGTCCCAAGATGGCTTGGAAAGTCTGCCCGATACGTTGAGCACACGTACACCGACCACGCCCATAACGCCCACAACGTCCACACCGCCGACAACGCCCACAACGCCCAGCACACCGTTGCAGGGACCGCCAACTTACAGTCTTCAGAGCTCAAGCGCCAGCTGTTGCACCCTTAATATACTTGCCGCACCGCCGGCAGGCACACCCATACGCGCGGACATTGTGCTTGTGCATGGTCTGCACGGTTCGTTGATAAACACATGGCGACAGGGCCTTTGGCAAAACGAGCGCCATCCGGTGGAGTTCGACCGACCGCCCCGGCCACCTGTGCGTCCACCCAAGCGTCCACGCCATTCACGCAGCGCCGGCATACATCCTGCGCCGCGAGAGAAACGCGCCAAGTTTGCCTCCTGCAATCGTCTCCTGGACACAGATGCAACGTTTGATGACGCTGCCTGGCAGCGGGCAACGCTGCAACAGACAACTGAGCCACAGGCGTTCAGTGCTTCCGACAATGATGACGATGCCGAAGAGTGAGTACAAATTTAATACTGCCATTGCATTCACTAATCAAACGATTCGCCCACAGTTACGCGTATGTTTGTGGCGAGCCAGAGGATATACAAATCTGTGAGGGCATCGAGTACAGCTTCCCAACATTCCGTCTGCGCATGCACGACAACAGCCATCTGCTGCAGGTCGAGCTGGAGTCCATGCTGCAGGCCGAAGGCAATAAGAGTCCCAACATGGGCAGCGCAACACAGGCCTCCGCGCCGCGCAAGACGGCCAGCAAAAGCAAAAAGAAACCTTCTGCCAATGATCCGAACTACTCCAACTGCTGGCCCGGCGACTGGCTGCCGCTGGATTGCCCGGGTGTAAGAGTCATAGCTGTCAACTATACAACTGACCAGTATCTGTGGCGTCCGCTTTGGAAGACCAAGGAGCCACGCTCCAGCCTCATTCAGCGCTCGCGCGAAATGGCCGAGCTGCTTATGCAGCATCGCGTTGGCCACGGTCATCCCATCATTTACGTAGGCCACTCCAAGGGCGGCCTCTTCATCAAGCAGCTAATTGTGGATGCCTGGGAGAGCGGGCGTCCAGCTATGCGACCACTCTGGCGATCCGCACGCGGCTGTTTCTTCTACTCGGTGCCGCATCGCGGCTCCCATTTGGCCTCCATTAAGGCGCCGCTGCTGACGCGCTCTGTGGAGCTGCTGGAGATAGAAAAGAGTATGACGTGACTACGTTGTATTATTTCAGTTATATGCAGTATAAACTCTCCTTATAGATAACAAATATCTGCTGGATCTGCATCGGCGGTTTGCGGGTCTCTATCACTTGGGTCATCTGAAGATCGAGGTATTCAGTTTTGTGGAGACAGCTCTGACGCTCATGTCGGTGCTGTATTTACGCATTGTGGGCGTAGATTCAGCCGGTAAGCTGCAGTTTATTGCCTAACTAATCAAATATAGTTTAATCAACCCTACTTTAACATTAACAGATCCGGGTTTTGGTGAAGTGTGCGGCATTCGGCTGGATCATCGCGAGATCTGCAAGCCGCGCAGCCGGGAATGCATTCTGTACAAGGAACTTGTGAAAATGATAAGAAAGGTGTGCTGAGCGCCCTTCAATTAGTCTAGAATATCTAGAGGACCTCAATGAATTGGAATCGATATGTGAATAGGCTTACAGCTAAAAGTTGACCGATATTTATGCGTACCTAAAATATATAAGGAGCGCCGTTTTTCATATTATGGTGCATAGCAGTGTTTTTTTATGTTTGTTTTTTGTTTTTTTTTGTTTTGTTTAAATTTATAATTGAGCGCAATCAGAATTACCTTGATTTTAATATTTGATTTTTGTTTTTTTGGAATTCATAATGGTTGAAATACAGAGTTTAGTTCACGTTTATTTTGGTATTCCTTTTAAGTATCCTCCCATCGCAGTCTCGGCAAAAATATATCAAAAATCTAAACTCCCTAGCATAGTGAAAGGTTAGTTTTAAGCATTTAGTTTTAGTTTTTGTTCATTTTTCAGACACACTCATTAAGATGCGTTCAAGCATGCCATTTAGCACCTACTATATATGTATGTAGGATATGAGAACTCTTGCGATTTTGTATTGTGATCATTCGTTCAGTTATTTGTGATCATTTGAATAATATTGTACAGGTATTTAGCCCATACCACAGCCCATAGAAAGCTATATGTTTAGATGTATAATTGAAAAATGTTAATACTTGTTAATGAACACCGCTGTTAAACGTTACCAACGAATTCATTTCGTGGCTACTTTTATGATATTGCCCATTTGATATTTTATACAAACCTGTAAAGTACTGAGAACTACTAAAGATTTACGACTAAGCCAATTATAGTGTATATACTTATTTAAATATACGTTTAACGTTTATTTTGAATAAAAATGCATATTGTAGCATATGTTTTGTCATCATAACTTAGTTTTAATATGTGTTTTATTTCCTTTTTTTTTTTTTTGCTTTTCAATAGTTAAGGTTGCTTTTCTAGCGTACTTCATCTGTTTCACGTACATAAATCATCGTTACATAATATTAGACTCTGTAGCCGCGCTAATTGCTGGTTGGTATGTCAAATTACTTGCACCGAAAACTTTAACACAATTCTACATATATATATATATAGTATGTATATATATATAGCTTAGTCTCTAAATACAGTACAATAATATTTCTGTAGCATATACAATGTATATAAATTACATAAAAAATACATTAGATTTCTTTTAGTTTATATCTTTCGATCGATTTCTGTTCAGCTTTTAAGCAATTTAGCAATAAACATGTTACAGACGGGGGGAAAACAACTAAGTATATATGTTTATAATTTAGTTAAAGTTTAATTTCCACTCTACTAATGAGGTATACAGAATGAGGACTTAAAACCCAAACTAAAATTACGTACGAAACATGCTTAGTTAAAATAATGATTAGGATCAGCATTACAAAAAGAGTTAAGAACAAAATTTGCTTACAATTTAAATGGACTCTTCATATATTGATTGGTTTGTTTTTAGCCAAAACCTATGCAAAAGTCGCAATTCGCATTTTCATGCATTTTCATCGAATAACTCATTTCATTTTTGTTTTATTGTTTTCGCGCTTAAATAATTTAAACATTTATCACATCCACTTACACAGCGATCACAATCGCAGTTATTATTATTTTTCTCTTAATTTCTCTTTCTTACCAATTTCTTTCTCCTTTATATTTTGTTGTTTAATAAGTATTTCTTAAAAGCTAATTTTATATATTGTTTTAATTACATAAATCTTTTGCCTTTTGCTGCATAATATATATAGATTTTTTTTAAATTTAACTTTTGTTTAAAATTTTCTTTCTTTTTCTTTAGGAATTTCGAGTTCAGTTACGGAATATTTGTTATGTATGAATTGAATGCGATTTTTTTGCGTTCATCAAAAATTATTTTTTTTTAGAATTTCTATTTACTGAGCTTGCAATAATTTTTGTTTATCTATTTTAATTTTATATATTTTGATGGAACACCTGGAAAACTTTATATGAGCTAAGACTATTTTCTATCAGTTGATTCCAAATGCAGTTGAAATGGAAATTCTGTGGCTTATTTTAATATGAACACAAATCAGATTGGTTAATAATATTGGCTGCGTATTATGGTCTGTGTGTGTGTGTGTATGTGCTTCAAGACGGTATTTGCAGTAAGCTTGTTAGCTTGTTTTTTATTTTAATTTGTTTTTATAAAGAAGCACATATACCATTCAGTAAGCCGCATATTTAAATTTATTTACTGTCTATATGCATTCTAATTTTCATTGGAAAGGTACTATTGTTTGTAATTTTTGTTAAGTTTTGTTTGGTTGGTTTTAAGTTCACGGGTTCGTTTAGGTTTTATATATGTGTGTTATTGCACTTAGGTCTAAATACGTATACAGTTACAGTTATTAAACGCATTCTTCTATTATTGAACGGTACATACATATATTGTTTATTTGAATTTGCGTATTTTATTTAACGTTTTCTCTCTAATTGGTTTTTTGGGTTTCATTCAATTATAATATTTTATGCATGTTACTATTTTATATGTCTATGAAAATGGAATGTCTCTCTGTAGGTGTGTGTGTGTGTGTGAGTTTATCTATATAATTCATAACAATTTTTGCATCTCGTTTTGAACATTGAACACCAATTCACAACAAACTATCATAGATGAGCCAATTTTAAATGCTGCTCTCAATGTCAAATACTTCTTATATTAATTGCAATGCTCGTAGGAATAGAATATTTAATGTTCTGTGCGTGTGTGTGTGTGTAGATGTGGGGGTGTGTGTGTGAGTGTATTTGTGTGACATAGCTAGAGGTTTTGTTGTTTGTACAAACTAGGTACAGTCGGTAATTGGGATAGACTCGTACAATACGGCTGCGGTACATTTGAAATGCGTGTTAGGCATAAACAAAAGGTCTGTTTAATTAAAATTGAAATGCAATATGCGTGTTTATTTATGTTTTGGTGCTGGAAATGAGCGCTTAACAAAATGCAAAATGAATATAATCAGGTACATTTGATATATCGGTTAAACAAAAATTAAAAATAAAAAGAAAATATACAAACAAAACACAAAATGCAGCAATTAAAATGCGAAAATTATATATTAAGCTTAAATATTTATGCAAATAAATATTTGCAGTAAATCGATATGAACACTTGTGACTATTGTGGTTGCATGTTGTGTGTGTGTGTGTGTGTGAGCTGGGCTATTGCATTTGAGGTTTTTGGCTATGTTTGTTTGTAATTGAATATTACGTCAGTTTGATTAATTCATATGATTTTAAATATACTACAAATAATAATATATTTATAATTATTATTATGAGCCTCAATAAACGAAAGAAAACAAACAAAAACTAAACATGTAAAAAATGTGCTTAAAATTAGTGTAAATATGTGTTAATGTATGTATGTATATGTGTATATAAATATGCTGCTTATTTCCTCATATTCTTGTATACTCATATTCTCAGATAGTTCATGTTCGGTTCTCGAAGCTAAATACATTTATAAAATGTACTTCATATAACTAGGCATATACTTATGTATCCTTATGCTCAACTAATGCAAATGTATAGGGATCCCACAATGTTTGGAATGTTTCGAGCTGCGAATGTGTCTGTGTGTATGTGTCCATGTGTGTGTGTGTGTGTGCTTCTGTGTTTGTGTTGTAGTAGCTTCATGGAATACTTTTACTTGGCGAGGCGACGACAACAATGGCAACAACTCAGACTCAGACTCAGCCATTTGGATCAACTTGGGTACGACGATGCAGAGCCGTGGACGCTGGCCACGCCTGTTTGGCCATTGCCGTCGTCTTTTTGCTTTTAACGCCCACAGATTGCGTCTGTGGCCCGTTGGCAGGAACTATGGATGAATGCGGATGCTGTAGCTGCGGCGGCGGCGGCTGCTGCTGCTGTTCGCGATCCTTTAGCTGGACAACAGCTGGCTTCTTTTTGCTGCCACTGCTGCTGCTGCTGTTGCTACTGTTGTTGTTGTTGCTGTATTGGCTTTTAGTTGGCATTTGCTTTGTCATGTCGGCGGGCAGCTTGAAGCCATTGGTGAGACTAACACCCGCGTACTCGTGCTCCGACGTTGGCGTCAGCGTCGCCGCCGACTCCTCTTCGGCCAGCAGGCAGATGCCATCATTGGAATTCGAGTGTCGCGCGAAATTTGTATGGAATTGCTTTTTGCTGGCGCTGCTGCTGCTGCTGGCGCTGCTGCTGCTCAGGCTGCCGCTGCGTCGGCTGCTCACATTGCCCAGGCCCGGCACTGTGGCCACCAGCGGCAGCGAGTTGGGCGGCACAACTACCTCCAGGCCACCATCGCTGTTCTTGGAGGAACTTTGCTTGTGATTGGCATTGGAGCTGGAGTTGCTGTTGCCGGCTGCCTGCATGGCCACTGTGTTGGGCGGCGTATGGCGATAGGGTATGAAGAAGGCCTTGGCCTCCTGGAGCATGGCATCCTGCACGGTTTTGCGCTCCGGCGAATTGGCGCAGAGGGGCAACTGTGACAGATTGTGCACGCCCGCAATGCTCAGCTCCAGCTGTGCCTCCTGCTCCGCACGCCGCGTCATCGGACCGTTTCCATTGCCATTGGGCAACGTTGCGCCGGCAGTCGCTGTGCTCGTCTGATACTCCAGCGTGTGCTCTGGCAGCAGCTCGATGTGATAGCGGGAGCGTGGTATCAGCGTTTGCATCTCGTGACAGTCCTGCTGCAGTGTGCTGCCGCTCAGCCCGCCAGCGCTGTCGCCGGGCATGCCCGAGGCACTGCTCAGATTGCCGAAATTGATGTCCGTCGGCGTGGTCAAGTGCGTGGGGCCCTGGGCGCGTGCCTTAAACCGGCGTCTCTGAAATATGATGAACAGCGCAAAGCAAAAAACGCAAAGAGTGGACAGCAGCGAGCCGATGGCGATGCCGCTGTAAACCTCATGATTCGAGTTGTTTTCCACCGTTTCTAAAATATGATGATGATGATTGACCAGGTCAAAGAACATGGGCGCTCCGACGCCCGTTTCACCAACAACGCGCACGGCCACATGAATCTTGTCCGTTTCCGAAACGTTGGGAAACTGCAAAATCGAAATGTGATTTATGTGAGAAAGTTTCCAAAGAGCATTCAGATTAAATGCTGTAAATGTCGGCTAGGTGCTAAGATAGGTGCTTAAAAAAAAGACAAGTTTGGATGTGCCTTTATAATGCTCATACTTTATCAAGAAGTTTTTTTTATTTTTAATATTGAAAATCATAAAAGAAATTTTGACTCCACCCAAAATTAAGCATAACACAAGAAATTTCTCATGGCAGAAAATATTTTTAAAAATATTAAATTCAATAACGAGGCTGCAGTCGAAAGTGCCCGACTAGGGATACCCTGAACCATCTTCTATCAACACCAAGTGCAGCTTGAGCATCGCATTCGTTTGCTTAATCAAAAAAGTTAAAAATTAAAATAAAAATTAAAGTTCTCAATCTCGAACCCCATTCAACCTCGCCACCGTCTCATAATCCACAACCAATAAATGGGATAACGACAGTATTTCGCACGACATATCTACGTCGGTCTAAAAACGCGCGAAATTATGTCGTTTTCAAGCGTCATATCTCCGCGTCATATCTATGCCGCCTAAAGGAAATAATTCCGCCATGATCAGCGGAGAAGTATGTGCTTTTAGATCGGCGGAGCTATGTCGCTTTAAAATGACATTTCGCTAACGGCGGAGCTATTTAGTTTTCAAAATATCATAATTTCGCCAGAAAAAAAGTGAACATGAAAACTTCAACAAGAATAAAATAATATTTTTGTATGCTGATTATAAAAAAGTTACGCTAATTTGTATGTCTACATGTAGGAGAAATTCTTTAGAGCATTAGCACTAGGATAGTAATTCCTAGTAAATCATAAAATGTGAGGAAAAATATGTATATACATTATTAATGAAAGAAATTATATCTTCAATTTTAGAAAAACATTTGCTTAAAAAAAAGACAAGCAAAAACTTATCATATTGAAAATAATTTTCTGTAGAAAAAGTATTTATAATTGTAAGAACTTTGCTTTAAAAATATGTTTTTATGAGTAGAATAATTTTTAGGGTTAAGGTTCCATCAGGCATGGAGCCTGATGAAGGGAGCAGTAAAATTGCTGAAGAAGTTTTATTTTGAGCTGAAGAGGCAAACTCTTGTTTCTTGCTCTTCGTTTTTTTTTTTTTTTTTTTTAATTGTAAGGTTAAACATACCTTATAGGAGCAGGTGCGACACTCTAGTACATTTGCTTCGTGCGTGACATTGCCCAAAGTCCAGAGTATATTATAGTGATGGACACGTCCATTGGGATGCTCTGGTGGCTCCCACACGAGCTTGAGGCCATTGTGTTTAACCAGACCTGAATTGCTGATGGTGCCGGGTGCTAAGTGAGCAAGTGAGAAGGAAGAAACAATGCGCATCTTATCATATAATTTATATAATGAATATAGCAAGTGCTTACGGTCGGGCAGCGTCTGCACGTCCATTTCGCCGTAGAAGATTTGTGGCTTGCAATTGTAAAAATGGAAATTGTAGCGCTCATTGGCGCTGAGGCCGCTGACAAGCAGCATCGAGTTGACAATGGTGCGTTCCTTGCATTTGGGCTCCTGTTTGCGCAGCGACAACTGGACGTGCAGGTGGCACTCGTAGACGCAGGTGTCGTTGAGGCTGTCCAAGAACTGAAAGGCCAGCATGCGCGACTCCACGGTAATCAGGCGAAAGGACATGTTCGACTGATCGGATGTGCCGTTCTCGATCTGTGTGGAAGAGCAGACGCATAGAGGACTTTAGAGCATGCAATGGACTGCGTCGAGACGCTGGGGTAAGGGTAAAGTGATTGCCACTTGCCACTACAGTACAGTCTACTCACAATCTTCCACTGTACATAGCGAAAGTCCTGGGCGAGGTACTCGTTCTCGCTGGTGATGATGAGGACGCGCATCTTGATGCGACTAAAGTGCTGCAAAAGCAGACCTGTGACATTGGCGTCCACCACCAAGCTGAAGATGTCCTCCTCCATTTCGAGCGTGACATCGTCCACCTCGTTGTCCAGCACCTCATGCTCCGCATTGCGCAGCACTGTGGCAGCAGCTGACTGATTGAGGGGCCGTATGATGGTTAGCTGGCGACGCACCTCGTCCGCCTTCTCCTCCACGGACGTAACGGTGCCATGAAGTGGTCCGTCCAGCAGCTGGGCGGGATGCGGATGAGTGTGATTGATGGAGAACTGCAGTATGAAGTACTTTTTGTTGTCCAACTCCGCCTGCGACCACTTTACAAAGGTGTCGTTCCCCAGATGCACCAGCCGCAGCAGCACTATGGTAAAATAAATGTGATAGATGGTTCAGAAGTGGAACAGGAATTGAGCGAGAGATTCACTTACAGCCTTGGGTGCAGCAAACGACGGCCGGACTTCGGAGCGAACTAATCATCATCTGCTGGGGCACTATGCTGCCGGAAAGCACCTCCGAGGTGGGCAGGAGAAAGCGCGTGATCAGCGCAAAGGGACGATAGATGGGCAGGCCGGTTGAGATCACCACGAACGAGGTATGATTAAGTTTCATGGGCGCAAACGAGCTCCACTGATGCGGATTGCTGCGCACAATGTGCACCACGAACATGGACTGCAAAAGAGTAGACAAAATCATTAAAAAAAAAAACAGTTCTCACACGTAAACGGTAAATGGTTGATTAATCACCTCCAGGGTGCGGCTGTCAAAGGTGACATTAATGGTGTGAAAGCTGTGCGGATAGCAGCGTATATTCTGCAGAGGATTCGGCTCTTCCGTCTGGCGCTTGAAGCGCATCTCGCCGGTGACTGAATCCTCGCCAGCCACGTTGCGCGCAAAGCACTGATATATGCCCCCCTCCTCCGGATCGAACGAGTGTATGTGCAGCTCGTTGCCGCTGATGTAGCGTGTGTAGGAACTGTTGAGCGGTGCTCCATTGTGGTACCAGCTTAGACTGGGCCGTGGATTACCCTCGGCGCGACACCTGAGCGTTGTCGACAGACTGATAAAGCCCAGCTCCACGGGCAGCGTGCTAACTATTCTCGGCGGTACGGTAACCACGACGCGAAACGTTTGCCTGTCGGTGGGGGTGGTGCACATGAAGTAGCCCTCATGCCGGGCCATGCTGACATTCGATATTTCCAGCGTCATGCTGTTGTTGCTGAGCTGGGACAAGGAGTTGTTCGGATGCTGCAGCCACCACTCGATGGGTACATAGTCCTCCACGGCGTGGCACTGCAGCCGCAATGTGCCACCAGTGGCCACATACAGTGTGGCATTCTGGAAGGCGGGCAACAGTTGCGTTGCCGTCGCACCCAGCAGCCCGCTGCCATGCGGCTCGACACGCACCTGCCACACGAACTGACGGTGGCTCCTGCTGGCATACTGGTTCTGGGCCACGCATCTGTAACGGATAATGTTTCACACACATTAATTGGCATGGACTGTGGGCACAATTAGGCCAGCCACTCGGCCGGTGCGTGGTTTTAATTAATGCACTCTGTTTAGTTTAGCTAGCACACTAGACCAAAGGGGAAACTCTAAAGGGGTTGCTGATCAGTTGATGAATTGTGGTCAAGGTGTTGATATGCCACAACAGTAGCAGCAGGCAATTATAAATTGCACCTCAAAGCAAATGAGATGCAGTTCAGTTCTGGACAAGCAATGGGATCTTGTCGTACAACACGAGCTATTCGTGTTAAACAAAACAACAGATTCGTGCGTGTTTAGGCATATACAATTCGTCTTAATTTCACTGAACGCTAAAATATTGAGCAAAATATTAAGTAACGGGTTCGAATCTGAGGCCAAGGTATAGAAGTATAGAAGAATTTAGAAATTGAGTGAAGTGACATAGTACCTAATTACAGTGAAAATGGATGTGGATGGTGACAAAAATTATTAGGACAAGCCTTATATTAAATTAAAATAGTTTTATTAAATTGCAAATCTCGGTAGATGAGATGCAATTGAACAAGAAGAATCTGGATTTGAATCCCAGGCTAGCGTATGTCTTGGCCATAGTTTCCGGTGCTATATGTATGATTCAAAGTAAGTGACTATCTCCTATTAAAATAATATTATATATAAACCCTTTTAATCAACCCGACATCAGTTATATTTGTATGCATTCCATATCTAGACTTACTTGTATCTGCCAGCCTGTTCCAGTCGCAGTTGTCGCAGTAAAAGCGTGCCGTTGTTTAAAACAAAAGCGCTGTAGGGGATAAAAGATTGGAAGAAAGAAATCTTATTGCTGGTTTGCAAACAAAACCCAAACCCAATAATGTCAAGCGTTAGTGAAGCCACCAAGCTAGCAGGCGGCTTGCTATTGCGAGCATATATGATCATGACCCGACCGCCGCGCGCTCGATGTCACCACACCGATCTTTACTCGCCTGCTGTCATTCGCCAGGGACTCGTTGCCAAAGTACCAGCTGACGCGTGCGGCGGGCACGCTGAAAAAGGGACAGCTGAGCACAAGGGGCCGCTGCTCCAGACCGCTTATGTTGGCGCTCTGCTGCTGGCCAACAATCAAACGTTTCAGCACTGCAAGAAGGAAGGGATTAAGTACGGTGAGGTGGGATGGGCCTGCGTATATACGCACCTGGATATTCGACCGTAATGCTGTCGGATATAACTTTCATCTCATCCGACTCAATTAGACAGTGATAAACGCCGTTGGCGCGCTCATTGGGCGGCAGACGCAGCGTTCCATTCTTATAGATGAAGAACTCATTCTTGCGTATGGTCAGGTGTTCAATGGCCTCATCGTTGCGGTACCAGCTGCAGTATATAGGAAGGCCGTCTAAGGTGAAGCAAAGTGGTCAATTAAAGCGCTAAAATGTGTCAGAGCAACTAGCTGTGGTTAACATACCCTGATAGTAGTCATAGGGATATATGATGGGATTGCATTGCAGTAAATAGGTTGCATGTGGATTGGTTATGGCCAGCCTTGTGACGGCGTGCTTCTTGATCTGTAGATACGGCTTCAATATTGTTGAGTTTTTCGATTGTGTGGCGGCAGCAACTGCAAAGAAAAAAGTGAACAATGAGCCTGAATTGCACAACAAACAAGCAGGACAAGCATTCCAGTCGGTTGCAACCGACTACGCAATACTTGTCCAATAACAGCTTAGGGGAGGCTTGGTCACTTAAGGTCTAGACGGAGATATAGATATTGATTTGCCACGCCATCAGAAATCTAAACACTTTGTCTCCAGGTATTCATTCAGTTATTTTATTACTGCCTATAAAAATGTCCCTCGTACGGATAGATTGCAAGATAATAATTTTTCACTTTATATTTTGTGAACGGGTATAACAAAGTCAAATATTTTATTAATTTTGTGAACGAGTATAACAAACCCAATTTACTCTTTTCTGTCTGTAAATAAGTGTTACATATCCTCTTGTCAACCAGTAAAACAAACCCAATATACTCTTTTCATTTTGTGAACAAGTATAACAAACCCAAAATAATCTTTACTTGTCTGTGGAAGAATATATTTGTATATTATATACTTATATATAGAGATATATGTATATTGTGTTTGTACCCAATGTATTCTTTTCACAACGAGTATAAAAAAAGAAAATACTCCTTCACTCTGTGAACGAGTACAACAGCCCCCAATATACTCTTTACTTTTGTGAACGGGTATAACAAACCAATTATACTTTCCAATATACTCTTTTCATTTTCAATATACGTGACCCAGTATAACAAACCCAATATACTCTTAACATTTTGTGAACGAGTATAACAAGCTCAAACACTTAATTAATGTTGCGAACGAGTATAACAAACCCAATGAACTCTTCTCAGTCTGTGAACGTGTATAACAGATCCTCTTGTCAACCAGTATAACAAGCCCAATTCTGTGAACGAGTGTGACAGGCCGAAACTACTCTTTTGACTTTGTGAGCGAGTATTAAAAATGTCTCTGATAATCTAGTACACTTTGGGCAGACAATAAACAATGCGAGAAAACATCAAAACATTATTTATTCTCGGACATAATCTATTGGCTGTTATAAATTTCATGCTTTTCACTTAGCCACGCCGTTGACTCGGCTGCCCTTATGGAGTTTATGTTTTTTCTCGGACAACCTTTTTTTTGTGGTTGTCCAATCCTTGGCAAAGAATGCCAGATCGCAATGTCCCGTGCTGGGCGCGGATTTTGATTTTGCTGGTGCCTCTGTTTCTGGCGGTGGCTTTGGCTGTGATTCTCTGGTACGTGCTGCAGCCAAGGCGTGAGCGTGTTAATTAATTTCTTTGCCATTCTTTGTCGTTTTTTGCTGTCGTTGCCATTGCAGCGCTTTAAAGTCGCCTCGCTCTTTGTTGATGTACGGCAAAATTCCAGGCAAGTAGCACTCACAGTGCGTATACTTAATATTGCATAATGATACACCTTTTGTGCAGCATAGTAAGTAGTATATATGTATATATAGTGTATTTGCAGGCAACTGGCTTTTGCATACGACCATGCTCTGTCGTCTATCGTCGAAACATCTATTAGTTCTCGCTGACTGTTGCATTCCGAGAATTTTCTAGTGTCGGAGCTGAAGTGGCTGGTGAAAAATGGTGGAAAGCAAACCGTTGCGATGTTCCCCAATAACAAATCGCCAAGCATTAGTCAAATGCGTTGAAATTTATGCTAAAAATGCAATCAACTAGCGTTCCGCTCCAGCTACGGCCACCCAAGTGGCAGCCAGCCACAGGGCGCACTCACTTGTGGCCAACTGGGCGATGGCTAACGAGCCAGTTGTAACTGGGAAGACGACTGATCCGCTGAGTTCTGTGGAATACTGTGAATTTGTTTCAGTTTTTGATAAATGTAGTGAAATAAATAAGATAATTGCTGAACAGCCGCATAGAATGCAGCCAGAGTTTTGATCAAAATGCGAGTGGCGACGCAGCCCGCTGATATGTTGCATGTTTGTACGCAATGTGTTGCAATTTTTATTGCTGTAATTACACGCAATGCACATGCGGCAATTTGACGCATGAAAATTCCTTCGACCTGCCAATGTGATGGCTGAAACAGCCAAATGCCATGTCAGCAGGAACAGTAGCTGCAGCAGCAGCAACAGCCGCGCTAAATGTGGCAACTTTGCAGAACATGCAGCTAAAGCGGAGGGAGGGGGGGGTGGGGGCGTGGCTTTGCATGTGCATCCAAAACGTAATTGTTATGGCATAATTGATTCAATGGCAGGGCGTTTAATTGCGCTTTAGAAACTGCTGCCCCACAGTGCACTGTCAAAGTTCAGCGAATATGTGTTCACTACCCTTACCGCGGGTATTATAGTATGTCAAAAAAGTATGTAACGCAAGGAAGGCAGCTTTAAATCCAACAATTTTGACAATTTGTCTGTGTTCACCTATAAGCCTATGCTTGTTTCTCAGCTATAGGCTATATAAGTTTTCTTAAGAAACGTGCATAGAACTTTTTTCTGGAGAAAGTACTAATGCTGTGCTTGACTTGATCGGCCTATATTTAATAATTTTCATATATAGTATCTGTCTATTTTTTTTATTTTGGTCAAACCATTTCAACTAACACTTGCGTTTTTGAGCTCAACAAGTTAAGACTTCCTTTGTGGCCCTTCTCTTTTTATGTGTGTATATTAATATTCACCTTAGATGTGCCAAGTGCTGCTAAGTACATATTCGGTTCCCCACAACAACATAACAAGAACAAATAATTAACTACTTGAACTTTGTTGATTTAAAACGTTTTATGATCAGCTTCTCGAATTAAGTGCATAAGTTAGGAGCTAAAGTTTTGTCCAGAATTACTTGAGATTGATACATAATATTCCTTATATATCCGTCTGTGCAATTGGACAAAATCTTATCAGCATCGGATTACTATATCTCTATAAAAAGAATCGCTCAAAAAATATTCTGAAGACCCTATTTTTAAGTTTTAAGATATCTTGAAGAAATCCGATATTTATTAGTTTGAATATGTTCCTCACAAATGAACAACATAAAGCCAACATCGGACCATTATATTATATATTTGCTTTTGTAATCAAAATATGTCAGCCAAACTTGGGTATTTTGAGTTCTACCAATATGAGCCAAGTACTATAAGCATCGCACTTCTATATCATATAGCTCTTCAGAAAGAATTGTTCGATAAATGAGTCTTCAGCTAAGTATATCTGCAAAGCCCTAAGCAATATGTCCACAAGGGTATTTAATCTTCGGCGTGTTAAGAAAAGCTTTTCTTTCTTGTTTTCTTTGCTTTTTTTTGGCTGTCATTGCCTGCCACACCTAACTGCCATTTTTCATACCTGAAAAGGGCGGTGTCAACAGCAGCACGCCGACAATCATTAGCAGCGAGAGGAACGGGAGGGGTTAAAGCCTGTAATATTGAATTTAAATTGCTGCCGTTTTACTCGACCAACAGTCGACAACACAGTTTGGGCTGCAATCATTTATTTGATACCATCTAGATGTTAGCTATCAGCGGGACAAGCAGTTTTCATGCTACCAATTGGTGGCCATAACTCAGCAGCTTGCAACAAGATGGACAATCTCAATGATTGAACTGTCAGGACAATCAGCTTTTGTGCGTCGATTTGCCCTACCGTTATTTGCAATCTTCCAATATAATTCCAGGTCATTTATTTTATAATCTGCTCCCCATCTGGGCAAAGCCAAAGCCAAAGCAATGCAAAAATTCTTGCAGTTGCAGTGCAAGTCAACTCACTGGGCAAGAATGTTTCCCAGAATCGTGCTCGAATGCTGTTTGACAACAAGCACACACACACATACACAGACACACACACACACACACACACACACACACACACACACACACACACTAGAGGCACATAGCAGCCAGTTACTAAGTTGTAGCAAGTTGCACGTTAATGCTGGACGCTGTGGGGTTTGGTGGGGGCAACTTGCACAAATTTGCATAGTTGAACGCACGTCGAAGGCAGCAGCGCATTCCATGCAGCAACTGTTGCTGCAGTCGATGATGAATGCAACTGCAACTGCAACAGCAGCGGCGGCAGCAGCAGCGGCAGCGGCACATAAATTGCTGACTTGCTGCGCAGCGTTGCGCTTATGAAATGGCAACATCTTGTGCATAGATAAGTGAGGCCCGGCAACGGCATTGAACGGCAACGCCAACATTTGCTTCCCTCAATGGAATTTCACAAATTCAAATTGCCTGGCATCCTTTAAATGCCCCAAGAGCAGCAGCAGCAGCAGCAGCGGCAGTTCCCAGGCGCAGTTGGCTCGCATCAGATTCAGATTCAGGCAGAGATTCAGATTCAGATTCAGGTCCAGGCTCAGCTGCAGCGTGGCGGGCACAGCTGTTGGCACACTTTTGCGGCAGCACCATGGCAACATTTTATGCAGTATGCAGCTCGCACGAGAGATAATTTATCGCCTAATGACGTGCTGCTCTAAGGTTGCGCCACGTTGTTATAAAATGCGGCAATAAAACGCAGCAGCCACCAAAACCAAAAACAAAAAAAATCATACACATTAGAGAAAATAAAATAAAATTAAAATGAAATTTTAATGCCACAGGAGCCCAAGAGCAGCGCCTACAGCAACTGAGAGGCTTGCAACTTACAGCTGCTTCCGCAACCCCGCACCCCACCGCACCATACCGCACCGCACAGGCCTAACGGAATGGGCCACTCTTTGGCGCTGCGGCCTGTCGCTTTGGGGGCGCTCAACGAGAATTTATGAATGTGCAAATGTGTACGACAATTTCGCACATAAATGTAAGCTACTGCCCAGCTGCCCCGCTACCCTGGCAGCCACGAGATGCTGCCGCACAGCAGCAGCAGCAGCAGTGTCTGCACACCCACCGCAACTCTGCCGCAAACTTAATCTGAGTGAGAGAGAGAGAGGGGGGGGGGGTGTGTGGGGGGTTGCAGGGGTCTCGTAGCTTGGCATGGCAATCGAAGATGCGTGTGCACATTCCATAGCATTCCGCGCAAGCATGTGGGAAGTTCAACGGTTGCACTGCAAGTATCTTGTATCTCAAGTTGGAGCCGCATCTATTGATTGCTTGCACCACACAGTTCATTGGCGCGCGCGCCCGCTCCCAGCCAGTGCCAACATCTTACAGTCTGAGGATTGTGGCTTCCAATTGGCGTCGCTTTGCTGCTGCCTGCTGCCTTCTGCTGTTTGCAGTGTTTTTATACCCTTGCAAAGGGTATTCAAATTTATTGGCGAAATTTGTAACAGATGGAAGCAAACAACTCTCAAGTGTATTAGAAATATTCTGCATGTATCATTTTTGCTAATCAGTCCGCCATTTAAGCCCGAGCATGTTTTGTTTTAAGAACCTATGCCTGGTAAAAGCCTTTCGGATTATTCAGATCAACATTTTAATCATATTTTTAATGATATAACACATAGCTCCAATAGAAACAATTAGTGGAAAAATTAAATTTTTGCATATGAAGCTCTTTGGGTTTTATAGATATCTTGACAGAAAAAATACACTTATTAGACATAAATCTCATTATGATCCTTACATTTATATGAATCGAGTTAATATATATATATATAAATTATACAATTTTATATTGCCTTATTTGATTATTATTACTAGCGAGGGTATTTATTATTCGGCACTTAAAGTTGCCACCGCTTTCCTGTTTTTGTTGCGGGCATCTACGATAGTTGCCGCCGCTTATTTGGGTTAGCAGCTCAAATAGTTTTACGTGCGTTTTTCAATGCAATTTCCAAATGCCGCGAGAAATTTATGAGAAAGTCTCTAGTACGCCCACCCCACTATAATTGGTGGTGTATAATGCCCATTGTTTGCCTAGTGCCTTTTGCCAGGCAGCTCAATTGATTACTTCAGTGTGTGCGTGAGTGGAGTGTGTGTCTGCGTGGAGTGTGTGTGTGTGTGTGTATGTGTGTGTAGAGTGTGTAATTGAGTGGTTGAGAATGCTCGAAATTCTGCTAGCTGCGCTGCGAACTAGCTAAAAGCGCTTACCCGACAGACACACATAGCTAAACAAACCCAACCGAAGCCCGGCAGGCACCACACATGCACATATACACACATATACATATGCATAGCATACCAGGGTGCCGAAGTGGGTTTGGGATTTCTGGCGATTGAACCACTTTAAACAATGGCGGGCATTTACTTTGCAAAAGTCAAAGATAAATTGCCTTTTAAACTACAAGCTCCGTTTGGTAAGTTTGTTTTTGGCAAAAGTCCTGAGCTCTGTTTGTTTGCAACACCCCAAATACACACACACACACACACATACACACACACATACACACACACATACACACGCACGCACACACACACGCAAATCAATAGACATATTTGTTTAACTTTTGGCGCAGCAAACAATTGGAATAAATTGTCTTTAGCAATTTGCATTGGCAGGCCATAGAATTTGGGGTAGGCAGAGAAGTGTGTTATCTAAAATAATGCCGAAGGGCTGGCTATTATGTTGTATTTGTTGCCAGAAATTTGCAGTTGCAAATGGTGCCAACAACTAATCCTCTTTAAATGGTTTTCATAATGGCAGCTAAGATCTTTATTCGGTTTTAGTTGCTGCAAATTGCACTTTTTGCCATTTGCCACAAAATGTTATCGAAATATAAGCGTCTGTTTGTTATTCCCATCAATTGGCTAGAGCGTAAATAAACAGAAAAAATCAGCCAATAATTGGCCATTTCGCGAATGCCGTACAAATACCTTCCGATTGCAAATCATAACTGCATTGGACGATTGTCACAACAGCGGATAACCAAAATACAATATGCTGTGCCATAAACGAATTCATTTCCGTTGAATTTTTGGCAGCAATACGCGCTGGAAACATTGTGCCCCATCTCATCCCCGTCTCTCTCTCTCTCTCTCTCTCTCTC